GAAAGGAATGGCTTCCCATCACTCTTCATCTCTCACTAGCTTTCTGATGTTGGCCTCCATGTAAAACTAGTTTTAAATGACAGCAGCCTGCCCTCTGACAAGTGAATATGAATTGAGTGTCTTTGAACACGTACAGAGAGTCTTCAAATTGCCCCCTGCCTATCTGGGATTTGAGATAAGGGCTTCTGGGTTGAGGATGTTGCCAAAAGAGCAGACATGTATACTGGTATTGCTTATGCATCATGGGTTCAGTGATGGAGGGGAAGATCTGTAAGGTTGTGTGGGTTCAAGCAGAGAAGAGGTACTGTAGCATGCAGGTCAGAGAACATTTGGATACCCGAATGCCCTTCTGGATTACACTCTCACCTTTAATTCAGATGAAGGACTTTCTCACAATGGGAGCCATCTGCCTATCAGCCATTCACAGGGAGAACCTACACCTGCCAGTAACCCACTCAAATGTCGCAACTTCGCAAAGAGAGCCATTTGGATGTTGTTAGCAAAGTGAGATGAGGTTACAGTAACCAAGACAGATATGATGCTCTGGGTGACCCCCTTGGCCTAAAGCTGCCCATTCATTAGCCAGATTAGAGTGGCAAATTGGCAGAAGCAGAGATACTGCTCCACTCCAAGCTTAGCTGAGGTCCTGCCAACCCAGCCTTGGTGTAATAAGAACTCAAGGAGAGCCCAGCTCGAGCAGGCTAAGGGATGGGGAAATCTTTTTTAGACTGAGGGCCTTCTGAGCAACCTTCCAGGGGCCAACTTGTGGTACATGCTTGGTTGCAGAGCTGTGTGTGTGAGATGTCCATTATTGTCTCTTCTGTTTGCAAATGTGCCCATGGACCCAGAATGATGGCAGCCCTTCTTCTGTTTTTTTTAAATGTTGCATTTGTTTTATTTTATTTATGTTTGCTAAAGAAGCAAAGTCCTGAGGACTAGCTTTTTAAAGAGGCGGCAACTTCATCTCTTCCTGTCTCAAATGAAAATTGAACTATGTCCGCCTCCCACAACTGTGCTGTGGCTGGGTGGGGGAACACCTACACTAACTTACTGGTTAGTGGTAAAGTATTAAATTAGTTAACTGGCATTCAGGAGCCACTTAATAAAGTATAATAGCAGTATTTTCAGATGTCCATTAAACACAGTCTGAATGGGCTGGTGCTTACCGCAATTGAAATGTGTTAATATTCATATTTACATATCATTACTTTGAAATATAGTTGAGCTGCCAAAACAAGGGCCAGATGACCATAGTCTGAAATGGGGAGGTGCAGGCAAGTGTGTAGAACTGCAATGCTATGCTCACTTACCTGGCATTGAATTTAACGGGACCTCCTTCTGAGTAAACATATATGGGACTGACGGGGGGTTCAGGCGCAAGTCTTTCCCAGTCCTAACTGAAAACCCCCAGGGATAAAACATGCAATGCCTGTTTCTGCATGCAATGCCTATGCTGCCCTTCAACCAATGAGCCACAGCCCTTCCCCATATTGTTCTAGAATATATATCCTGTTCTGGTCCTGTGGAGGAACCTCTGGGGTTTGGTGGAGGAAGGCGAGTTCCTACTGAGCAACTTGCTCCAGCAACATAGGATCATAAGAAGACCCGTACTGGATCAGGCCAAAGGCCCATCTCGTCCAACATCCATTTCTCACAGTGGCCAGTCAGTGCAAGCAGGACCTGAGTGCAACAGCACTCTTCCCACTCGTAAGTCTCAGCAACTGGTATTCAGATCTATACTGCATCAAGCAGTGGAGGCAGAAAATAACATACACCTGGGACCACACTAAAGCCATTTATACACTGACATCCAGAATCTCTGCAGTCCTAGTATCTGCAGGGCCAGGGATTCATGTGTGGAGCCCATTGACCTGGGTAGTGCGGGGTTCTTGGAGGCAAGTATGCTGCCCCTGTATTTGGGGATAAGCTCAGAGGTCTCTGGCATCCCAGTCCTCTAGATTTCTGACATACTGGACTCACTAGTTCACTAGTTTCTGATGGCACCACAAGCCCCATAGTCTCCGGGTCTGTGTCCAGGTTACTACTAAGCACCAGGGTTATGACAATATGTTGTCAGGAGTTCAAAATATTATTCTGAGTTGGGGGCGGGGGCTAATCAGTATGATGCCTGAGTCCCTTCTAATTTCTGGAGTTTTGAATCCAGCGAGGGTTAAAATCTAGAGGAGGATTCCATTGTTGAATTAGCCAGGCAAGGGGCTTAGTTGCCGCCTAAGTATGGTTGTTAGTATAACAAAGGAGGTTGCTCTGTGCCAGAGAGCAAATAGGTAGGGACCCCTTACCTCACCTTGCTGGTAGTGAGAAAGACAAAAGCAAGAGGGAGTGAAGTTGTGTGAGAACTGAGCTAGAAGCGGGCAGAGGCCTGAGAGTGGGAGACATGCTTGATTTCTGCTGGAACCCTATGCTGTGACTTTGGGGAAAGCAATACCATCTGGGGAGTTAATGCTGTGAGCCCCTCCATCTTATGTGTGCAAATACAGTGGATGCTCAGGTTACGAACGTGATCCATGTGGGATGCATGTTTGCAACCCGCAGCGGCGCGTCTGTGCACGCACGGGTTGCGATCCGGTGCTTCTGTGCATGTGCAAAGTGCGATTTAGCACTTCTGCGCATGTGCGACTGCCGAAACCCAGAAGTAACGCATTCCAGTACTTCCGGGTTTCGGTGGTCTGTAACCTGAAAAAGCGCAACCTGAAGCGTCTGTAACCCGAGGTATGACTGTAAACCATATGTCACAAAGACACCACATTGTCCTTCATTCCAAGGAAACTGAACCTTGGGCAAGCACCTGGAACCTCTGGAATTTCACACCACTTAGACATTGGGGTGACACGTAACAGTATTTCTCAGCAGCTGCAGGATACACGCAGCATCAAGCCTTAGAGTTCATCTGCATGCACTGAAGTGCATATGCATTAGAGTGCAGTTGCGTCCACGCCATTCTAGACCTCATGGGGAAGGAGGTGGACCGGGAAGAACAACAGATCAAGCAACTCCAACTACCAAAATTTTAGCAAGGTTCCTCACCCTATGCAGAAATAGGGATAGTAGTTTTCCAGGGCCAGGGTGATTTTCCAGGATCATTAAATAGGATAAGTAAGGACATCAAAAACATATGTTTCTATTAACTAATTAATCGTATACTATTCATTTTGGTCCTGCTTTCTGACAATTTCCTTAATGTGTCTTATATTTTCCTTTTCCTTTTTAAAAAAGTCCAAGATCTAATCAGCATAACTGAAAAATACACAATCCAGTCCTGCTAACTACATTCAAACAACAAATGGATTGCAGAATTGGAAAACCCCATCAAAGCCTTTAGAGGTTTTTCTTTTCCCTCACCATCATTCCCTGCTTTCACCAGTCTCTGGTCTGGGACAAATACCACTGAAGAGGCTGGTTTTTAGTAACCATTACAATTTATTTTATTTTATTGCCGGTGGTGGTAGTGATGGTGGCAAGAGAGGACCATACATAGGTAGCTTGGATCGGTACTGAGGAATCCCTGTCTTGTGCTTGGAGTTTCCAAAGGAGCCAGAGGATCTCCCTCAGATGAGCATCCCTACTACACACGCAAAGCTGTCAGGCTGCCCGACACGGGTTTCCATAGTTATCTGTTGTTAGGTGTTTCCTGATCTACCCAGCACTAAGCAGGGGCTGCGTGCGTCGTCCGCGAGCGAGCAAGCAAGCAAGCATTTCCTATTCAGACAATACGAATAATCTCTTCTGATGAAAGATCTCGTCCATTTGGGGGGAATTGAGAGGGGATGACAGCGGCTTCGTTATTTGGTTACCAGGAGGAGCTGCTGACACTCCCCAGGTTGTCAGGACAACCAGCCGTGATCCAAACCTGCTCTGAAAGGTCTGAACCTCCGGCAGCTAACCAGCCCTTAGCTCTCAGCAGATGCTCGAGCCACGCTGGCCAATCAGAGTGCGGCTGGGAAACCATGACATCATAGTCGAAGTGGTCCAAAAACTTTAATTTTGAGTTTCCCTTGCGCTTCTTGCTCTCTTTTTGATGCTCTCCCTCTTGAAACGTCCCAGCCGTGACAAATAACAAGGGCAAAAATAGCCTTGTGGTGTTGCTGTTGTGAGCGATTTAAATTGCTGATGGGCCAGAATTGCGTGGAAGTAAAGTGTACTGTCTCGGATTTAAGTGGGGTGGTGGTGGTGAGAGAAAAAGTGGGGAGGCGTTTTTTGTTAAGAAATTCAGATGTTGCTAAAACCAGATCATTGCAACAGGAGCTTATGAAGTTGCCTTACAGCAGGACAGACCACTGTTCCATCTCTAGCTCAGTACAAACGGGTCTAACAGGGAAATATAGCTCTCCAGAGTCTCAGGTGGAAGTCTTACCCATCAGTTGTGATCTGAAGGGGTTCTAGAATTTAACTTGCAACCTTCTGTGTGCAAAGCGTATATTCTACCACTGAGCAATGGTACCTTCACCACCCAGTTTATGCACCACACGTTTTTAAAAACCAATAAATAAAATATTGCAATAATATTTAAAAGGCAAGATGCAATTCCATAACATTATGTTAGTGGGATTCGTATTCTGTTATTCCACTGTGTTTTTAAAATAAGATTTTCTATATTTGATCTTTTTTTGATATTTTGAACTTTTTCCATATTATGAGCATTATATTTAACGAGTCCATTGACCCCAGCACTGTCGGTCCTGATGGCAACAAATCTCCTCGGGTGTCAGGGAGAGAACTGCTTACTTAGTTATCTATTTGGATGATCTTTTTAAAACCCTTATCTTCAACCACCTCCCCCTCCCACCCCCACCCTAAAAAAAATCAAGGCTCACAGAGCAGGTTGCAAAGTTCAGTAATGAAATAGGTCCTGCCCTCAGGCTCACAATCTATTTATTTATTACACTTTATTACAATAATATCCCACCGCTGGGGTGTATGGGATGCTAGGGAGTAGTAGCACTTCTGGTGGGGGGCATGACGTGCTCCTGTTAGGGTAGTTTGTCCACCTTTGGTCTCCACCGTGTACCCAGCTCTCACCTGTGGCTCCTAGTATTGGTCTCTACAGCCACAGCAGCCACCGTAACTTCCAACAGTTTAACCTCACCTCCAAAGGCACACTCCTCCATTGTCCCCTGAGACTGATGGATGCCAACCAGTGCTATTATATTTTCTGTTGTATTAATTAGTTCACAGCTTTGGGGGTCTTGGCCAAAAGGTGGTATAGAAATAAACAGATTATGATGATGAAAAATGCTGTTTGGATCCTTTGCCTCAGGTTTACTATCTTGGGTACTCTGCCCTTGACTTCTGAGCTCTCTCTCTCTCTCTCTCTCTCTCTCTGTGTGTGTGTGTGTGTGTGTCAGAGGCACCATTTGCAGTTCTGCCTCAGGCAGCAAAATGTCTTGAGCCAGCCCTGCAAAAAGAACAGTGGAGAGAAAAATGCTGAGTCAAAAGGAAAGTGTTTCAAACAACTGACTGCTGTAGAAAGCATGGGGCACAGAGAGGGTGCATCTCCCCTCACTCCTACACCCTTTTTGTTGTGAAGAATTAAATAATAAGTAAATCCTTATCTCCTGTTTTAAACATGAACAGGCCTGGCCAATCTAGTACCCTCCAGATGTCTCAGACTCCCAGCTCCCATCAGCCCTAGACAGCATGGCTATGGTTCCATAAGCCCCACCTGCATATGGCTCTGCTGGCTGGGACTGATGTCAATTGAAATCCAAAGCATTGATAAAAGAGCAAAGTTTCTAATCCTCATTGTTGCAGGGCAAACTTTCAATGCACAGTGCAACTTTCATCTATCTCTTTGAAATTATCTTCTTAGTTATTTTGAGAATGGCAAGCACTTTCCCGATGTTCACATTTTGATGGAAACTGATGTTCACACAATGACAGAGAATGACTTACCGCTGTTCTTGAAAAGGTTTGTTTGGATGTTGGGCTCTGAATGATGTCTCCCCCCTGAATTCTCACCATCTCTCCATCTGACTGCTTTCTGCTTCTCTCACAAGACTCATTCTCATTGTGAGCTAGTCTGCTCATAACAGCATCCGCACCCAGCATTCGCACCCAGACCCAATATCTTGCCATTGGCTTGGCTGCTCTGATGTCATAATCTTTAACCCAGCTGATATCACAAAGTCTCACTTCCTCCTTGGGGCTCACAGCTAACTACTCAGGGGGTAATGGGGAGACTGTTTATCAGAGAATGTTGCTATTCATGAGCAGCCTGTGTAAAATTAAACAACAGAAGGGATCTCTTAATGCCATGAGCTGTCAAACGATGCCTTCTGGGAACTAATGAACAGCTATTTTGGAATATTTTGATTGACAGGCAGATTCCTCCTTAGTCTTCCAGTTTTCCACCTCCAACATCTCATTTCTTTTTTGTGTACGCCTGCATCTGGTTGACTCTAGATCGAGCTGTGATGGCTGACTATTTCCCCAACTCAAACTTTGAATTCCCCTTTAAGTGTATGTGAAACTGGGCAACCAAAATTTAAAAACCTTTCATTTACTTATTATTAGATTTACATCCTCCAAGCAGCTCAAGGTAGTTTCTCTCCCTCCCCACCATATCCACATGAAAATGCTGTGAAGTAGGTTAAGCTGAGAGGCAGTGACTGGCCCAAGGTCACCTAGTGAGGGTTATGGCTTAGTGGGCATTTGAACCCTAGTGTCCCAGGTTCTAGTCCATCATTCTAACCACTATACCACACTGACTCTCTTTTGTCCACTAGGCTGGTAGTTAGGTTCAATGTGAGATGCTGAGGAGCTCTTTCCACCAAAGCAAGTGAGGGATTGCCTCACCATGCAGGAGACCCAAAAACAGGGCCACCCCAAGACACGTTAGCACCTGAGTGAACCACAAACTAGTGTCTCTTTCCCACCAAGGATGGAAAGGGTGAGTGGAGATCTGACATCAGGAACAAGAATAAAGCTCTCTGTTGGGATCTGCTGCCCCTGTGGAACCTGCCACCCGAGGCAGTTGCCTCAACTTGCCTCATGGGCTGTCTGGCCCTGGCCAGACAGAAAGTTGGATAGGAACCAGAGCACATCATACAATGTTGTCATTCCATACTTGGCTACGGTGAGCTACAGTCAGCCATTAAATCTCCATGGAGGAGCTGTAGTATGTACACTGTTGTGGAAGTGCCCAATTCTTTCCCCTGTAGAGCATCTGTATGTGATTTAATCTATTTCCAGTGATACTCCCAAGGAAACACACTTGGAAATCTCAGAGCACCATTTCTTGCAGTGACATCAGAATGATCATATATTATTGGATGGGGGACGAGACTCAAAGCCAACACACAGTACAATGCTTAGTTGGATTTCTTTTGTGCTTTCTGCCAGATCATGCAATTAGTGAAAAATGAATATGATGACAAGATTTTGGATGTTCTAAAGTAAAAGTGTGTCATTTTTCTTGGTGTGGGAGAAGCTATCCTTTTTGGCTGGCTTCAACCTGGCTGAAGGTAATAGTGTAGCTACCTGTAACTTCATCACATGTAAACATGTTACCCCTGACACATTGCTCATAGACATAGCATACAAATCAGAAAACTATGCATGTGAGGGCCTTGTTAGTGATGGTAACTTGGTTGCAGGAATTCCTCCCTTTGGCATTTGCCTTCCTCTCTTTACCTTCTTGTGGATGCTAACACAGCTTTACCATTCAGCCAAGTGAGGTGGCTTCCTCAAGCAGCACATGAGATTAACACATGTAATTTGTCTCTTTAACGACCCCAATATGTCAGCCTTTAAATGTTTGTTACAGTTATCTATTCTCTTGCTTTGAGCAAAGCTAGACAGCCAAGAAATACTGGCTCCTTTCCCCCTAATAATAATAATAAAAAGCAACCAGCAGGTTTGCTATCTTACCATAGTTTTTTAAAAGGTAGCTTTTAAGAAACCCATTTGTGTTGTCAGGGTTGCAAGCCAATAACATGTGTGAACAGCAGTCCTGAAGTGCAATTAATTTGTGTGTGTGTGTGTGTGTAAAAAACAAAAAAACTGCTCCTCTATTTCAGTCTATTTCTATTAGGGCTTCTTTGGAAATCTTTGCATTAAAAATATTTTGTTGTTATCTGCTTTCAAACAGGCCTTTAAGACTTTTTAAAAAAAATCAAGTTCTCATACACAAATATGCTGAGCTAGTTTTTAAATGAGTGCTGTTCTTTATTTTGAACCATGCCATATTATTAAACTTGGTTTGTGAGACATGCCTGGCTAGACTAGAGTGTGTTAATGTTGCCACTTGTTTAAATTGTGTGTGTTTTAAAATTATTTTATGACCCTGAGTGTGAGTTGCTCTAAGAGGGAAGTTTTTGTTGTTGTTGTTGCTGCTGCTGCTGCTCTGGATCCTGAAATAATCAGGATCCACCTGATAATAATAATAATAATAATAATATAATACCCTTTCCATTCATATAGTCATAAGGAATGTGCTTGGGTAAGCACAACATTTTAAAAGTTTGCATAGGCTTTAATCTAAAGCCAGCGGAGGGAAAAGGTCAAAGGCCACTGGCGCGGGGGCTGGATTTAAGTTTCTGAATGAGGCCGCCCGCCTCAGATTCCCACAGCTGCTTGTCTCTGAAACATAAGATTTGTCTTCCCCTGCCCTGCCAGTGCTATTAGTAGTATTATTATCTGCTCCCCCTCAGCCAATCAGGGCGGCAGGAGCCTGGTGACGACATGTGCTAGGGAACAGCACTGAGGCAGTGAAGCATCCAAGCTACTAATGTTAGGATTGGAGGTCAGAAGCTGCTCTATGGGGAGAAAGGGAAGCCTTTTAATGGACTAAGCCAGGAGTGTGCCTTCCTTTCCCTCCTCACCCACTCCCCATTCTTTCTTTTTTTCCTGCAAAGGGTATTGCTTTCGATGACAATACCAGACCCTAAGAGGCCGACAGTCTGGATACAGCATGACAGGGCAGACTGCAGGTAATGCTTCCCCCAACCTCATTTTCCCCTTTGCTGCTGTTACACTGGGAACAGGGTTGGCCTGTGGACCTTCCGTTTGCAATTGACACCTGAGCCACGCATTCTTCTGCTTTTGCAATCAAGGAGCTTCTCCTTCTCCGCTGCAGGAGAAAGAGGATCCCAGAAAATGTATGCTTTGTTTTTCGTTTTATAGTGGTGCGTAAACCTTGCTTTGGTGGAGGGGTCTTGTTCCTTGTCTTCAAAGCATCTTGCATCTCCCTGCCCCCTTCCTCTCTGATTTGTAAATGTGTGTGTGTTTTTTTTTAATAACAGCAGTGTCAGAAAATCTGGAGACTGACATCTTATAGCAGTTTAACTCTTGAGGGGATGGAGGGTAAATGGGAAGGGGGGCTTGCGATTGCAAATGCAGAAATCTGTTCTTGCCGCTGACTGAAGTGTCAACACGGATGTCAGCGGCAGGAGCTGCCTTGATGGGCTTCCCATCGAAAGGGAACAATACAGGCTATGGTTGTTATTCAGATGCACGAGAAAGACGTGGCCTTATTGTAGTACCGTCTGTGTGTGTGTGTGTGTGTGTGTGTGTGTGTTTTCCTGGCCAATGCATTCAAGCCATTTCTGTATTTTCTTTTGTTTTGAAAGGGGGCTTTGGGGGCTAATACAATGTAAGGATGTTCTCCATAAGGCATTAGTCTGTGATCTTGAAATGCTGGTGTTTCTTTTGCTAGGCTTCCTCCCTTTGTCCCAGACCTGTATGTATGGCTATGTTATCCAAGTAAGGAACTGTCACCATGCACTATCCTACTCCCTACTGCTCTCTTTGCTCCTTCTGTTTCATGTCAAGGTTTTAGGATCTGTTTGTATTTGGGCACCAGAATGGAAGACGATGAGTGCATCTTTGTTAAGCAGCAATAAGAAGATGATGGTGAAAATGATTTTAAAAAGCAGAGGTGCAAAAATGGGATTGTCTCTAGTATTGTTAAGCATGTGTGACTCAGTGGGCCTCAGCAGCTGAATGCTGATCTTGTTATCCATTTAAAATGGCCCCTATCTCCCCTCTCTCTACTAAAAAAAAAAAAAATGGTTCATGGTCAAGAGGTTTATTTTCAGTGTCTCTAACTGGGATGGGACTCTTTGGGCACTGGCATTTTGTCTTCATGTATGGTTTTCAACACCTTTCATGTGCCTGGGGATGCCTCTTCCTTTTGTCAAGATGTGTATCACTTCTTTTTTTAATACCGAGGAAATAATTTTGGGGTTTGGTATGTTTTACACTGCATTTCTTGTTGATCATAATTTTTGGGGTTTGGAGCTTGTCAAAATTCTGCACCCCTAGGCAGGGCTGCCAAGGTCGAGTGAGGTTTCAGTTCAGCAGGTCAAAGACCAGACATAGATCTGATTGTTTGAATCTTTCACTGGGGCGGGGAAGTGGGGGGATGCGGGGATGGTGTCAACATGGCTGGCTGTTACAGTGGTGGCAGCAGGGGGGCAGGCAGAGGGAGAAAGTCTGAGGGGTGGGTGAAGCAGCTATCTGCTGTAGGGGAAGATAATGGAAAATGCTGGGCCCTGGTGGGGAATGAAATCAAGTGGTCCCCCATGACTCCTCCTTGATTCATAAATTAACATTCTACAGTTTATTTCTAGATTTTCCAGAGGCACAGCTGGTGGGAGAGGGGAGGGGAGGGCTGGGAGAAAGGAGAGGGATCATGGGTGGCAGATTGATGCTAAGGAGGAAGATGGGTTTGCTATGCCAGTGAGGAAGATGGGCAGGGGGAGGCAGGAGAGCTGCCTGAGTGGGAAATGGGAAGCTTGAGGGGAAACAGGAAAGAAGTCAGTTGGTGATGTTCATAGAGAAAGGAACAAGGTGGAAGGGTGGTGTGCAGTGAGAGGTTGAGTGAAATAGCGGTATAAGAAAGCATCCTGGTGGGTCAGGCCAAAGGGGCCCCATCTTGCTCAGTATCCTGTTCCTACAATGACCAATCAGATGACTATGTGAAGCCTATAAGCAGGGCCCAAGCACAACAGTTCTTTCTCCACTTGTGATTCCCAGGCACTAGTATGAAGGGACAGCATAACCATCATGGCTAGTAGCCACTGACAGCTGTCTCCTTCATGAATTTCCCAATCCTCCTTTAAGGCCGTCCATGCTGGCGGCCACTATTACATTTACCATAGTTTAACCATGTAGTGCGATGAGACACTGAAAGAAAAACAAAGGAAAGGGCAGTGTGTTGGATCCTGGGGAAGGTTGATCTGTGTATACATAAGGTTCTGAAGGAGCTCCGCAGAAGTGGAGAGGACCGCAGTACACCTTCTACAGCTACGGATCTCAGCATGTACGTTGCAAGGTGTGAATCGTTGATTGTCAGGTCTGGTTCTAGTTCTAGCTTGGTTACAAGGTAGGCTGTCCGTTCTAAGAGCACACCAACTTTGCAGAGGCTGGCAATTTTATTTATTAAATTTCTGTTCTGCCCTTCATTGTAAGATCACAGGGTGGTTTACAACATAAAAACACAAAAATGCATGTCGTAATAACAAACAAAAATAATGACCCCGACACACACTGCTATTATTGTTTACGAAAGGATATGAAAGGCAAGAACTATGTAATTGCAAGAACTCTGCAATTCAGATTGTCTACTTCGGCCATTGCAGCCGACAAATGCCCAATAACGAGGATGGACAGTTCCTCTAAGTTTGGGTGGACAGTTCCCTTTGCATAGTTGCAGCAATAATGGTGGGGTATCATCAGACAAAAGAGAGTGCCTGTTTCAGGTGACTGACAAATTCTGTTGCACCTTCTTTGGGTGAATTTCTTCATAATGGAGGCTACAGGGAAACCTTTTCTCTTGGTATTAAGCCATCCCAGCTCTGCATTAATTACTAACTTTAGAATCAAGCTGCATCAGAAAGACGGCATGTCCATTATTTCAATGGGTCTCTAAGTAGGAATAGTATTGGACACAACCCAGAGTTGCCACATCACTTGCAACTTAAAGTAGAACAGCAGTAATTGAGTGCTGCTATTTATCCATGTCTGAAGTTACAATTTGCTGTTGGGTTTTTGGTTTTCAGTGGTAGTGGTATTTTATATATATTCTAAAGGGACCACCTGCTTCTCCATGAACCTGCCGATCCACACCATATATTCAAAGCATATTTATTCCATTTTAACAGTCATGGTGTCCCCCAAGAATCCTGGGATCTCCAGCTTCCTCCTCACGGAGCCACAGTTCCTATAAGTCTTTGGGTAAAACCATGTGCTTTACAAATTCTTGCTATGTGGTCCCAATCCAGCTGAAGAAAGGCAGGTGGTGGCCAGAGACAGGGCAGTTTCTGGTTTGACCTCGCATCTCTGGAGTTCTTTTCTTCATGGTCTGGTGAAGTTTCTGTTTTGCCAGGGCTTTTAAATGTTGCTTTTGTTTTTATGCTATGTATTTTTTGCTGCTAGAGATTCTTAAAGATATCATTCATTCCATAATTAAGTGAACTTAATTGATTTGCGCTTCCTGGGCTACTGCTTAAGTCCAGAACTTAAATATGCATATTAGTCTACAGTTCTATGAACGTTTGCTCTTCACACATTAATTACTTACCTTTTTATGAGGTGGTCTGAGGTGGCTATTTTGCTTTCAAAAAAACATACACAAAAAAACCCCAAAAAAAGTATATCAGTCAAAACTACATACCAGAATCTACTCTGTTAGGAGAAATTTGCACTGAAATGATGCTGAATTTTCATGAGGTCTTAAAGAAAAACACTCCACTAACTGATATAGAAATGCAAAGAACTGAACAAGGGCCACATTCACACCATCCATTAAAAAAGCTATAATACTACAAAGAATCCTGGGAACTATAGTTTTTGTTAAGAGTGCTGAGAGTTGTTAAGAAACCTCTTTTCCACCCCCAGAGCTACAATTTCCAGAGTTCCCCATGAAGAAGGATTAATTGTGAAATCAGTCTGAGAAGGAAACCACTGGGAAGAAAACAGGGGTCTTCTAACAACTCTCAGCACCCTTAGCAAATTACAGCTTCCAGCATTCTTTGGGAGGAAGCCATGAGTATTTAAAGTGGCATCATAGTGCTTTAAGAGTGTGAATGTGGCCAACACTGGAAGAATGAGAAACAGGGAAACTGAGGCTGGGTACACAATCCCATTTACTCTGGCACCAATGCACTCCCACAACTGGTGTTTGAAGCCCAAAATGCATAGCATTAGTCACAATTCTCGGAAGCCAACTCTTAGATGCTGAGATCCCTTTGCTCCTCCCCCAATAAAATATTTGAGGGGGACAAGCCCTCAAATGATGTCGATGTGCCCTGTCATGTGATTGATTATGCAGGGCGGGGCTTACCTGCCCCCTCCCATACTCCCTGTCACAATCCATCTGTATTCTGTAGCTTCTTGAGAAATACTGCTGTTTCATTTGCTTTCCCTCAAACCAGCTTCCATCCAGTTTGAAAATGTAATCTCTCATTAAGCTGAGGTTTGTATATGCACAGGTGATGGCTTCACTGAATAACAGCTGTGTGAGGACTGCAGGCACGGGAAACAAATCAGGTGAATAATGTGTCCGGCAACATAAAGTGTGACTTGAAACATAGCAGGAGGTAACAACCACCTTAATGTGTTCATGCCCTGAAAGAGACATGTTTGCCCATCCTTACTGCTTAGCCATTTACCTGCCTGGTTCTGTTTACTGTATCCAGTCCCCCTGGGTCTGAGGCTTTGGCTCAGAGCCTTGTCTGCGACTGACTTTACTTCTGTTGCTCCAACCTCCTTTGCTACTTCCAACAGAAACAGATTCCAATGCTCACCCTCAGTCTATCGGGGCAAGTGATGAGGGGATGGAGATTTTCCCAGCGCTTTATTTCTGTGAAGAAAATTTTCCTTTCCTAAGTTCATTACTTGCAATGAATATAAAATGCACCGTTATTTAGGTTGTCAACCTGCATTTTTTCTGTCAACAGTTTTCAGTGCCTCTGTTCCCTCCCGCCCTTAAATGTAATTACAGTCATACCTTGGTTCTCAAACGTAATCCGTTTCAGAAGTCCGTTCAACTTCCAAAATGTTCTGAAACCAAGGCGCGGCTTCTGATTGGCTGCAGGAAGCTTCTGCAGCCAATCGGAAGCCGTGGAAGTCGCGTTGGACGTTTGGCTTCCAAAAATAGTTTGCAAACTGGAACACTCACTTTGCGGTGTTCGGGAGCCAAAACGTTTGAGAACTAAGCTGTTTGAAAACCAAGGCATGACTATAATGTTAAGTGACGTACATAGCATTGCCATTACATATTTTGCAATAACGTTTTCTACACAATGCAACATTTTAACCACATTAAATGTACTTTAATTTTTTCTATCAAATATTTCTGGTGAAATACGGCGAAAATTAACACAGGCTGCTTTTTCTTAAAGCTTTGTTTAGTACAGTCTCTCCCAACCAGGTGCTCTCCAGATACTTTGGACTACAACTCCCACTAGCTGGCTGGGTCTGATGAGAGTTGTAGTCCAACATGTGGGCTTTGGCAAATATAGGTTTATTGGGGTGCTATTGTTTTTAATAAATAAGATAAATATGCTAAAATAGATCACTCTAGGGATCAGAACATTTTCTGATGCAAATCACCCAGTGCAATTTTTTCTGATAGGAAGGTTTTTCTAGGAGTTTTTCCAAATACTTCTTTCTTGATCCTGCTGAGGCTCTCATCATCTTCTATTTCCCTGCTTGGCTGCAGCAGAGGAATCCTGGGAGCTCTTTGTGAAGGCTAGGCATCTCAAGCAAGTGAAGTATTATAGTCAAATGGGATTCAGTGTGCACAGCATTGCTTGTCCTGGTTGGCTGTAGAGAAAATCCAGGGACAATCTTAGAAGAGGAATTTTGTGTCACCTCCTTGATCCTTCTAACTGAAGATGGCCAAGACTGAACTGGGAATGGAAGCATATGCAATACCACTGAGCCAAGGACCCTCTCCCACACCTGGGCTGGGAGAACTTTGGATTTCAGCAGTGCAGGTGGCGCTGTAGTCTAAACCACTGAGCCTAGGGCTTGCCGATTGGAAGGTCGGCAGTTCGAATCTCCGTAACGGGGTGAGCTCCTGTTGTTCAGTCCCAGCTCCTGCCCACCTAGAAGTTTGAAAGTACAAAGTGCAAGTAGATAAATAGGTACCACTCTGGCGGGAAGGTAAACGGCGTTTCCGTGCGCTGCTCTGGTTCGCCAAAAGCGGCTTAGTTATGCTGGCCACATGACCCGGAAGCTGTCTGTGGACAAAACGCCAGCTCCCTCGGCCAGTAAAGCAAGATGAGCGCCGCAACCCCAGAGTCGTCTGCGGCGGGACTTAACGGTCAGGGGTCCCTTTACCTTTACCTTTATCCTTAAAAAGTCCATAACCATCATAGGCTTTCCCTGGTGCCTGTGCCTGGAGGGATATATTACCCCTTGAGGGCTTTCATGACATCAACAGAACCTAACAATATTTTTCATGCATAATTCAACTGACCACCCATGCCCAAGAGGTTTAGGGGCTAGCAAATGAGGCTGCCTTATACCATCTAGCCTAGTGTTGTCTATAATGGCTGGCAGCAGTTCACCAGGTTCTGAAGCAGAGGTCTTCTGCATTGCCTGCTATCAGTTTTTTAACTGGCGATGGCAGAGATCCTCTGCATGCAAAACACATGATCTACCAATGATCCATGGGTGTAGCCAGGGGGGCAGGAGGCATCTGCCCCCCAATCAAGTAAATAAATAAAAATACTTAACTAATAGTAGAAGTAATCAGAATATATGAAATTGAAATGCTTGCTGAGGTCACCTGGATAACGTTGTGTCACATTCTAGCAATGCAACTGGCAACCCAACAGCAATACCTTACCTCAAGGCTCTGCTCATCTCTCTTGCTCAGCCATGTGCCACTTGTGCCATAGAGCAGTCATTCAGTAGTACCTTGTGGAGAGTAAAGACTTGGCTGAGGCCGGTGATAACAGGGGAGTCTCTCAATGGCCTATTCTTACTGAGTGTGCACAGAAAAACTGCATTGAGGGAAAAAGGAAGAATTTGAGATGGACGTGCTAAAAAGATTTCCAGCAAATCCACAAACACTTTATTTAATCTAGATTTATTTTTTAAAAAGAAAGATGAAAAAGGCATGTTCCTTGTAGTTTTGCAAAATATACTTATTAACTGCATGAAAGGTGCTCCTTAGTGTTAACTTTTTCATTTAACTTCCTAGTTTTCAAATGACTGAAGATTTTGACAGATTTTTCTGAGTACTTGGGAGCAAAAGAGAGTAATTTAAAACAGCAGTTGTTGAGACGCTTCATTCAGAATCTGCTAGACAGAGCCAGACAGCGGATGATGACAGGTGGGTGTCCTGCCCCCCCCCCCAAACATAAATCCTGGTTACGCCCATGCACTGAGCTGTGCCTCTTCCCTTGGAGATGCTACTCTCTTGTTCTACTTGCATGAGAGTCAGCTGTCTGGCATGTGTGGTGCCTCAAAGCTCCCTCATTGTGACCATTGAAGTACAGGGGAGACGTGAACAGATTGGACTTCCTTGGCTGCAGCTTTTCCTAGTCACAAATACCTTTGTTGTGTCTGGGTTCTGACATTGATGCTGCCCCCAGCCCAGATCCTGCACTGTTGTTTTCTCTCTCTCTCTCCCCATTTCTATTTCCCGCTGTGCTCTGCAGTGATCTTCCTTATTTGCCATCTGTTTTCTTGCTGCAGCAAAAGGCACCCCCTGATGTGTATACTCACTGGTCAGGCTTCCAGGAATTTCATAGAAATGAAACACTGGGGTTCTATTCTGGGTGTCATATTATGTTTGCATGTCTGACACTTGATCTCTGAAGCCTACGCAGCTACTGAATTTTGGTGTACCTTTGGCGTTCATAAATGTTGTGAGAAGGTGGGGAAAGTAGAATCGGGTCAGCTTTAAAAAGGGATCAGGTGCCTTCTGCCAACTATTAAAGCAGAGTCTATTCACATCTGTAGTCTCAGTTCACATCTTGCATGGTCCCCTGTCACAGACACACATGCAGCTGGCAAGGGTGTCGGTTGTGTTTCCGCACTTTTAATGGGAACATCAGAAACAGTGAGAACAAATCTGATACCACTCTCCCCCTTTCTTGTCTTTGAGTGCATGTGTGAAAATGGCTAATGCATTTATTGTTATTATTTATTGCATTTATACCCACCTTTTTCCTCCATGGAGCTCAAGCTGGTGTACATGGTTCTCTCCTCTTCCTCATTTAACCACAACCCTGTGAAGTAGGTTGCCCTGAGAGATGGTGACTGGCCCAAGGTCACCCAGTGAGCTTTGTTCATGGTTGAGTGGGGATTCGAACCCTGGTTTCCTGGATCCTAGTCTGTCACTCTAGCCAGTAGAATGAAGTTGAGGGATGGAAACCTGAAGGTCTCACTTGTGTTATTACTACTGCTTTTGTCTGAGCCTGCCCTCTACTTCTTCCACTCCTTTTTGTGCCTGTCTTCCTTATCCAACTTCTTCTACTCAATGCGTAAACATGGGAAATGCACAGAATTGCAGGTGGCAAGGAAATTATGCAGGGCATAGAATCACAAGTACAGGTGTTAGAATCAGCTCTGTTGTTGTTGTCTTTTAAAAAATGAATAGCCTGGGCAGCTTGGGTTTATAAACAGTGCATGATTCATACATCTTTTGACCAAAACATCCAATTACCATGACTTGTTGAGAGAGGAGGTTTTCCCTCTTCCATTTCTTCCCATGCCTCTGGTTGATTCTCCCCTGCATGCCAGCCTTTCTGAATTCTAGATTAAGTAGATGAGTTTCAAGAATTAATTATGGAAATGAAGTTTGCACCATTTGCTGCAGCTTTCACTTCCTTCTGTTCATTCACATCTCCTCACCATCACATTAATGATGTCCACATATGCATTTATGAAACTATGGGCTGGTTTGCATTAAGCCAAACCATAGTTTAATGGGAAGGAGCAAGTGTGCAGATATCCAGAGTGAATATTGTGGCTACTCTGCTCGCCCTTGGGTCCTGCTTCTCTCATGCTACCAGTGGTTTGGCTAACGCAACACGAGAATTCAAGCTCATATTTTGTCTCCCCCAAACAAACCCAAAGCAGCAAACCAATATTAAATCTTGGTTATTGCAACTCATGGTTTATTCGGAGCAAGATATATCAGGAAATAGGGTTTTGATTAAGTCAAATAAATAAGACAAATTATGGCTTAGTTCTGGACAGCATGGCAGTATCAGATTCAGGGAGGAGTGATTTGTATGTACTCCGGTTTATTCTCCCTAAGCCATAGTTTGGCTTAGTATTCAACGTAAACTGGGCTAGTGGAAAAAAGCAATCACAAAGTAATCACACATTTCATGCAGTGTTTCATTGGTGCACATATGCACTGCTGCACATGTGACAAAACACATGAAAGAATCTTGGTCCAACCACATGTACAACATCGTACTTGGGGTTTGTGTGTGTGTGTGTGTGTGTGTGTGCGTGCGCTTTGCCAATGCATCTGTGTGCATTGGTGATGGAGAGGTGGTAAATGTCATGACTGAATGGAAAGCTGTGTCAAACTGTGCATGCAGAGTGTTTTGTACAAAATTTGGATTTATTTTTATTTTTAAAGGAACAATGAACAATTCTGGATATGTCAATCTCAGTTTAGAAACAGGACTGGGTAATTTGGAAGTCTAGTCTCCAGGGAGGCCTTCAAGTGAGAATTTTGGAAACATTACTGATGGCTGCCTTTTCTACCCCAATTGTAATTTGTACAATTGTCAGAACTGGATGGCTGTTCTGTTCTGTGCTAGATCGGTGGATATTTCTGAGCTACAAAGGTATCTCAATTTGCCCCCAAACAAGGTGGGGGACAAGGATTGGGGGGAAGGCATGTGACACGCCCACCACTAGTTTTGCAGATCTGTTTGGAATTTCCCACAGCTACCCTTAAGTGAAAACAAAGACATCAGTGCCAATCCCAAATATCCTGTGTAACATATAGTTTGGCCTTTATTTATACAGTTATCAGATCAGTTTAGATTTATTTCTTGCAACCACTGGTTGTTACAATACGAAGCAAGGAAGATGAGCATTTAATAACAAATGAGATGAGAAATAACATTAACTTAATTAAGCATAAATCAATAAAAAAACAATTAAAAGACTGGCAGTCAACCCAGCAAATGAAATAATAATAAGTCCAGCCTAACTGTACCAGCTTCCTGTTTTGTTTTTATTAACCATGACAAATCAAATAAAAATGATGGAAACAGCCAGGATTCTCCACTTGTCTTTTATATTTGTCTTAATAAATATATAAAAACAAGCTTGTGCCTAAGCTAGTGCCATTAGGAAGGCAACAACTCTTCTCTTTAGCTTGATATCCTTTTCATTTTATCTTTTCACACACAGATAGGGCTGGCCCTACCATTAGGCACAGTAGAAGAGATGCTTTATATGGAATATTTTTATGGGTGGGGAGTGGACAGAGCAGGGTCCTAAATGGCTTCCGCAGGACTCCCTAAGCTGATCTGCTGCCCCCAAGTGTAGTGGAGGCTGCTCTCCCATTGCCAACACTGAGGTAAGATTGAGCTGCCAGTGTGTTAGCTTCTGTATGCGGAATGCAGAGGGACACCACCTTATCTTTTGCCTCAGGTAGCAAAGTATCTTGAACCCATCCTACACACAAAGAACATGGTACCATTGATGGTTTTCCTCTAATACCTTCTGTTAACAATTAAGCAGATAGTGGAGAAGATCCCAGCTTTGTCTAATCAACAGCAGAGCTTTATGGCGTCTGTGCTAATCTGCCTACAAGAAGTGTAGAAGACATTAATGGAAACCTCACAATAATGATTTCATTAAGCAAGCAAAACTTTTTGATTTTAAGTAAGCAGACCTGTGGACGTGGGTGTGCCCTCATCCAATCCCTCCCTCCCACCTGCCTGCCCCTTATTACTTACATCCAGTCCAGAGAGTGGCCCTGCCTGTCAGCTTCTGCCTCCTTAGCTCAGTGTGTCTCTTGTAGATGGGGACAAAACTTAAGTTAATTGGCTGTGCCTGTCATTTTCTCTGACTCCACCTACTGTTGGTTTCTCTGCCTCTTGCCCTATAAGCCGCAATTGGCAATAGCCAGCAGTGGCTTGGGGGATATCTTTATAGATATTCTTATATCAAATAAAGGGTCCTGTTTTAAACTTCAAATACTGTGCCAAGGTGTGTCATTTTGGCTCTTAGAATTTTGTTCTGGATACAGTGTAAGGTGATTAGAACTTTGGAAGTCTCAGATGTCTGGTCCCTGCAGGTATTTGGAGCTGAAGGGAGGGCCTGTTTTCTTCCAGCAGGGAGCCAACATGATGCTCTTGAGATATTGTGGGTCTTCATCTCCCACCATCCTATCCCTGACCATTCTTGTCTGTGGAATGCTCTCCCCAGGGAGACAAGCAAGGTGCCTTCTTTTATATGTCTTTAAGTGCCAACAAAGTCTTGTCTCAGACTTTTGTCCCATAATTTGAAGTGTGGCACTGTGCCCTCTTTTAGTGGGGTAGGATCTGTTAGTCCTGCCTTTTACTTGCACCTGTGTTTTTAGGGGGTGTTTTTTGTTTTTGTTTACTTGGTTGTTATTCATTGCTTTTTAGCCTAAGTTCTTTTGGGATGCTCAGGGCAAAAAAATGGACTAATCAATGTAATTAATCTTTCAGAGGTTATAAGAAACAAAGATCATTATGCCCTAGATAAAACAAAATGACTGCCTTGGTTTCTTCCATCTGTCTCTCTGGTCGTTTTAACTGTTATCTAGTTTTGAAATTGTTTTGTGGGTCTTTGGACCGCAATAAAGTTTTGATTTGATGTAATTAATAATATTAGTAATAGGCCATGCTGGACCACCAACTGCTACCTTCTGTAGATGTTTCTCTACCATCTGAAGAACTATAAAGAAGGTCCAGCAAAAAACTTTAGACCAGTCATGGGGAACCTCCAACTCATGGGCCTCATTAGGCTCACCTGGCCTCCTCATTTTACTCACAAGGCCATTTTGGCCAAGCCCCCCTACCTTATAACTGACATCATATATATTGTCAGGTGTGGGGCAGGTAAAAATGCAGCTCCCATGGGGTTTGCTTTTGCAATCACTATCATGGTTGTTGGGGCATGCAAAGTGCCTCTGCTTGTGTGGGTTGATTTCAAACCACGTGAGCAAAATTAAATATGACACCATTGTGCCATCAGGTGATTGGCAGGTAGGTGGTTGGCTGGATCTGGCAGCCCACTCCTACCTTAGAAACTCAGAGTAACTTGATTGGTTTACTATAGGTCACATGCTTGGATATTTAGTCTTGGGACTGGCTTGCATGCATATTACATGTTGCTTAATGACTGTCAACAGCAATGATGGGTCAGTGCATCCACTAAATTCAGAGGCAGTACACTTGTGATCATCATATGCTAGGGCCAAGCAATGGGAAGTGGCTGTCTCCATTTTGCTGTGATGTGACTACCACAAAAACAGCTACGTAGTGCCACTTCTGGGAATAGTGTGCTGGAGTAGATGGTCCCTTGGTTTGATTCAGCGCAATCAGTTATTATGTTGACAATGGTCTCAGACAAATTCTTGCGTCAGAAACAAGCTATTTACAAGCTAAGTAAATAAACCAACAGCAACAATTGTGCATGCTTACATACACCCAGCATAGAAGTGATCAGATTGTTCCCAAATTATACTCCTGATAGCCCAAAGAGAAAGCCAACAGAACTATGGGCCTCACCGATAATCAGCGTAACAAATTGTGGCCACATCTATAAGATTTAACCAGTATGTTAGCCTGAGGCATACTTAATGCCTGTTCATTAAAGGATCAGATGAGCATGCAGGCAGCATTCCAGTTGTTAAAATATTCATGTGCCAATAGGAGTGTCTGTTCCTAAGACAGGCAAACCTGAGCATAATGCATGACAGTCATATGGTTCTTGACTGGTCAACATTAAACCAATTTTCTACCCCCTTAGTTACCTGCTTTTCTTACTATTCACAGCAGTTCCCCTGCGAATTACCCCAGTACTCACAGGTTGCTGTTTTTCTTCAAGTAGAACTGTTGCATAACCGGACTGTGAGTTTGCTTGCTGTGGGCCACTGGTCCTGCCTCACTGATATGCCTATGGAAGAGTCTATCGTTGCCCTGATAAGCTGCTTCTTACCCAGCTGTAAAAGCCAGCATCTTAGCACACTGTAGAACAGGGGTGAGAAACCTGTGTGCCTCCTGATGTTGTTGGATTCTAATTCCTGTCCACCTGTGTCAATACCGCCATTAGTCAGAAATGATGCAGCTTGTAGTTCAGCAACACCGGGAGGCAGGGGTAGTGCAAAACAGGACGTGCTGCTTTGCCCTGACGCTGCCATCACCACCTACCTGCTCCTGCTACTGCCTGCTCTGCTGCCGCCACATGCTCTGCTGCATCTGCCACTGACGGAGAAGCAATACCACCAGTAGCCCCAATTTTGGGCAAGATTGTGCCAATTTGGGGCATGATCTTGCCCAAAATTTGCACTGGGTGTGGTGCTGCTTCTGTGCCAATGGTGGAGGTGGCAGGGCAGGCAGGGCACCCATAGGCGTACCTGATGGGGAACTTCTGCCACCTGAAGCAGCGACCTCACCCTGCCTAATAGCTGAGCTGCCTCTGTCTGGAGAACACGAGTTCTATTTTATTTCAGTAAACATGTTCCTCAACTTAGTGCCGTCCCCTTATTTTGGACTACACCTTCCATCATGGCCAATATTCAGGAATGATGCATGTTGTAGCGCAGCAGCATTTGGAGGGCCAGAGGTTCCCCAAGATCCTGCCCACACCCCGGCATTCAATGTGCACTCACTTAAAATGGCTGCTGAGTTCTTCCCTTCCCCTCTTTGTGCACCAAACTTTCTTCTGATTCCTGGACCAGATAATTCATCTCTCCTCCACCCCAAATTAGTTACATATGTACAGCACTCCCAGATTCCACTTAGGGAAGTGGAAGTTTTCGTATGCCGTCACTGGAGACACCAGTTTTCCATCAGCAATGAAAGCTAAATGCTGCACACAGCAGTGGGAGAGCCGATAAGCATAGAGACACTTGTCTAATTTACAAACTTGTAGCACCAAACAGCAAAGCGATCAATGTTTGAATAAGGTCCACCATTTATTAATAGAGAGATCACAACTTGGAATACACCGTAAACAAAATCAAACATTGCTGATAATGTGCATAGATTTATTCTGTGCTGTTTCAAAGGATTAAAATGTGGATGTTAACAGCAATGTTTGATTTTCTTATTAATGACTTCTGTGATATCTCTGTTAATAAGTCATTGACTGTGTTCAATAATTGATTTAACCAGTAGATGGACACCAGCAATTTGAGAAGGTCTGGGAGCCGACACACATTGCTTTCCCCATGGCTACCGCACACGCACTAGTCCACTCTCAGATAGACATGGTGAAGTACTCTTCCATGAAAGCTGCTCTGACTTTCATCTTCATTCAGAAATAATGTGATCAGGCTGCCCCTCCTGACCACTAGCCCACTTCCTGATCTGCTGTCACTCTTCCTAGTGATCAGGTGCTCCTGAGGGCTGTTACAAGGACATCTGTACCAGGGATGGGGAACTTGTGACCATCCAAACGTCGTTGGACCCCAGTGGTCAGGGATGCTGGTTAGACCACTGCAATGCATTGTATGTGGGGCAGCCTTTGAAGACCATTCAGTAACTAGTGCTGAACACAGCAGCTGACTTGTCAACTCAGAGAAGAAGGCATGAATATATAGTATGGGTCCCCGCCTGACTGAGCTGTCGGCTAGCTTGTCTTTGAGGCCGATTCAAAATGCCAGTTTTGCTCTTTAAGCATTGTACAGCTTGGGACCCCTATAGTTAATGGATTGCCTTTCCCCATATTAAATTGCCTGCTCCATAAGATTGTCATACATGCCTCCTCTAAGGAAGGTTAGAGCCAGGGTCAACAAGCTTTTTCAGCTGTGGGCCAGCCCACCATCCCTCAGACCATGTGGTGGGCCAGACTATTTTTTTGGGGGGGGGGATGAACAAATTCCTATGCCCCACAAATAACCCAGAGATGCATTTTAAATGAAAGCACCACATTCTACTCAGGTGAAAACATTCTGAATCCCGGACCGCCCGTGGGCCGGATTGAGAGTGTGATTGGGCGGCATCTGGCCCCCGGGCCTTAGGTTGCCTACCCCTGGGTTAGAGAGTGGTGTCCACCATTTATGCTCCACATCTATGGAATGCTATGCTCCACTTGGCACCCAGTTTGTCATTGTTTCAGTGCCGGGCAATACATTTTTGTTTTCCCATGTATTCCCATGGGCTGCCTCAGTGACTGGGTGTTTTTACCCTGATTATGTTTTTAATATGGTTGTGTATTTATTTTTACTAGTATCACTGTATTTCCTTCTTGAAATTGCTTTATGACTTTCTGTTGTGGGAGGCAATTCATAAATTTAATAAACTTAACCAAGTAACTAAATCTAATCTAGCAACATCTGGAGTGCTGCAAGTTCCCCATCCCTGATTGGCTGGGACTTGGACACCAGTGTCACCAGGAATGGCAAGTGATGGGCCCGATAAAGGCTATGAACTACTTGATATGAGGAATGTCCTGGGTATGGATATCTGTGAATATCTTTATTTTCAAACTTGATGCCAAAACCAGGCCAAAACCTTTGGTGCTCTGGACTCAGTAGCGAAGTGAATTCAGCTTGCACAGTATTCTCTGCATGCCTTTGTGGGGTACCCTTCAGTTCCTTTTAAAAAGTACTGCCGAGATTACAGATGTGTCCAGACAGGGATGAAGCCAGTGCGTGGAGCTGTTGCTGCCAGAGCAGAAGGGCAGGGGACATATAGGCAGGCATGACACACAGCCACACTTTCACATGGTCAGCCAAGCAGTCAATCACATACTCCGCAGGTGGGTGTGGGGCGGGCAGGTTCATTCAGTTAGGAAAGCACACACAGCCTCCTGGTCCAGACATTTTGCTTAGGTTTGTGCCTTCACTGGCCTTTGCTCCTCCCAAGTCTGTGCTTCCCCTCCACCAAACAGAACCTCACAAGTTCAAGTGGATTTCCTGGGACATTGCATTTGTGTGCACAAAAGATAAATTTACCTTATTTAAGTATATATCATAATTGAACAACCAGTGGATATCCCATAGGCATTTTGTTGGCCAATGCGAGAATAGGATTCTTGAGTAGATGGGCCATTGGCCTGTTCCAAAAGGCTCTTCTTATGTTCTTATATTTAAGTCTGGGTGGATAAGAACAGCTATGGAACAGCAAGTGCTCTACTCATTAGGCTACTCCTACCCAGAAGTTGCTTTACAAAAACTTCACTGGCTGCTAATGCCCAATCAGCAACAGTTGTTGGGGTCACATTTTTTGCCACCACCACCACCAAAAGTATTGGGTTTCTGAACTTGCTTTAATATGCTAGCCAGGGAGAGGCAGGTGCTGTCATGAAGCCATTCTGCCTGGCCAGCTGCCCTTACTAAACCTCTGTAACATGGAAATCTGGCTTGTCATCTGCCATACTGGGGGGTGTGTGTGTGTGTGTGTGTGTGTGAGAGAGAGAGAGAGAGAGAGAGAGTTTTCCGTATTGAAAAGAAATGATTACATGATTTAATATTATTTTAACAATTTTGATAATGTTGGAAGGAATGGAAGAGTCAAGAAGACGGGGTAAACAAGGGAAGAACATATTATTATTTTTAGTGGTGCATACTGAAACTTAGTTATATTAGGGTATTCGGATTAGGGGCGATGCCAAGGACTTCAGCTTGACAAGACCTTTGATATCACGTTGTGATTTGGACAGGACCAACCTTGTTGCAGTACAGTTTGGGTTCTTGATTTGTATCAATGACAGTTCTGCAATTGATCAAAGGTTTCACAAATAGATCTATCCTAGATCAAGGCTTTGATGCAAGGTTACGGGTGCAATCCTGTTTGCTATGGATGGATAAATCTGTCAGCTTTAGTTTCTTTTAATTCTTCACATTTTCCCAGTCCTCTAACTTCATAACATTTCTGGAAGTTGAATTTTGATTCAGTACTGGTGACTGGGTAGTATCTTCCATCGCAGCTGAGGCAACAGATCAGATTGGGGGGATCCAGAGAGAGACCATGTGTCAACCAAGGGCAATGGCTCAGGTAGGGAAAGGCTATTGTTGCCCCTGAGCATCTGCTCCTTGAACTGATTGTCTCACCTTACCTATCAATAGGGCTTTCCCTGTCCCTGCCTTGATTCCTTATCGAGAAGAACATTCTGAATTGGGGGTGGGGGAGGTCAGAGCTAGCCCACCCATGAGGCAATGTGAGGTGGCCACCTCAGGCAGCAAGATCCACAGGGGCAGCAGACCCCAATGCAGAACTTAACACACCCACCCCACCACCTGTTCCTAATGTGTGGTGGATCCTCTTATCCCTTCTTCCCCGGTGGGGAGGAGGTGTCATTTTGTGGTTTGTCTCAGGTGCCAAAATGTCTTGGGCTGGCCCTGGGGAAAACAAATGTACAAATGAGTAATGCTAGCAAGGAGGCACAGTACATCCTTGAAGATATGCAGCAAAGGAGACTTGGTTACGGTGACCTGATCAGGTGTTCAAGCTGTCTGTTGCTATGGTAATGAGGCTGAACTAGAGTGAGAAAGAGACAGCAATTTTCTCAGTTTGGAACCACGTCTCTTTTCTGCTCATACTTGAGAGCTTGGAGAGCGTTATGTCCCAGACATGGTAACACACCCACCAAAAAAGAAAAAGAAAAAAGATAATGGTGTGGAAAGAGAATGCTGATTTTCTAAGCATTCATCTCCCCACCCCCACCCTATTAGCATTTATTTGCTGAGAACAATAGAGGACTGTATGATGTGAAGATAGACTGCATTTACTCAAATGTAATGCACACCTTTTTTGGCCAAATTACGTTGCGAAAATTAGGGTGTGCATTAGATTTGATGGTGCATTTACATTTGCCAGCAAATACTTTTTTTGGTTCCAAGGTTTTGACAACTGAGGTGTGCATTAGATTTGATGGCGCATTAGATTCACGTAAATACAGTATTTTACAGTGCAGTCTTATGGAGGATAGGGCTTTCAATGCCTAAAAGCAACAATGGCTGTGTTTCACCTCCACTGTCAGAGACAAAGGTGTTGTTGTTGGCATCCATCTGTCTCTGGAGACAATGAAGGAGTACGCCTTTGGGGGGTGAGGTCAAGCTATTGGAACGTTGCAGCACCTGCTGTGAGACTGATGCTGGAGAGACATGTTTTGTTGCAGCTGGGGCAGATGAAGGCGTCCAGTTGTGCTGCTGCAGATGCACAGGGCATTTCTTTTGCCTGTGCTCCTCCCAGTGGTCATTCCTCTGGTCACTGCCATGGATGCACAGCTCAGCTGCCCATCTCCAGGTAATGCAGTCTGACAAGGTTGATGTTTACGCTGCTAGCCTTTAGGTCACATTTGCAGACAGCAATTCAGACATTCAGCATGTCTCTGAGTATCAGTTGCTTGAAACCTCAGATGGGGAGAGTGTTATTGCACTCAAAACCTGCTTGAGGGCACCTGGTTGGACACTGGAGGAAAAGGATGCAAGACTAGATGGGCCACTGGGCTGATCCAGCAGCCAGACTCTTCTTATGACTGCTAAATGGAAGCTCCATGCTCAAAAGAAGTCTGACACTGAATAGAGATGGACAGATTGGTCTGTTTCTGGTCCTGCCAATTTCACATGCATTCTTAAATTCATTACCATCCCATTTCCAAATTAATCTGATATTTCAATTTTATTCTAAAGCTGCATTGGTGTGGTGGTTGTTTGGGCTAATTAATCCAATCTAATTAATGCACTAGATCCAGACAAAAGGAGTCAGGCTTATTCTTATTTAAATCAGCATGAAAAGCCTGTAATCACTAACTTTGATTTCAATGGGACCTAAACATGAATAGATTGGCCTGGATATAACCAAATAAAGCACTGTGTCCAGGTACCTAAAAGCAATGGGTTGTTTTTTCTTTTTATTAAAAAAACCCCTTATTTAAACATAATTTAGCCATCTCTTTCTGACAGAATTCAGGAAACAACTTAGTCAAATAACAAGTTTTAATCACCAGAATTAGGCAGGCAGTTCTCAGTTATTAACATGCAGGGTGAAGAAAGCCTCCTACAAGCAGTCAGTATTGGACAAATACTGTTGTATTATTTGCCCTGAACAAGGTCCGATGATGTTTAGCAAAGAATGGTTTATTGCAACTGAGGTTTTCACCTCATTTCAAAATAGAAGAGCCATGCCAAACTTAACAGCTGTATTGGGACACTGCAATAAACTGTGGCTTATGGGAGAACTTTCCCCAACATGGTGCCCCCCAGGTATTGCTGGACTGCGACTCCCATCATCCCTGACTATTGGCCATGCTGGCTGCGGCTGATGGGAGCTGCAGTCTAAATTATCTGGAGGAACCATGTTGGGAAAGGCTAGTTTATCATGATGGGAATGATCCTAGCCTTCTCTTAGCTCTGCATGTTTTACTCTCTGCTCTCCTCTTCCACCCCTGCTGCTGGAAGGAGATCAGAAGCTTTTACTTGCCATTTCAATTAGAGTTTAGCGCTATCTCCAAACCCATGGTTTGAAGTTGGCTTGCTTCAAACAAACCAGTATTTAAGACTGGCCACAATTTTTCAGGTTTAGGTGGCATAGAAATCTGTGCTTGGTCAAAAACCCATGTGATAACTTTTTTTAATAACAATTTTTATTAAATTTTCTAAATTACATTTTAAAATATTCATTTAAACAACCTTGAATCAATGACTTCCCTTCTTCTCCTTCCATGGTTCATTTTGCATACCATATATCCCTACATATTTCACATGAACTAAACCATTCAGTAATCTTTGTTATGTCCATCAAAACTTATTTACACTGTTGAATTTATCTTAATGCTACCAGCGTTTTTAAATAAACACAATTTTCACTTATATATTCAGTAAACATTTCCCAGTCTTCTTTAAACGTGCATTCTTCTTGTTCTCTTATTCTGTAAGTTAAGTCTGCAAGCTCCACATATTCCATCAGTTTAAGTTGCCATTCTTCTTTGGTTGAGACCTTGCTCGTTTTCCATTTTTGGGCTTACAAAACATGGGCCGCGGTAGTAGCATACATAAATAGTTTGGGTTTTTTGACACCTGGGAATTTTCCTTTGAATTATCCCCAACAAAAAGGACTCTGGAGTTTTTTGGAAACATACTTTCAAACATTTTTTTCAATTCATTATATATCATATCCCAATATTCTTTTACCCTTTTACAAGTCCACCACATATGATAAAACCTCTTTACATCTCCAGCACTTTGGATGTGAAAACTTTCAAATTCTTCCTTGATTCCACAGAAAATACATAGTAGTTGGTCATGAAGTCCATACATATGCTGTACTCATTCTCCAGTAACTTCTCCTGCATTGTACTGTATGTGAAAGCAAGATCTCTTAGTATATCCTCCTTTAAAATAAAACCAATCTCTATTTTACTACATTTTTTATTGTATCCTTTCCCCCAAGGAGCTCAGGGTGGCATATGCTGTTGTCCTCCTTCTACCCCTCTTATCCTCCCAGCAAGCTTTTGAGGTTGGTTTTAGAGACATCTGTCCTACTTTTCTAAAAATGAACAAATAAACAAAATAAGCATTAAGCAGCTCATAGCAAGGAATTTCAAACGAACAGAAATACAAAGCGAATGAGGAACACGCATTCTGCTTAAAATTGCACATTACAAAAACAATAGGGACTAAAGCACCCACCGTCCAAAAGAACCAGGTAAGGGATAGGCGAGCAAAGATTCATCTCACAGAAAGGCAAGAATGCATCAAATCAATCAGGCTCATGGCTGTTCCAGAAGAACCAAGTATTTATGCCTATTGAGCCTCCCTGAAGGGTGAGGGTGACATTTTGTAAGATTGGTTCCATAGCCAAAAATACTTTGCTGCAAGTGGATATCCTTTGAATTTCACATGGTGGAGGCAGATGGAGAAAGGTTTCATACATTGAATGAAATGCACAAGAGGGTCATACAAAGGAAATGAGCCTAACTCCCCCGCCCCACCTCCTTGTACCTTCTTCTGACCTGTACAAGCTGTTCCACCAGGGCTCCAGCTGCAAAGAATGAGAAATGAATGTTTCAGAAATAAATGGATTTTCAACCAGAACGCTTTCATCTGTATTACCTTTTAATGTTGTGTAACTAAAAGAAATGGGATTGTTGGTTTTCTTTTAATTTATTTTTAGAAAAAGTAAAGAAGGCACAGTCACAGTGGAAAATTGAAATTTTAGAGTCAAGATGCCCTTAAAAATGCAGGAACAAATCATATAATAAGAAATGCTATATATAAAGTATGGGGAAAAATACAAAAGATGTTTGGAACAGAAAACCCCAAGATGGAACTTTCCACTAGAAGCAATCGCTGTTAAAAAACAACAACATCAAAGAGAACTGGATAACGTATAACACAATATTAAGGTAGGAGGAGGGTCAACTAATATTGAGGTTATGAGAAAATATATTATCACTTTTCTAGTTGGCTAGATTACTTCCAGGTGAATGAAGTGTTCAGACAGGATAAGCAGACAGGTTTTGAAAAGGAGCCTTCAAGATTTGAAAGAGAACTACTGAATAGTAAAACCAAGGTAATTGCAAAAATGTATAGACTTCTTTTAGACTATGAAGTAATGGATGAGGAGGTTAAGGCTTCACTGATAAAGTGGGCCCAAGATATGGGCCATCCAATTATGTTAAAAAATTGGGAAAACTTATGGAATGTAAATTTGAAATTTACAGCCAGCTATAATATAAGAGAGAACATGATGAAAATGGCTCATAGGTGGTACCTCACTCCTTCCAGATTATCAAGAATGTATAAAAATCTGGTGAATGCTTGTTGGAGATGTGGAGGAAATAATGGTGACATGATCCACATGTGGTGGACGTGTGAAAAGATTAAGAATTTTTTTTGGGGGGGGGGGGAAATATACGATGAATTAAAAAAGATGATGGGGATAACTTTTACTAAAAAACCGGAGGCATTTCTATTAAGTATTTTAGATAAAGAGATCCCAAAAAATCTAAGGGAGGTATTCTTGTATGCAACCATAGTGGCTCGAATACTTGTGGCCAAGGGATGGAAAGATAACGAGGCTCCAAAAATAACAGATTGGCAAATCAAATTACAGGAATTGGTGGAGACGGCTCAATTGACTAGCAAACTCAGAGGAAACTCAAAGCAAAAATTTGCGGAAAAATGGGATGGTTATAGGAGATATGTTCAAAAATGCAATAATAGTTTTGACTCCATGCTAGCATTCGAGTGATAAAGGAACTAAAAGGAGGTGGACAACAATTAAGGATGTGTTATGTTTTCAGAATGTATTGGAAAATTTATATAGAAAGGTTTATTGTATTGTGTACATTCGATTGTAAGATAAAATATATGCAAAGGGACTTGACAGGAAGTCAAAGTTGAAGAAAAGATTTTGTAAGATAAAAGGGGGGGGAAATATTTACTTTCATTATTATCATTTGTGTGTGTGTGTGTGTGTCTGTACATATGTGTGTTTTTGTATGGAATGTTTGGGAGGAAATAAGACAGTAAATAACAAATAACAAACTAAATATTGATGTATGTAATTTTTATTTCTCAATTATATTTAGTGGTAGTATGGTTGTACTGTTTTTTGTAACATAAAATCATTCAATAAAAATTATTTTTTTAAAAATAAAAATGCAAAACCATTCTTAGGTTACCCTGGTGCTACTTATAGGGAGAGAAAGAGTAGCATTAGAAATTATGGTAACCCGTGGTACCTTTCTGCATGCCCTTAGGAAAGACCTAATTATTCTGAGTTGCATTGCTGTTGGAATCATGCAGATTGCAGTGGTCTTATCTCCACCACTCCTGCATAGGGCTACCAGGTCACACAATCAGTACCTCCATAAATGCCAACCAAATTGGCTGCTCATTGGCAGCCTGGTGCTCCCCTGAAGGCTATCATGCTGAGGTCACCAGATCTATGAGTTGGCCCATTTTGAATAAGTGTAAGATGCTGTTGGCTTGATCGTATGAGAATGACCCACCAAAAATCTTAGACCCATTGGAATGAACTGAAACTGTGCAAGGGTATGGTTGCTCATCTCACTGTGGCTTGCACAAGTGCATTATGTTTAGGCATATATTTGCATATGTGTTGCCTCCTGTGAAAACAAAGAACAAAAGAGGACACGGATTTGCATAAAATGTTCACATGCTAATTTGCATGTACAGATTCAAATCTAGAAAGAATTGCTTTAATTTAAAAAGAAATACAATGCATTTCACCATACTGGGAAAGATTGGGACCACCTGTGTGCCAATCAAGTCTGTTCTCCAGGTGCTAACTGTGGATAGGCAACTTAAGAATGTACCGTAAGAGCTAAAGCTCCATGGTATAACATCTGCTTTGCCAAAGGGCTCAGGTTCAGTCCCTGGCATCTCCCGGTAGGGCTGGGAATATCCTTTTCTGAAATCCTAGAGAACCACTGACAGTCAATGTAAGACAATTTGATCGATTGATTGATTGATTGATTGAATGAATGCAAGACAGTACCGAACTTGATGAACCAAAGGTCTGCTTCAGCATGAGGCAGCGTCCCTTGTTCTTAAGTATCCTGACCAACCAAATGAACAGCCTATGGAAATCCCCTGCTGTTCTCCTTTCTTAGGGTTCTTTTATCTTTAAACTGGACATGGATCAGATATCTCTCCAGATAGAGGACTCCTTCCAACAGAGGATGGTCCCCAAACAGCCCTTCAAATGGAGGACTCGCCTCCTTAAAGTAAGATGCATAGCCAACTTGATCATGTTGTCAGATTGGCCTGTGTCTAATTCTGCCACTCTTAAGGGCACCCTATATCTGCTACCCAAGGGTGCTTTGTGGTAGGGCTGAAGGCAATGGAAGCTTCTTGATCTTTAATGGTGATGTACCCAGATCTAGTGGCGGAGCTTCATGCTCCGGCACCAGGGGGCGGAGAGCAGGTGGGCGTGGGGGTGGCGCACGCCCACCAGCTCTCCACCCCCCGGTCCTGGAGCATAAAGCTCCGCCACTGGATCTGGGTACATCACCATTAAAGATCAGGAAGCTTCCATTGCCTTCAGCGCAGGCGAGGGGGCAGCCACGATGGCACCCCACCTGGATTGCACTGCCGGGGGCGGTGCACTCCCCCCCCCTCCTCTGCCAGTGCCCAGATCATAGCCTGATACAGTGGCAGACCTACATTTTGGGGGCCCTGAAGCTTGAACTGTCATGGGGCCCCCTTTGCAACCAGCAATGAGGTCTGGGTGACCACTGCTATCTTCTGCAAGGGGGTTGTTCTACAACAGATCATCACACCTTTACAACATCTGTTCTACCGACTCTCATACTTTGGGATTGTTGAAATATATACAAGAAAAAATAACCAATTTGAGTTGTGTGCCTCAAATTGGGTCAACTCCAAAAAAAATAAGCAATGTGGATGAAAACTGCTTCTGGGGCCCCTTCAGGATTAGGGGCCCTGAAAGTTAAGCTTTATTAGTTTCATAGTAGATCAGCCCCTGGCCTGACCTCATGTTTTGGTATGGAAATATTCTAAAGCTTCAACTCATTAGGTTTTGTAGTTTTGTTGTGCTTGGAAAGAGGCTGTGTGCAGCCTAATATTGCATGAAACCTGTTTCTTTCTTCAGTTTGCTTGACAAGTGTTTTACATCTCTCCTCCAGCATAACTAAATGTACACTATTCTGACCTGTTCTGCAAAAACCAATAATGTTTCTACAACTCCAACTGCCATAGAAGAATTCTTCTTCTGTCTTCCCTTCCTTAACAAGGTTATTTTTATCTTGATGCAGTCATCCTCTACTTCATTTTTGTTCTTTTTTTCTCCCTTCATCCTGAATTTTGATCAATGCTTTATGAGCCAGGCTAGGACTGTGTGTGTGTATTTTGCATGTTGTTGTTTTTTTAAAGATCATGCATCTCCTGCAGGGGATTTGAAGGGCAAGAGACATACTCAGAGGTTGTGTTGCTAAAGTCTTTGCAAAGAGAGATTCATGGGATCCTGGAGATGAAATTACATCCTTGCAAGACTCTGTCAGGTTAAACCTTTGTTGGAAGCACACAGGTAGCAGATTATCCATTCACTGAATTGCAAAGGCTCTCACTTGAATGGTATGGTAAAAATGGGGCTGAAAAAGAAGGCCAGGCCAATGCATAGTCAATAGGCCATTTACAATGGTAAGGTCCTGAAATTTTGTTTCATCTCTAATGGTAACCTCCACAGGGTCAGGGGACCACATTTTCAAATGTTTTGCAAATGCTGTCTTGTAAAGCAAATAGGATTTATGTCTCCTAACCTGCATCTTTTATTTTTCTGCAAGGACCTACCATATTTTTCCATGTACAGTGGTACCTCGGGTTAAGTACTTAATTCGTTCCGGAGGTCTGTTCTTAACCTGAAACTGTTCTTAACCTGAAGCACCACTTTAGCTAATGGGGCCTCCTGCTGCCGCCGCGCTGCCGCTACATGATTTCTGTTCTCATCCTGAAGCAAAGTTCTTAACCCGAGGTAATATTTCTGGGTTAGCGGAGTCTGTAACTTGAGCATATGTAACCTGAAGCGTATGTAACCTGAGGTACCATTGTATAAGATGCCCCCATGTATAAGACAACCCCTATTTTTTAAACCCAAAATTAAGGAATTAAGTTGTTTAGCTTTTTTGGAGGGTGGAGGAGGTCACTTCCGCCAATTGCTCACCCGCCTGCCCGCCACTGCCGATCACTTGCCAAAGCCACTGCCGATTGCACACCTTGCCGCAGCCGCCAGTTGTCTGCTTGTTCACCGCCATCAACAGCCCACCCACCCACTTGCCACAGCTGCCAATTGCCTGCCTGCTTCTCCACAGCCGCCAGTCACCTGCCCAATTGCTGCAGCCACAGCCAATCGCCAGTAGGCCTTGCTGCAGCCACCAATCACCCGCCCAGTCACCAATGCCAATCTCCTGCTTGCTGCTGCCATTAATCACACGTCCCCCCTCTGCATTCACTTTCCGGGTATAAGATGGCACCCAATTTTTGCCTAATTTTTTTTAGCAAAAAGCATCGCCTTATACACGGAAAAATGCGGTATTTCTTTCTATACCCCTTCTCATGTAACATCATGGCATCTCATTCAGAGCTGATATAAGCGACACTAGTCGAAGAGGTTTGGGTCACAGTGAAACCCAAAGCAATTGCTTCTAAACTACATCAAGAAAATGCAACTGATGTAATTTCATAGCCTCTGGCCAAAGCCCCTTTCCAGCTATTAGGCAGGATGGAGGTAATAGGAAACTACCTTGCTTTCCTTTGTGTTGGCAAAATAATGTGTTGATCGACCAGATGGCTTTGTGCACCAGTGGTCAGGTGGCAATTTTGTTTGCCTGCAACCAGGTTCATGCAGGAAAGGTTCAGTCAAAGCACAATGTTGTTGCACGCTGCCACAATCTCTGAGTGCTGAGAGATTCCATGGTGCTTACCCAGGGTTCGTGTTTCCTTTTGGGAATGGGGCACAGCAGAGACTTGTAGTGTCTTTAGGTTATATGGTTTATTGACACATATATACAACCTGAGCCTACGATGGAGGGGTTCACAGCATCAGCACCCCAAAAGGGTCTTGCTTCTCCCATAGACACAGCCTTGGATTCAAGCAGAAATGAGCCATGGCCCTCTCTTTGCCTTTCTAACCTGCAGCTTTTTCCTCTAGGTCAGTGGTTCCCAATTAGCTAATTGCCGAGGACCCATTATTTTTCAAAAGCCAAGCCACGGACCCCCTACTTTTGCAAATTTGGATAACTCTGTGGTAGTTACCTCTGCAAAGCAATTTTAGGTATACTGAAAAACAGACCAGGACTGAGCTAGTTTTCAACATCATGATACAGTGGTACCTCTGGTTAAGAACTTAATTCGTTCCGGAGGTCTGTTCTTAACCTGAAACTGTTCTTAACCTGAGGTACCACTTTAGCTAATGGGGCCTCCTGCTGTTCACATCCTGAAGCAAAGTTCTTAACCTGAGGTATTATTTCTGGGTTAGCGGAGTCTGTAACCTGAAGCATCTGTAACCTGAAGCATCTGTAACCCGAGGTACCACTGTACATCAGTAGCTAGACATAACGTTATTATGATATATCATGATATCTGAAATTGGAGATCAGGCGTAGGGATGAGGGAAGCAGCAGTCATGGAGATTGGATGGGGCGGGGGGAGGAAGCGGAGTCACCTCCACCAAAAGGTTTGAGTGGGAGGGGATGGGGATGGAGGGTGCGTTAAGCCGCCATCATTGGGGCAGCCAGTGGTGGCAGCCAGCAAAAAAAGCTCCTCCTCCTCAGTGTCAGGGAAGGGTAGTGCCACGGTGCCTTGAAGGGAGGGCAGTCAGTTGCCCTGTTGTCTGTCAGTGTGAGGGGGAGGCAGTGCCTTGCAATTAGCTGCCCTGTTTTCCATCACCATGAGGGAAGGCTGCAGCATTATCGGCTGCCCTGGTCTCCCTCAGCATGAGCGAAGGCAGATCAGATCAGCAGTGCTATTGGCTGAGATCATCGTGCCATATCGGCAAGTGCCTTGAAATTGGCTGCTGTGCTCTCCCTCGCAACAGGAGCGATATATTGCTGCGTATTGCCGAGTCAAAATTGTTACTGTAGTGAGATTTCAAAACCGATTTTGGCCAATATATTGAAAAATCACACAGCGCTAAAAAAAGACCATAAAATTTGTGATATTGCCATGCAAAAATGACAAAAATTTAGTTGGGCAGGAGGCAAGGGATGGGGCCGCAGACCCCCTGGGTGAGTTCCACAGACCCCTAGGGGTCCCTGGACCCCTAATTGGGAACCACTGTTCTAAGTCATATTGAAGCAAACTCTCCAACTCCAACTTTGTCATTCTAAGAGCTGGAGGAGGGAGGAGGGCCCCACCCATTTGCATGCCCAGCCGGACACCCCCGCCCCATGAGACAGTTGAAAGCAATGAATCACACAGCTCTGGCCAATCCGGTGTGTCTCAAGAGGCAATGAGGGTATGGCGCATCGGTCTGCAAATGGTACGCACTGTTAGATGTGTGAGTGATTATTGCCTTCTCACATAGAGCCCCTTTTCCATTCTTCTCTAAATGGCCCATTACCTTTCCTTTGTTCTCCTAATCACTCAAGAGGCAAGCCTGTCTTGATTAAATTCTAACATCTAGGGATTTAGATGTCTGCCACCCACAAGCTCATAACAATATATAATTCCAATATTGATTCCAGGAGGATGGGTCATTCACACACCTGGTCCCTACATGTTTTCTCTATGGGCTGTGTACACAATATGTATGCAGCAACCCTGTTGGTACTTCTCCATTTCCTTTTGTGATGGGGTTCACTTTCCTCAAAGCAAGTTGACTGGGAAAAGACAGACCAGCTGGGTTGCAGGAGTAAAGATACTGTCCCTTGTTGGGTCAGCTGAAGCTATGTTATGCTTTGCTTCATTATCTGGAAGCTAACCAGCCATGAAGACAGGGCTGGTGCTACCATTAGGAGGAGACCTCAGGTAGCAGATCAGGCCACTGTAGTCTACGCATTCATAACATTAAAACTAGGCTACTGCAATGCACTTTATGTGGGGCTGCCCATGGGCCTGGCTCAGAAGCTCCAACCAGTGCAGAATGCAGGAACTAGACTGCTGATGCAAGTAGACATCTGATGTCATGTGGCACTACTGAAACATCTGCACTGCATGCTCATATGCTACTGGACCAGGTTAGTATACAAAGCCCTGGGTCAAGGATAGTTTAAGGACTGCTTTCATCCTTTTATCCCATCTTGATAACTGAAATAATCTGAAGGAGTGCTGTTAGTTGTCCCCCATGGTTCAGAGACCTGGCTACTCAGCTAAAACCTGGGCATTTCCTGTTACCTGTTCCATACTTTTCAGGTAGAGCTTTGGCAGTCATTCTCAGTTTTCATTCTTGGGCATCTCTTGGAAACTGTTCCTACTTTGGGAAAGGAACCTCTGAAGGACTCAAAGATGCGCTTCTGTGTGTGGAATAGGGGGGCAACAATACCATCTTACCTTTTCTGCCTTTGGCAGAAAAATGTCTTAGCCCGGCCCTTCATGAAGGGACAGATTAGGTGCTTTTCATGTTGTTGTTTGGCCTCCTTGGTATGGATTGAACCAAGTCTGGCCCCATATTTCTGGAGGACCTTCAGCAAAGTGCGCTCCATGGACCACCTTGTCCATCTAACAACTTCCCTGGCCATGGGCTCACCTGATGGCAGCTACAGCTACATGCCCCACTTTAAAATTCTCCACAATTTAAAAGTACCTGACATTCGGGGGGGGGGAGCATTGTAGAGTATGTAAAATGCACTTTGTAGCCACCCATTGTGTAGGTGGTGGTGGCTGCATGGCAGATGCAATGCTGGTGGGCCCTGGCATGGCATTGGGGCCCTGGCAGTTGCCTGAGAGTGCCAGTGCTGGTACCAAGCCTAGGGATTTTTCTTCAGTCCCCCTTGAAGTATCACAGGCACCATCCTTAATTGTGCCTAACAAAGACCTATATTTTCCATCAAGCATTTGTTGATTTTAGTGCATAGCTTTTAGCCTTCTCTATATCTTTCTGTTGTTGTTGTTGTCGTTGTTGTTGTTGTACAGCCAAACCTCGGTTCTCGAACGGCTCCATTTTTGAACGTTCCGGCTCCCAGATGCCAAAAACCCAGAAGTAAATGCTCCAGTTTTTGAATGCTTTTTGGAAGCCAAACGTCCGGCATGGCTTCCGCTTGAGTGCAAGAAGCTCTTGCAACCAATCAGAAGCCATGCCTTGGTTGTCAAACATTTCAGAAGCCGAATGGGCTTCCAGAGCAGATTACATTCGACAACCGAGGTTTGACTGTACTGATGTTTTGGGTTGTTGTTTTAATATGTACTATTTTAATACATTTTGTAATCCACCCATTAATTTGATAATGAATGACTGTATATAAATAATATATTTATCTATTTATTTATTACATTTATATACCATCTGTTTCTCTGAGGAGCACAAGGTGGTGTATGTTGTTCTCCCCCTCCTTTTTTTATACTCACAACGTTCCTGTGAGGTAGGTTAGGCTGAGAGAGGCAGTGACTGGCCCAAGGTAACCCAGTGAGCCTCATGACTGAGTGGGGATTCAAACCGTGGCCTCCCAGCTCACAGCCCAGCACTCTAACCACACTGGCTCTCTATCTATAATATCAACTATAGCCAAGAAATTGAGAGTACTGCTCAGACGCTATTATGCGTTGTGTGGATCCATAATTAGCCTCCACAGTCACTTATGGACTCATTGTTAAAAGTGTGTTTATGGAAGACAATCTTACTTGGCTACGAGTGATCGCCAAAGAAGAAGAATATGCCTCCTTCACACAAACACACACTTTTCTCCTCTTCTTGGAGTTGACTCTGTGCCACATTGTTAGGAAGCCATGCCGAATAGCGTCTATCAATCATTGCACTGTCAAAGAATTCCCAGTTATGTATTTTGCAAAAAATGACAAAAGTGAGTAGCAATGCACTGCCGCCACTCCACATGGACACTTAATTATTAATACTTGAACATTAATACTTGTATTTCTTTCCCCCTAGAAAGTGCCTCACTTTCTCCTATAAAACAAAACAATTTATTGACAGACAACGTATAGCACAACAGAGTGTTGAAGTTTCAGTGTAGGTGTGGCAGCCTGACAGCCAGAGGCGATGCAGTGCAACCGATTATATGGGTTTTATTATTTTGATATCAGAATGTTTGAGCTAAAATAAAATATTGCTAAAGAACTCTCTACCCCATGCACTGGGGACTGAGCTCATACTTGCTCGAGCTACTGAGTTCTAAGCGTTAACAAATCTATTTTCTAGACATTTTGAGGGCTGGGAGGCAGACGGCTGGCCTAGATTTCCCCAAACACATTATGCCAGGGAGAACAGGCACAGGAATAGGAGTGTAACTTATAGCCAGCCACAGACTTTCCAAAAGGATGGAAGGTGAGCCCAGTGGAAGCTATTAGATATTAGAATCCCATCTAAAGTGTCAATTTCAGTTCTCTTAGGTTTGTCATTCTCCCCTTCTTAAATTCAGTTCTACGTGTTTCCAGCACAATCTGTAACAACAACAACAACAACAACAACAACAACAACAACAACAACCCTAATGAAAAATTGTCAGCATTTTAGTGTGAATTTATGCTCATTATTGGGGGGGGGGGGGTTGAGTCTGGACTAACATACATGTTTTTTGCCAACAAGTCTCCCTAGTGCAATGTGGTTTTTGTGTTACTCCCACTAATACAGGTACATGTCACCTTTTTAAAAAAACGCACACATTGTGGCAGACACCCCCATTGAAGATTGGGACCGGGTAATGTGACCAATAGTCTGGGTGTGTTAATAGAGAAACTTCCCTTGCATCCAGGGGAGGTCTATAATTAGACAGCAGCAAGGTATTATATTTCTGTGAAGGCTGCCCAATGTCCACTCACTCCCCTCACAGAGGTTCAAAGTACGAGGGAGCAATTGTAGGACAAATCTATATGTGTATTTAATAGCATCCTAGGGGGGTTTAATGCTTAATGGTTTCACACATGAGGCACAAAACTTAGGTCAAAGCACAAACTCTTTACAGAGAAACTTTTTAAATGGCACTCTTCATCTATGTAGACTTTCCCCACCTGTAATGGTTTGGAAGCTCCTGCCAGTGCAGAATGCTGCAGACACATTGCTGATGGGAGCTTCTTATTGAAAACATGCAACACCAGAGTTTAAAAAGCTGCACTGGCTACCCACCTGCTGCCAAGCTAGGTTCAAAGTTACTGTATTGATTTACAAAGGCCTGAACAACTTGCATCTGAATCCTTATATACCAGCTCAATCACTGTAATCATCTGCAAGAGCGACTTTGGTCATTCACTGAGTTGGTGAGGCTCGTTTGATAACAATGAGGAGCCAAGTCTTCAGTGCCATTGGCCCAGTCCTGTGGAATACTCTGCCAACAGAGATTCAGCAGGCACCTTCTGTGCAAACTTTTGAATGCCTGCTGAAAACTTTTCTATTCCATCAGGCCTATGCAGGCAATAAAAATGCATCCCCCACAATGGTCTGTTAAAGTTTGTTTTTAATTTCTTTTTGTGTTTTCCTTGTTTTTAACATCTTATTATTTTATTGTTTGGTTTTATGTTTTGTATTGCTGTGATATATATTTATGATACAGAGAGACATAAGCATTAAGTAAGTAAGTAAGTAAAATATCTGTGTTCTTAACCATCAACCCTTCCAAGCTAACCCAGCTCAGATGGTCAAAATCTTGTCTGTCCACAGGCAATCCCTACCTCTAACTGAGACTCAATTCACTATCTGTCCCCACTGACAGATATTCCCTTTCTGAGTCTACTCAGATAGCCAGAGGCCCCAGCTGCCTACCCAGAGAGAAAGTCCCTATCAAACCTTTAAACTGCATCTCATCTTAATTCCACTCTTTCCTTTCTGATTGGCTGCTGGACTCAACAGCTCTCACTGGGTGCTGGGTCACCAGGAGGCAGACCCAGACAGTGGCGTAGCGTGGGGGGTGCAGGGGGGGCCGGCCGCACCGGGCGCAACATCTGGGGGTTAGGGTTAGGGGGCGCAAATCCACGGGTTAGGGGGCGCAAATCCACGGGTTAGGGGGTGCAAATTACTTGCCTTGCCCCGGGTGCTGACAACCCACGCTACGCCACTGGACCCAGAGCCTGCGTGTCATGCAGATTGCCCTGGTGTATGCATTTACGTACATATAACTTGGCTGGAGAACCACATCACAAAATTCAGGGCATGGGAATTTTGCATATTCTTTCAAAAAATGTGAATCTAGTAAGTGTTGTTTGGGCCAAAGAATGAAGATGAGTTATGTTTATAAAATTATGTATGGCTTTGAGAAAGTAGGTAGAGAAAGGTTTTTCTCCCTCTCTCATAAAGAAGTAACTCTTGGGCATCCAATGAAGGTGAATGTTGGAAGATTCAGGACAGAAAAAAAGGAGTTCTTCATGCAGCACGTAGTTAAAATGTGGAACTTGCTCCCACAGAAAGCAGTGATAGAAACCAACCTGGATGACTTTAAAAGAGGGTTATGCAAATTCACGGAAGAGAGGCTTACCCTCTTGATCTTCATAAAGCATCATGTAAGAACTTAAGAAATGTCTTGCTGAATAAGGTCAGTGGCGCACCCAGTCCAGCATTCTGTTCTCACAGTGGCTGAATGCTTGCCTATGGGAAACCTGCAAGCAGGATTCAAGCCCTAAAGCACTTTCCCCTCATGTGGTTTCCTGAAACTGATATTAGGAAGGATTGCTGCATCTAACGGTGAAGGCAGAGCAAAGCCATCATGGCTATTAGCTACCATTATCCCTCTGCTCCATGAATTTGTCTAATCTTCTTTTACATTCTTCTAGGTTGGTGGTCATCCTGTGGGAGTGAGTTCCATAGTTTAACTATGTGCTGCATGAATAAGTCCCCCCCCCACACACACCTTAACTGCCAGTGCAGTTGGCTTTGGTATGTAGAATGGAGGAGAGGTTGCCATCTTGCCCTTTGCCTCAGGGAATAAACTGTACAGTGGTACCTCAGGTTAAGTACTTAATTCGTTCCAGAGGTCCGTACTTAACCTGAAACTGTTCTTAACCTGAAGCACCACTTTAGCTAATGGGGCCTCCTGCTGCTGCCATGCCGCCAGAGCACGATTTCTATTCTCATCCTGAAGCAAAGTTCTTAACCTGAGGTACTATTTCTGGGTTAGTGGAGTCTGTAACCTGAAGCGTATGTAACCCGAGGTACCACTGTAATGGGTTGGCCTTGGATAGTGGACTTGTTTTATGCAACATTTATATTCTGAGAGCATTATGTGAAAATTAAGAAGAAACTGCTGCAGCGTTTTTGTTTTATTATTCACTATATTTATACGACAGTGTAGTTCTCTGGTTGACTCGCAAGCCTAGAACGACAGAGTGCAGTTCAAATAACAATATCATAACTTAACAATATTCTAAAGAACAGCTTGCAGCCTAAAGATTTCAGCAGAGACAATAAAGCCAGATGACTAAAAACATATATCACAGCAATTCAAACAGTGAAACCATAGGTTTGTTAAAGGATCAGGAGAATGATAGTGTTGCGAGTTGGGGAGAGTATGCATGATGCCTCAGCCTCTTATAACCATCTATGGAGTCCTTGATCCAGCAAGGGCTAAAACCTCATGTAGAATCCAGTTGTTCAGAAAGCCAGCCCAGCTTCTTGGTGATGCCTCGGCCTCTTATAATGGGCCTAAGCATGGTTGTTAGTATAAGAAAGGGAGTGGGAGGCCCCATTAGCTAAAGTGGTACCTCAGGTTAAGAACAGTTTCAGGTTAAGAACAGACCTCCAGAACGAATTAAGTTCTTAACCTGAGGTACCACTGTACTTTCTTCTGGCAGGCCTGGGTAAATAAACTACATACAAAACTGAACTTTTTTTGGAGGAGCCACCCAGAAGATAAGAAGATGCAGCAAGGTCCAAACAATTGCCATATCCTGATGTACTTACAAACCATGAATTTGTGGTATTCTGAGTCAATTTGACCCATGAGACGCTGTAATTATTTGATGATTGCATGTTTTGTTATGTGGTGGCTCTTATGTGTCTGGACTGCACAGTGCATGTAATGCTCTGAACATTTATGTCCATGATTAAATGTCCTGTGGCTCACTTGAGGGTGACCTGTGCTTTTCAGACAAATAAACATAACCCAAATGGAGCCACTGCACATCACTTGCACACATAGAAGCAAACTTGATGAGCAACTTTTATTGTCCAAAGTAAAGCGATAGTTCCAAAGCTCTGTGCCTGAGTGCAATGCAGAATTAATTCAAAGAGAACCTAGTATATTTCAAGCATTTAAAGGCAAACTTACTCAATTCACAGTTTCTGAAACAACATGTAAGCAGAAAAACAACCACCCTTTCACACTTCTCACAAATTCTCAGCGTATTTCTCCAGCTAAGTAATGTGTTCAATTATGCACACACTGGGGCAAAGTGGGCATAAAAATGCATATAACAGTGAACATATTAGAGGGAAAATACTTTTTTAAATGGGCATACAAAGATGTGTGAGGGAAACCAAAATGGGACTGTTTACTAATTCCAAATAACCTGCTGATAGCAATTCATGTAAAAGTATAGAAAGACTTAGGAAGCTTTTTGCAAACACAATAGCTTTTAAATCAGTGGAGGACCAAGTACCTGTTTTCATCTGAGGAATGTAAGCAGCTTTAAGCCTATTCAGGTTACTTTGACCTGTTATGTGATTTGTTTGCCGGGAAGTTAGATGATGTTGCATCAAAGCAAGTGTTAGCCCAAATCTTCTATCACTTTTTCCCATCACTGTTCTTTTTCCCCTTTTTTTAAAAAAGGCTGATCCTTTTGGGAAGCTGGTTTGCTCTGCAAGAACTCATAGGTAAAGGTAAAGGGACCCCTGACCATTAGGTCCAGTTGTGACCGACTCTGGGGTTGCGGTTTATTGGCTGAGGGAGCCGACGTACAGCTTCCGGTCATGTAGCTAGCATGACTAAGCCGCTTCTGGCGAACCAGAGCAGCGCACGGAAACGCTGTTTACCTTCCCGCCGGAGTGGCACCTATTTATCTACTTGCACTTTGACGTGCTTTCGAACAGCTAGGTTGACAGGAGCAGGGACCGAGCAACGGGAGCTCACCCCGTCGCGGGAATTCAAACTGCCGACCTTCTGATCGGCAAGCCCTAGGCTCTGTGGTTTAACCCACAGCACCATCTGTGTCCCTGCAAGAACTCATAAGCTACCATAATTGCTCAACTCAGATTTGTCAGTACAGTGGTACATTGGGTTAAGAACTCAATTCTTTCTGGAGGTCCATTCTTAACCTGAAACTGTTCTTAATCTGAAGCACCACTTTAGCTAATGGACTTCGCGCCGCCGGAGCACAATTTCTGTTCTCATCCTGAAGCAAAGTTCTTAACCCGAGGTACTATTTATGGGTTAGTGGAGTCTGTAACCTGAAGCGTCTGTAACCCGAGGTACCACTGTATGTGATTGAATCCCACATGGAAACAGTGACAGTCTGGAAGCAGTTCTACACACATGTAAGACCCATACTGCTAATGTCATGGGTGGCAACTAACACCACCTTCTAGTGAACATGTATATGGCATGAACGTTTTCAGGGAATGAGTTTTCTGCACCTACAGCCATTTGCACAAAGGATTTCTCCCTGCAGACATTTATTCTCTACACACAGAGTCTAGTTGGCACATGAGACATCAGCAGTTTGGCTACTTGATGCAGCCTTTCTTCCTGCTCAGGCAATCACTCTATACACGGGTATAGCTTCTTAATTGGATTTGAATGTATATTTGTTGCACACACACTGGGGATCAATGGGCAGTGTAGTTCCCTGACACACTGAAAGTCTTTAATTCGTTCAGACATGATCATCCATATTATATGACATTTTGTTGTTATTATTTCATCATTTTAAACAAAAAAGATGTCTCAAACCAAGTTGCACATTCATAAAGCACAAGTAGTTTAACAATAATGAAAGAACAAGAATATATACTGTATATATAGAAATAACAAAATACCTAGAAGTGCCTAAACTGTTACATGTGCAACTCCAAAGGCTGACAATATAAAGAACATCAAAACATCCCACTTGTGTAAACTTTACAGAGAGAAATATCCAAAGCAAAAGACTTTGATTCATCTGAGTTGCATAAGCTGCCATCACAGAATGAGGTTCTTCGTAAACTAGGACTACAAATCCCAACATGCAGAGGAGCATTGTGGTAATTGTGCAGTTGTCTGTCTTTCTGCTGGTAGCATTTAAAGCATCACAGAGCAGAAAGAATTAAAGGACTCTTTTCTTACAAACATAAAGTCTAACCTTAGTTTACTGCTGAATCAGAACAAATGGTGTTCCACAGAAAACTCAATTGGCATTTGTTACAATTTGGCGATAATCAGTAGGTTCCCCCAGGGTAAATAAAGATCCTCTTGGACCCATAACTAGAAATCAGAGGGCAAGCAGAAGAAAACATGGGGCAAGTGGAAGTGTGGATGAACCCAAAGAGGGAACCAGTGATAAGCCTTGTCAAGTCATTGACAAGCCTATGTATGTGGAGCTAACCTCCCTCCATCTTCTCTCTCTCTCTATTGCCTGCCCTATTGTGAATTGCAGATTGTAATCTCCTTGGGGACCGGGACCTTTCTTTTTGTCATTACTTGGTCAACCTTTATTTATTTGGTTTATTTGGTCTGAAGCACTTTCATCCCACTCTTAGCCAAAAGATTGTCTTACAAATGTCAAGGAAGTTTATTGATGGGTCTTTGTAACTAACAAGTGGGACCTTCAACAAAACGTTGCAGCATGAAGTGCTCTGGTTTGCGGGGTGCCAGCCTGCCAGCCAGCTATGCTGTCTTCCTGGGTGTCTCTTGCCACCAATAGCCAATTCTGTGGCCACTGAGCATGCTCAGTCTGCATTAAGCTGTTTTTCTCTCCCCACACATGTTTAGGATTCTTTCCCAGGGAGTATTTTTGTATTTTTGCAAGTCTTTGGGTACCCTTTGTCCCGTTCGCATCTCAATCTTTTGTGTGGGTGGTGCTGTTTTGACTGTCTAAGGACTGGAACACAGATAACTACATTCACTGTCTGTATAGATGATTAACAATTATTTCTTCTTCTAGTTTATTTCCTTTGGCATGAATATGGTATGCAGGCAGAAGCACAACAGTTTGCCTGCTAGCATGTGTTACTGCAATAAGGGGCAATAGCCCCAGATTCTTAACAAGCCAACAGCTTTAATTGTTAATATTGACGTCAAAACTGTTGAAATCAAGGAAACTCGAGGTTGTGCTGACTTTCTTAATTTACCACAACAAAGCAGGCTTGCCTTTTTAGTTTGGCAAGTCCTGCTTCTCAGCCTCTAACAACATCCTGAGACACAGATATGGAGCACCTGGAACTCTTCTTGGTGAAAGATTGAAAATGGTGGTAAAAACAGATTTCTGCATGCTAGCTTGATGTTCTAAAGCACAGGAGAGGGGCCACTGTAAAAATGAGCAATTGCATAAAATAAATAGAGCTGCCTGAAGACTTGGGAAAGGTCCCTTGTAGCTGCTGATTTGTTGCATCTCTGCCTTAAATACAGTATTCTTTGAAACCCAAAACAAGTAAAAAAAAAAAAAAGCAATAGGTGGGGAAAGCAGACTCAACTAGCTATGATGGCCACGCTCCACCTCCACTGCATCTGCATACTGGTTCCTGGGGGTTGCAGGTGAGGAGAGTGCTGTAGTGCTCGGGTCCTGCTTGGGGTTTCCCACAGGCATCTGGTTGGCCATTGTGAGAACAGGATGCTAGACTTAGATGGGCCTTTGTCCTGATCCAGCAGGCCTCTACTTACCGTAATTTTTGTTCCATAAGATGCACCCAACCATAAGACGCACCTAGTTTTAGAGGAGGAGAACAAGAAAAAAAATATTCTCTCCCTCTCTGCTCAGCGCATTTCCAGCAAAGTGGGAGGAGAAATGGAAGGGGCTCCGTTTCTCCTCCCGCTTCGCTGAAGGGGCGCTGCGCAGAGAGGGAAAGCTGTGCAGCGCTGCTCCAGCGAAGCGAAGCCAGGAGAGCAAGAGGGATCGGTGCGCACCGATCCCTCTTGCTGTCCTAGCTTCAGCGAAAGCAGCGCAGCCTGCATTCATTCCATAAGACACACACACATCTCCCCTTACTTTTTAGGAGGGGAAAAGTGCGTCTTATAGAGCGAAAAATACGGTACGTTCTTAAGACTTAACACAGAGAGACAGGAGCCAAACTGATAACATAAGAAGGCTCTTGCTAGGTCAGAGCAATTGTTCAGGGTCATTTCTCAAGGAGAAAGAAGTCGGGGGGGGGGAGTGAATGGGTGCAAAGACTTTTCTTAGGAAAGCAGGGATAATGCAGTAAATGTGAGTGAAGCTTGAAATATTGAATGGCATAGAGTGGTATATTCTGTGGGAGATTCTTCCACTCCTTTCTACACTGGAGCAATTCCTACCAAAGTCCGACTGATCCAGCATTCTTATTCCAACAGAAACCCTTCGAGATATACATGGAGAACAACTTTCCCTTTCACCAGTATTCATAGTATGCTGTCTCTTACCATGGAAGCTCTCTTACGTGATCACAGCTTATTTGCCCCCAACTTTCTTGGTCCTTTTCTCCCTTCACCTCTGCAAAATTTGTAAGAAGTTTCTAACACAATATTTCACATGTCTGTTCAGAAGTAAGCCCCTCTGAATTCTACGAAACTAACTGCTAGGTAAGTGGGTACAGGATTGAAGCCTAAATGTTAAGCATTTTAGATTATCTTGTCTTGGTTTCAAAGGAAGAATGGCACTTTGTATTGGTTCTGACACAGAGCTTGAAGCATCTTTGCAAAATAAAATAAGAGCGCTCCTTTCAAGACCTTGGGAAACAATGACATCATAGGCAAATTGGGCCAGAAACCATTAATAGAGGTCTTTGTAGACTAAAATCCCCTGGGAGGGCTAGTTTAGCAAACTGACTTTGTTTACAAATGGAAACAGTAACCCATACAGTTGACTTGCTCGCTCACTGGGAGCTACTGAAATGTTCCATAGGCAATCAGTCAGATAGTTTATTGCATTGATGAAAGGTCGTCCCCATTTCCTCAAGTGGCAAAGATTTCTATAAAGACTAAAGTGATTTTAAAAGGACCAAAATTATATATAATCATATCCAAAAGAAGAAGAGCTATATATCCCTTTTCATCTAAGACTTCCAGTAACTTTAGCAAATTGAACTGTTCTGTATGGGTTCATCCATACTTTTGCATGTGCCATGCCTAGGAAGTACGGGTCTGGCAGGGTTTCCACTTGACCCGCACATTCTTAGCATGGGTCCGAGTGCTTTCCCCCTTGCCCCACTCCTTTGCAAGGGAAAACCTGCTCTTTAACAAATAGATCAGAGCAACTGGCAATCCAGGGAAAACCCAAATTGCCATTTTCTCCAATTGAGCACCAAAGAGCGGTTTCCCCCAGGGGAAAGCAGCGGAACAAGAGGAAGTGTGGATATGTGCTATGTACACATCTATAACTAAAGGAAATTGCACATATCTGGGCCTCTTTAAATTCTCTTTATATTATTAGGTCATTATATTATTAGCACATTAGAAATGTGCTATTTCCTGGCAGACATAGATGTATACATTAAAGACCATATTTTTCACTCTATAAGACGCACTTTTTTCCCCTCCAAAAATTAAGGGGAAATGTGTGTGCGTCCTATGGAGCAAATGCAGGCTCCTTGGCTTCAGCGATAGCAACACGAAGCCTCCGAAGCGCAGTGGGAGCGCTTCCGCCGCGCTCCAGAGGCTTCGCGTTGCTTTTGCTGAAGCCTGGAGAGCGAGAGGGGTCAGTGCGCACCGACCCCTCTCGCTCTCTAAGCTTCAGGGATAGCCGCCTGAAGCCTCCGGAGCGCAGTGGGCGGGCCCGCGGCGCGCGGGTGGCTTTGTGTTGCTTTCGCTGAAGCCAAGACTCTCCTGGTTTCAGCGAAAGGAACCCGAGGCCTCCTGAGCACAGTGGGAACTTCTGCTGCGCTCCGGAGGCTTCAGGCAGCTATCCCTGAAGCCTGGCAAGCAAGGGGGGTTGGTGCACACCGATCCCTCTTGCTCTCCTGCCTTTGCTTTGCTGAAGAGGTGCTGCTCAGCTTTCCCTCTCTGTGCAGTGCCCCTTCAGTGAAGCGGGAGGAGAAATGGAAGGGGCTCCGTTTCTCCTGCTGCTTTGCTGAAGGGGTGCTACGCAGAGGGGGAGAGAATTTTTTTCCCTTGTTCTCCCCCTCTAAAACAAGGTGCGTTCTATGGTCAGGTGCATCCTATAGAGCGAAAAATACGGTACATATATGCATTTCATCAGGATATCTTAGATTAATTTCTCTTTCTAAATTTCTGGGCTTCTTCAAAACTGGTATTTCAATCAGGATATTTAGGGTGAATATATCTCACTTTCTAAAGTGGGCAGCGTATCAGACAATGTGCCAGATCCTTTGCCTCATGTTGTCTACAAATACTGAGTTGCTCACTATGTGGCCCACGGGATCTCTTTTCTTTTCATAGCATGTAAAAAGCACATTGTGAGGGTTTGGTGATCTCTTAATACCAATGATCTCAGAGGGTGAATGCTCTCTTTGGCGGATTGAAATGGTTTTATAGGTGGTCTAAAGATACAAGGACACTAATGAGATTACCCTGGCCATTACCACATAGCTCAGCTAATGTTCTTTGAGGAAAGTATGAATATTTTTGTGGGTCACAAAGCTATATATTGTATGCCAGGTCTGAAGACATCTCATTTGAAAACTGCAATTGTTACAAGGCTATTATAATGGAGGAGGGTGTTAGAGGAGGGGTAGTACCTCTGCTGGGGGAAATGTCATGCTCTTTCTGGGGTAGTTTGTCCACCTTTGGTCCCCAGCTTGCACTCAGCTCTCATCTGTGGCTCCTAGAAGCTGTTGGCATGTGACAGCAGCTATACCCATGAACAGCTTTGACTGGCCAGCTAAACCTATCAAACCCTTGGTTAGATGTTTTGGACTACAACTTCCACCAGTCCCAACCAGCATGACCAGTGGTCAGGTATTTTGAGACCTGTAGACCAGAAATACTGTATCTGGAGTCACCATGTTGGGAAAGGCTAGAATATGCACCATATTATACATGGTTTGCACACTGAAAATGCATTGCAAAATCTGGAGACGTGCAAAAGCCAGCTTTTTCTGTTCCTATTTGTGAGATGTGGAGCACCAAGCTTATTTTTTTATTTTATTTCATAAAATTTATACATTGCTTGATTTAAAAATAAACCTCAAAGCTGTTTACAAAAAAAGATAATTTTATTTCTGATAAGTTAATTGTTTTATCAACAATAATTTGAGATTATCAGAAAGTTAAAATAACAATAAACTGAAAACAAATTAAACCTTGCATTGACTTTCTAAATATTGGTGTGGAATGGATTTTAAAAAACTCTCCCTCATCCCTACTCTTAGCCCCTTCCCCTTCCAGAAATGGCACCACTACCTCATAAAACAAAGAGAAACCAAAGATGTTCTGTGAAGAGAAACTTGTAGGTGGATGCAGCAGAGAAATCTTAGACAGGATTGCTGTCTTCCTCTATTGAATGTTAGCATCAAGCGGTTGACTGTGTATTCTTAGTGAGCCACTGAGTTTATTGATCTGTTAATTGCTCTGGTTCAGGAGTAGGGACCCTCAGAACCAGGCGCCAAATGTGTCCCTTCAGACCTCTCCATCTGGTCCTTGACATTCCTCGCCCCCAAAGCCAGGCCACCCCCACCAGCCTTTCTCCTCACCCTCCATGAGTAATTTTACCTGGCAGCACTGTATACTTGATCTGTAATAATGCTTCTTGTTTCACCTGGATGGAGAGGTGCATGTAGAAACATCTGGATTTTCCATGGCTGGTATGTGGCCTACTGTATAATGGTAAGACTTGCATCTGTTGCTCTACTTACTTTTGCCCCTGACCATGCCAGCCATTGGCATGTGGCCCCAGGGGGCTTGACCACAAGGGAATGTGGCCCTTGTTGAGAAAGCCTCCCTCCCTCTCCTGGTAGGCCATTAGATTTTATTTACTAAACTTTTGAGAGTGGGAGAGAAGTTATTATAAGGTAGGAGTGAGGAAACTTTGGCCCTTTAGGCTGTTGAACTACAACTCCCATCAGGCTGAGCAAGCATTGCTAATGGCTGGGGCTGGTGGGAACTGCAGTTCAGCAACGTAGGGAGGGGTCAAAGGTTTCCCACACCTCTTCCAAGGGTTAATATGACCTGCAAGCTTGGGGTGGGTTACGGTGGAGAGAATTTTCACATCAGTGAAGATTGTTTCTGCCTGAATGTTGTGTGTGGTGTGTGGTTTGCTTCTTGGGGATCACAGGGTTATGCAATTATCTCTTTGCTTGCTTGTTCGTTGCACTTATATCTCTCCTTTCCTCCAAGGAGCACAAGGTGTACATGGTTCTCTTCCTCCCCATTTTATCCTCTCAACAACCTAGTTAGGCTGGCCCAGTGAGCCTGATGGCCAAGTGAATCATTTCTATTCATAAAAATATTTATATCCCTCCATAGCATAAAAAATATCAAAGTGGTTTACAACAATATCTATGTACAATAAAAACAAACAATTAAAAATAAAATAAAACCAGAGATCATCAACTAATTATCACAAAAATATGTTTCATTTAATTGCCTGCATAAGCTTAGTTGCACAGAAAAGTTTTAATGAGGCATTTAAAGGGTAAAACAAGAAGGCACTGGCTGAAATCTCTATTATTGGATAATTATCTCCAGAATGTCTAATTACTGAAAGCTTTGGCATAATTAAAATCATACTGAGATCTGTGTTTAATGTGACTGCATAAGGGCAAAACTAGTTCTGGATGTGACTCTCCAAATCTCTCAACCTGGGCCTTGTGACTCTTCCCTGGGTGCACCCCGTCACTGGTGCTGCTACACATGCAAAATCCTTACATGCTGCTGGTACATGTGATTGTCCAAATTGACCACCAAATATATTGGAGAAATATTTAACCCACTCAGAGGCAGGAATTGAGGCTTGCTGTGATGATATCACTTCATTCAAGCCTTGGGCCACCAGTTCCCAGAATTAGTCTTCTCTCTGTTCCGTTACTGCTAGTCGCAATTCCTGCCACTTGATTTTCATATATACGGCTTGTATATTCAGTATATTTCTTGTTTCTGGACAGATTCTTATATTCCAACCTACATTTGGTGAAACTTTCCATGGATTCCTCTGATGGATTTTTCTGAGAATCCCTAATTAGTCTTAGTCAGAACGTTCTTAACCACTTTGCACTGACCATCAAACCAGCCAAGGTGTGTTGATTGTGTGTAGTTATTAATTATAGAAGTTATCAAATAGAACTTGAGTTCTGTGAGAAGAAGACAGCAACAAGATTTGGAGGTTTGTTCAAAAAAGGTTGACACAAGCTCCTCAGATTATTACTATATAGTGTCTCATGAATATTGCTGCTCAATCTGTGAGACCATTTTTCACACCATTTCTTTCTTTGTTGACTCTTGCTGATTCGGTTTTAGGTATGCATTCTATTAGAGGACCTAGGGTCATTGATATTGGAAAGCGGTTGCTTTCTGTTCGTTCTGACACTTCAAAAGTGTTCACAAAAGTAAATAATGGAGACACTACAATGTGATCAATATCACTTCAACCATATTTCATAGAATCATAGAATTGTAGATTTGGAAAGGACCACTAGGGTTGTTTAATCCAAGCCCCAGCAAAGCAGGAATCTTTCCCCCCAACATGGTCTTGAACCCACAATCTTGAGATTAAGAGCCTCATGCTCTATTGACTGAGCTATCCCTATTTGTTTAAATTGAGTATACAGTGGTACCTCTGGTTACGTACTTAATTTGTTCCGGGGGTCCGTTCTTAACCTGAAACTGTTCGTAACCTGAAGCACCAGTTTAGCTAATGGGGCTTCTCATCCTGAAGCAGAGTTCTTAACCCGAGGTACTATTTCTGAGTTAGGGGAGTCTGTAACCTGAAGTGTATGTAACCCAAGGTACCACTGTACTGACTCTTAGAAATGGCTTCAGGACTCCCGTGAAGGATGTATAAAACATGTTGGAATACAAATTCCAACAATTTCAGGCTCTGTGCATTATATTTCTTGCCCAAAGTAAAAATGAAAGTTTAGAAATATATATTCAGAGTCAAAGCCTAAAGGTAGCAAGAGACCCTACGCAATTCCTCCGATTTGGGCATTAAAATCCCCACACAGTGTAAATGCTGGGGGGAATTTATGATTGATCTGTTCCAGTAGGAATGTTAAATATGACCAAATCATGGTGGTCAGTGACAGATTATTAGTAGGGGGAAAGTAGGTGTTTCTACAGAAGAGTAAGGTTCTTACTTCACTTTTGTTTTGATGTGGCAAAATATATTTATATTTATTTATTTATATATTTATTTATTTATATATTTTGAATCCCAAAATGTGCTCTCCAAACTCTCCCTGTCAATTCAAGTGACATAAACGAAGTCAAGCCCCCACTTCTTCAGCCGTTTTAAGATTTCTGAACAGCTGGCTGGCTGAAAGGTGGCAGCAAGGTGTTTGTGACAAAACTTGAGACCAAGTCTCTTCCAGGCATATTGTTATAGCAAGGATACCAGAGTCTGTTACTGATTAGCAGAAAATAATATAGGGTAGTATGTAGATAATATTTGGAGTATTGTAGGGAAGAAAATACAAGCTAAGCTTCTGTTCCAGGCCAAGGCCTCACCTGTGATGGAGGACGTTACCGTGACAAAAGGTGTTGATGACCTATCCCAGATAAATCACAGGGCCTGCGCAAAAGAGTTGCCATGCTTACCGTGGGTTTAGGATTGAAAAAAGCGGAAGGGGCAGGCTGTGCTCACAAGAAAAGTGTTCCTTTTAAAACTAGGCTTGGAATAGCAGATGGATGGGGAGGAGTTGTTTGGAGCAGGGGTTTCTGGGAACAAGAAAGGGCTGCAGCTGTCAGAGCTGGCTGGGAAGCAGGAACAAAGGGGTGGTGGTGCTTTAGGGTGGCTTTGTCTGCAGTGCTGGGCTGCTGTGAGGAACAAGCTTGAGTTCACAGTGCTGTAAGGTCTGCCCCCCTTTCATCTAAACTGAAGAGTAAATATGTGTAATTTCTTAAAAGGCACTACCGCCTCTGTCATGTTGGGGTTCTCAGTGGAAACACGGCCCTGAGTGAGCACCTGTAACCCCTTGGCACCTCATGTGCTGCTCAGCAGAGATTGCAGGCAGAGCTCAGCCTTAGTTGAAACCCTCCCAACCTTTTGTGAGGAAAAATTCCGGGCACACCCCACCCCCTCCCTGCCACTGACCCCTTCCTTGCCCACCTTCTCACCCACTCCTCCCCTCCCCTCTCTTACCTTTGCTGTCTTCAGCCTCCTTATCTATCTTATTATTCTCAACGTGACAGGTTCCAGGAAAGAATGTTTCTAGATGTTTTCTAGTCAGTTGTGATATATTAAAAGGAGAGCTAAAGGTATCATAGTTTGCTTTTCTATACAGTGGTACCTCAGGTTAAGTACTTAATTCCTTCCGGAGGTCCGTTCTTAACCTGAAACTGTTCTTAACCTGAAGCTCCACTTTAGCTAATGGGGCCTCCTGCTGCTGCTGCGCCGCCGGAGCACAATTTCTGTTCTCATCCTGAAGCAAAGTTCTTAACCTGAAGCACTATTTCTGGATTAGCAGAGTCTGTAACCTGAAGCGTATGTAACCTGAAGTGTGTGTAACCTCAGGTACTACTGTAGTTGCCCCTAGGTCTGGGTGTACTCAAAACACTCTCTTGGAAGTTTCATACAGAGACAGTGAAAGTCAAAGCACAGAAGACCATAGGGGCATTGATAAAGTTCTGTTACAACAAGGGAGGACAGCTGATTGGAACCTGCCCTAAAGGTAGAAAAGTGCTTGCTCAAATGCTCTATGGTTTTGAAATCTCAGTCTCTGATTAAAGTTTTGGAAACTGTGCAGAATAATTTTGTTTAGAAGCTTATGCTCTCTACCATCAGGAATATCAGCAGCTCTTCTTCATACAGAATCTGAGTGGCTAACGATTAAGGCAAGAGCAGACTGCACTTAGTTAAAGTATATTTTAACAATTGCTGCTATGCATATTGAGTGTTGTGCTATGAGGTGCTATATGGAATTTGGTGATAACCAACTCTGGAAAACAGTGTGTTGAGATGTTTTAGACTATTTATATAGAGATCCCAGAGATCACTTTCTGAAATCTGTTCACACAAGCAAGCAGGTACACCCTGGCAGAAACAGTGCAGTTTCTTTTGAGTTTCAATAATAACTTTGTCACATTCAGAGTGGCCTTCTATGCACTGGCTGAAAAAAGAAGAAAGAAGGAGGGAAAGGGAAAAGAAAAAGAATCAGGAAAAAAAGTTAGCTAAAATATCTATAAATTGCTGTGATGATTCGGAGGTTTAATTTGCAACCATACATCCAAAATATGAGCCAACATCCATGTATGATCCATGTTTTTGTGGCAATATTGCTCTGGGTTCCTCATGACCTTTGGCGAGAATAATAAGCTCATATTGAATTGAACTGAGTGCTTTGCATTGGCTGGAATGTGTCCTTGAAAGCTGATAATGATTCTTGTTTCCCTACTTGAGCCGCCAGAAGAAGAGAAAGCGCTTGCAGTTACTGCCTCATCTGCAGAGTTCTGCTGCTCAGAACGGTTGCAGTTGGGTTTGTCAGTGGTGTGGCATCGGGTACCTGGTGTAGGATTAAAATCAGATTTCTCCAGGCTTCTTCCAACTTTTTTGTTTTTCCTGGCCCTACTCTGGGACTTATCCTTCTTGCTCTCACCACCAGAACCTCTTTCTTCCTGTCTTACCAGGAGGTTGTGAGGGCTGCTGAAGATGTCAAATAGTCTGGATGCTGAAGAGAAACCTCCAGCCCCTCCACTGAGAATGAACAGCAACAACCGCGATTCTTCAGCAGTGAACCACGGCTCCAAACCTCTCCCCATGGCTCCAGAAGAGAAGAACAAGAAAGCTCGGCTCCGTTCCATCTTTCCAGGAGGGGACAAAAGTAATGTATCAGCAATGCAAAGGGCTTCCAGCCCTCTCCTATTCTGTTGGTTTCATGTCTGCTTTTCTTGATTGTTCAGCTACATTGCTTCTTAATAAAAAGGGCAATTAAAATTGCCAGAGACTTATGGGTCTCTAATGCCATTGTTTGGAAAGAGGTGCTGTTTAATTTTTGCTGGAATTGTTTGGTGCATGCAAATTTAGAGTTAGAAGAAGGGGTCTGGGTTTCTTGGAACTGAGCACATAGGGAGCTGATGGCTCATAGTAACTATCTTTGCAGTGAAATCCTTTTTGCCATCAGAAAATAGGGTGTTGGCTATGGTGGGATATAGGAAAGCCCAGGCTAGATCACAGTATTGTAGATTTGGAAGAAACCAAGGGGTCACCTAGCTCAACCCGCTGCAATGCAAGGCGAGGGTTTTCTCAGTTGTTGTATTCAACTATTGGAATCTGCTCTTCTCTGAAGTGCAACAGGCACAAACCTTAATTATGTTTTGATGCCTGTCTTAATACCTATCTTTTTCATCAAGCATTTGTTGATTGATAGCTTTTAGTAATATCTTGGCTATGCTTTTCCTCCGTGGTTTGTTGTATTGTACTGATGTTTTGAGTTACTGTTGTTTTAATTAATTTATTGGTTTAATTATTATTTATACCCACCTTTCCTCCATGGAGCTCAAGGAGGCCCTCATGGCTTCTCCCCTACCTTCTTCACCCCCACAACAACCCTGTGGGACAGGCGTGTTGGTCTTTTTATGCTTGTAATGTTTGCTCTTTAGGGGAAGTGCCTCTACTGCAGCGGTTCTCAACCTGTGGGTCCCCAGATGTTGTTGGACTACAACTCCCATCATCCCTGGGCTCTAGCCTTGCCAGCTAGGGGTGATGGGAGTTGTAGTTCAACAACATCTGGGACCCACAGGTTGAGAAAGGCTGTTCTACAGGGTTTCCTATTGTCTGGAATCTTTTTAGCTGAAAATTCTGGCATTTGAACATGGAACCTTCTGTATGCAAAGTATATGTTTTTCTACTGAGTCTTTCTTCATGAGTTTGGCTCCCTCTACAGTCTCTCCTCATAAGTTTGGCTCCCTCTCCATAGTTTGATGAAGGAAGGACACTTGCAGGATGAGGCCTCTATTCCCTTCACAGGCCTACAGTTCTTAGATTTCCTGAGGAAGCTGGGTTGATTGTTAAACCATTTTGGGAACTGTAGCTCTGTAAGTGGTCTTCTAATGACCCTCAGCAGTTTAACAAACTACAGTTCTCAGGATTCTTTGGGGAAGCAATGGCTGTTGAATGTGGGGTGATACTGCTTTAAAGTGTAGAGCAGAGAGAGCCTCAATTGAGAAGAGGTGTGTGCCGGTTTCCCTTACTGAAGCATGAGCACTTAATTGATATTTAAAGGGAAGCAGTGGCCAGTTCCCTTTCCTAGTATGCCCCGCGGACGACCTTAAGGTCCACAAATGACAACATTTTGGAGGTCCCAGGTTGCAAAGTGGTTAGATTGGTCTCAACAAGGGCCAGGGCCTTTTCAGTACTGGCCCGGACTTGGTAGAACGCTCTGTCACAAGAGACTAGTGCCCTGCAGGACTTGACATCTTTCCGCAGGGCCTACAAGACAGGGCTGTTCTGCCTAGCCTTTGGTTTGGACTCAGTCTGACCCTTATGTTTCCCTCCCCTTATGGTCTTGATTTATCGGCTACTTTTAAAATGAGGCTGCATTTTAAATTGCATTTTAACCTGTATTTTAAATTGCCCCCCCCCCCCAATTATGTTTTTACTGTGATTTTATTGGTGTTAGCCGCACTGAGCCCGGGGAGGGCGGGGTATAAATAAAATTTATTATTGTTATTATTGTTATTATTATTATTATATTTTGTAACAACATTTCACCACCCATTTATATAGATTTGACTGTTCTTTTAAACTTTACTCGATGACCCTTTAAACCTACTGTATTTTTCGCTCCATAAGACACACTTTTTCCCTCCTAAAAAGTAAGGGGAAATGTGTGTGCGTCTTATGGAGCAAATGCAGGCGGGAGGCTCTGCTCAGCGCTCCCTTTAAAGAGCTGCGTGGAGCGTGTGTGTGGCTTTTGGGGGCTTTTCCCCAAGGAGGGAGAAGGGCAGCCCGTCACTGATGGGCTGCCCTTCTCCCTCCTCAGGAAAAACCCCCAAGAGCCGCACACACGCTCCATGCGGCTCTTTAAAGTGAGCATGGCTCTTGGGGGCTTTTCTGGTAGTGGGGGAAGGGACCGACAGGCTGCCCTCTGTCCCTTCCCCCAGCTCCCGGAAAAGCCAGCAAGAGCCACACGCTCTTTAAAGATCCGAGCCTAGTGCGTGTGCAGCTCTTGGGGGCTTTTCCCTGAGGAGAGAGAAGGGACTGATGGGCTGCCCTTCTCCCTCCTCGGGGAAAAGCCAGCAAGGGACAGAGGGCAGAGGGCAGCCCGTCAGTCCCTTCTCCCACCTCGTGGAAAAGCCCCCAAAAGCCGTACACATGCTACACACGGCTCTTTAAAGGGAGCGCTGAGCACAGCCTCCCACCTGCGTTCGCATCTGGGATGCATACAGGCTCTGCTCAGCGCTCCCTTTAAAGAGCCACGTGGAGCGTGTGTGCGGCTCTTGGGGGCTTTTCCACGAGGTGGGAGAAGGGACTGATGAGCTGCCCACTGTCCCTTCCCACACCTGCCAGAAAAGCCAGCAAGAGCCGCTGCCAGGCTCTGCTCAGCGCTCCCTTGTAAGGGCTCCCGCTTTGCTGGGAAGCCAGCAGAAGAGGCGCTGCGCAGCTATCGCTCTTCCTCTGCTGGCTTCAGCGAGAGCTGCACAGCTTGTTCTGATGGCTTCTCAGCGAAGCGGGAGGAGGGACGGAAGGGTTTAAAGCAAAAAAAGTGAGAGCCGCTTATATGCTCTGCGCAGAATATTTTTTTTCTTGCTTTCTCCCTCTAAAAACTAGGTGCGTCTTATGGTCAGGTGTGTCTTATGGAGCGAAAAATACGGTACTTTCTGCCACAATGGTGAGAGTGTAATGAGAGGCCAAGACCGTTTTCTTATCTGCTGTTCAGAGTGATGCAAACTGAAAAGATAGGACAACTTGTTGCAGGCCATCTCTTAGCTGAAAATTAAAGTGTGAACACATTATAGATCTTAAAAAGGGCTGGGAGACTGGAGAGAAGCGTGGGGTCTGGAAGGAGTTGCTCTCGCATGCTGAGATGGTATATTGTTGCTGGCTCTAACAACTGCTGCAGGAAAACCATTTATCAATTAATATAAGTGTGAAGGTTGGAATCCTGGGCAGAAATTGTAGCCAGATCATTGTTTAGTAAGGGTTTAGCAATTAAATTAATAAGGATGAATGTAACATTTGGGATTAGTTCATGCACAGTGTTTTTGATTACATGTGAGCATTCCAGATTGCTCCTGGAGACATTTGTATCTGCCGTACACAGATTCAAACCGTCAGGCCATTTATTCTTGGATATTGTCTGTTCTGATTGGCAGCAATACGCCAGGAACTTAGGTGGGTGGTATCACCCTCCCAGGTGAGAAGAGGGGTGACCTGGATGTCTCTGTGTATAAATGACTATCATACTTTGAAAAGCTGGTATCCTTGGATAAAACTCAGTTTTGTTGAGTTAATTCAACTAAGTAGTTTTCATTGGATTTTGAATAAATGTGCAATTAATTGTTACTGTTTTGAATGTTACTGGGTTATTATCTTCTTTAATGGGTTGTGCAAACTGCTATTATGAATATTGCTTTTTATAAGGTAGGGCTGGGGTCACTGGGGATGAGTTTATGGAACCAAAGTGAGGGGCTGAAAAGGTTTGGGAACTACAGTCCTTCATGAAGCATAACTAAGTCTGGATCCAGCCCTGAGGAAGCTGCCTTAAACAGAGTCCACTTAGCTTGGTCTTGTTGACAATGGCTATTGGTTGCAGCTCTTCAGATTTTCACAGGAATCTATTCCAACCCTACCTGGAGTTGTTAGGGATTGAATCTGGTACCTTTTGCACATGAATCCTTGGGTTCTGCCACTGAGTTGTTTCCCATCGTCCAGTAGTTTTTTTTTAATGAACATCACAACAGTTAAGGAGAAAGAGCTGTAGCTCAGCTGTAGAGCTGCTTTATATGAAAAAGATCAATCCTTGGTATTTCCAGGTAAGGCTGGGAAGGATTCCTGTCTGAAATGTTGGAGAGTAGCTGCCATTCAGCATTAGCAGCCCAGGATTAGGTGGACCAATGGTCTGATTCTGTACAGGCAACTCCCCATTTACATACATTCATACGCACATTACTCCAAACCTGGCAGTGACCCAAAAATGTCACAAAAAGGGGTGGAATGGGGTGGGGGTGGGGTGGAACAGGGTGTTTACAGGCTTTCTCGATGATGTTTCAAATACAGTGGTGCCCCGCAAGACGAATGCCTCGCAAGACAGAAAAACCGCTAGACGAAAGGGTTTTCCGTTTTGGAGTTGCTTCGCAGGACGAATTCCCCTATGGGCTTGCTTCGCAAGACGAAAATGTCTTGCGAGTCTTGAGATTTTTTTTCCGCTTCCCCCCCCCTTTATCTAATCTGCTAAGCCTTTAATAGCCTTTAATAGCCTTTTAGCAGCTAATCCCCTAAGCCTTTAAGCCTTTAATAGCCGCTAAACCGCTAATAGCGCTAATCCATTAAGCCGCTAATAGGGTTGCTTCGCAAGACGAAAAAACCGCTAGACGAAGACTCTCGCGGAACGGATTAATTTCGTCTTGCGAGGCACCACTGTATATGTGATTTCACTTAAATGCACAGTGCCTTCAAAGGTAACCACTGCATAAATTGGGAGTTGTCTGCATAAGGCATGAGTGGTATCCAACTAAGTTCTACTTAGAATAGACCCATTGAAATTAATGGACCTAAGTTAGCCATGTTGGTTAATTTCATGGTTCTCTTCTGAGCAAGACTATCATTGGATACATTTCCATGCCTTTGTGTTTACTTTCTTCTACCTGAAGGAATTAGATGCTGCAAGGCTGCCTAGGGAGGGCTTTTGAGGAGTAGGTACATCTCTACTTCTTTAAAGGTGGTGGGTTCCACCCTGTTGTATAAAGGTATATTAACCATTCTCTGCATCACCCTGATTGCATGAGGGCTTTGTCTGAAGTCCTTAACAATTGTGCCTCAGTGAAGTCTACATTTCATTCACTCTTTTATGCAACAAAAAGGCTGCAAAGGAATTAAAGAGATGTCTGTCAATACAAGCTTTAGTCAATTGTTCAACTAAGCTATTGGTTAAATTTGCTTATTGGCAAAACCGATATTTCTTTGTATCATATTGCCTAACAACTTGATCCACTAAATGCAGAGATGGGGAACCTATGCACACCCCCACACACCAATGTTGTTGGACTCCAGTTCCCATCAGCCACTGTGAAACAGGAAGGTGGTGGAAGGTGAAGTTCAATGACACCTGGAAGGTCATGGGTTTTCTAGTCCTGAACTGATGCACAGGACTATTTCCAGTTTGTCATGGATTGGCTAGACACAGAGGGAGGCACCAGGGGGGAAGCCGACAGGGAAACCCCCAAGGATAGAAAGCTCAGAGCCCAGAGGTTGGTGGTGGGATGATGATGAAGAAGGGTCAGAGGGAGAAGTTTGAGAGGTGTTGGAAGTTGAAGAGGTAACAGGGTTTAGAGAGCAGGAAGAGCCTGTGGCAGAGAGAAGTCCAGAATCAGAAGCAAAGGTGGAAGCAGGAGCAGAGGGAGGCCAAGAGCCAGGGATGAGTTAGGCTGGTGAAGAAGCCAGGGTGTCTCCCCCTTCTTGTCTCCCAGGACCAGAGGAGGTATGAAGCAGGAAGAGCAGTGAGAGGTGCACAGGTGCTTTGGAAGGACCCGGGGGAGGAGATTTAGGCAGCTGTGGAAAAGGTGGGGACCTTCAGCCTCCACAACTGCCACATAGGGGCAAGTTTTACCAAGAGGAATTGCTGTGCTCATTAGACCTGGCACTCTTGAGCTGACCTTGTTTCTTCTAATAAAGAGTTAACTTTGCTTACTTCGTGTGATATATTCCTGACAATCGTCCCTGACAACCCCATGGAGGCTGTTCATACCTTTTGGGTTTAAATGATACATTATCAAGTAATGCACATGCCCTTAGCTTACAGGAGCAGTGTTCTGTAAAGTTGCATTTTTGTGGACATTTACCAAAGCAAGCCCCCTAGGACTTAATTATGGACAAACATGAATAGGATTGCACTGTTATGGTGCTGTTTCATTATCCAGCCTGGATTTTGCAGTCAAGGGTCCTTCTGGATTAAATTCTATCCTCCTACTTTCCATATCTTGCTTTGAATAAGCCTGACTGTAAAATGCATAAAAAATAATTATGCAGGAAAATAAGTGCTTGTTAACATTTTACTTCTAGCCAATAAGAAGAAGGAGAAAGAACGTCCTGAAATCTCTCTCCCTTCAGACTTCGAGCACACGATCCATGTGGGGTTTGATGCAGTCACTGGGGAATTCACAGTAAGTCATCTTTTTGTCCTCTGTTTGCTTCATTGCAAACTTCCTTGGCTAAATTGGCTTTCTTTGCAGCCATTTGTTCTGTGCAGACCTCACTTGCGTGCAGAGTGAACATTTGTACGGGAGGTGGTGGAATCACACCTGCCAACCTTGCAAGGGTTGCTGATCACACTCACAGAGCTCACACACATCTTACTTTGGATGCAAATGAGCTCTAGTGATGGGAAACCTACAACCCTCCAAATGTTGCTGGGCTTCAACTCTCATGATCCATGACCATTGGTTATGCTTTGTTGGGCCTGTTGAGAATTGGGAGCCCCAGCAGCATCCAGAGGGCCACAGGTTCCCCACCTGCTCTATGCTGACATTATGCTAGATGCAGACAGAAATTGGGGGGCTGCCAAGCACGATCCCCCTCCCCTCCTGTGCACATTTGCTGTACACGCAAGTAATGTCTGCTTAGGCTATCCCCTTGCCCACACAGGAGGAAGGTAGCTAGATTTCCTTGCGTGACACTTGTGTACTTTTGAGTATTCTACTGGAAACAATTGTTGCTTAATTCTCCCCACTCCATGGGTTGCTTGTTATAGACTGCAAACTATGGAAACTCTGGGGAAAGAGCTGAAGATGCTCTATGGATATATTCTGTAGGATAGTTTTATTTATTTAGAAGATTTATAAACCAGTTGATCAAGGAGCTCTCCAAGTGGGCTATAAATGCAGTTGTGCAAATAAAACACAGCTAAAACCCAGAAACCAATTTTCACAACACATATAGGTAACTAAGTTATATAACTGGGTTGGCTTGTAGAAACAAAGCTTTTCAGCAGGTGTCCCTAATGAGGGCACCAGCCCAATGTCAGTGGGCAAGGAGTTCCATAGCACTTTAGGAATAAATAACTACTCTTTTAAACACAGACCTGTGATCTCAACAGACAGCCTCTAGGTTTTATCCAACTCTCTTATGAGCTGGTATAGAAACCACATATTTCATGCAGACTAGCACCCTGGTTAACATTTTGCCACCTAACTGTGGCATATGACATAGATCGCCAATTTAAAAATGCTGGCCAAACATGGTGCAGGTAGAGAAGAGCTTGTGGCATTTCTGGACATGAGCAGAAAGGCCTATAGACCTCTGTATGGCACTGAGCCAGGCTTACACCTATGCCTTCCCCTTCTATGCTGCACTGCGGCATGTTCTCCCGGTAATTGCCTTCCAGGTGTTCTGATAAACAAGATGTGAGCTTAAAAACTCATATATGGAGCTAGAAGAGGATTTGGTGCCATCACAATCCTCTCCTTATAATGGCTCTCCAGAGTAGGATTATTTCCCCTTTCCCCACATGCTTCCCTTACCTCTTAAGTATGCCTTCCCTTGCTGTCCGCTAATCAATCATTCTTCCCCACAGAAGGAAAGAATTCTGCTAACACTCAAAATAGCATTGTGGGATTGTTTAAATCATGGGCTGGGATAGTGGGCTGCAGTTGTACCCATTGATTCTCTGGCTTTTCGCCCTTCGCCTAAAGCACTTGAGAAGGACACGGGAGCCCAGAGATCGTTTAATTGTAGCTGGGATGGAGCTTCACTTCATTCTTGCACATTTCTCGAACATCCCAAGAAAGATACTTGATAAGGATTTAATGACGAGTGCTTGAGGAATTTGATTTCTGTGAATTCCGATGTGAGCTGACTTCATCCTCATCAAAAGGATTGATGTGTAGATTACAACTACTTAAACTTCTGGTTTTGCACTTTTCCAAAATCTGTGACATAGTTTTTCCATCAGAAAGCAAACCAACAAGCAAAACAAAACACGTTACAAAGGTGAATTTTAGCACAAAATTTGTTCAGAGATACATATATTGATGCAAAATACATATTTTGTAATAATATATATTTTATGTTGAATATTTGTGTCTTTTTTTAAAAAAAATCACAGATTAATGAATAAGCAGGGCGGAGATGGGTTATGAATAAACATGTGTGAAATTGATATGGGACAGAAATAGATTGATCCAGCCATCCCTAGATTTAATGCCTGATCTTTGTAGATGACCAACCCCCTCCTCCCATATAATAAATCCCCCCCCATATAATTAATCTATCTTTCAAGAGATTTTAATAAACCACACTTCAGATGTGTTTCAAGAGTCACTGGATTTGGGAAATACCCATTTTATCCATGTCAAAATCAATCAATTTTAGTGATTGAAAATATTCTTTGTGAGTAGGTATTCTAGAAACATGAGGAGTTGCAATGCTTTCTTCAGCTACTTATCCTCATAACTGAGTGATTATTCTCTTCCTTCAGGCATTTATTTTCTTTCTCACTTGACTAGGAGAAATGAAACTATTAGTTTCTGATGCCCTAAAGCAACCTTCCCTAACTTGAGATGTTTTGGACCACAGCTCCCATCAGCCCCGGCCAATATGGCTGTGCTGGTTGGGCCTGATGGGAGATGTAGTCTAAAACCTTGGAAGGCACCAGGTTGGGCAAGGCTGCATTAAGGGATATAGATCTCAGACCCTAACATATAAATCGTAAGTATGATATTGGGGAACACATTTCCTTGTGGCTTGATTCCATGGTGTTATGGTTAACATTTAGATGAAGAAATCAAGTAGGGTAGATGAATCACATGGAAAGGAACAGAGTCAGCATTGCCAGCCCCCAGGGTGGTCTTCTACTTTTATGGATTGTTCCCCATGTGCTTTTCCATCCCATGATTCTTCAGTCTGAATTTTACCAGAGTGACAGTGTGGTATCCAGCAACAAGAGTAGCTTTCATGATACAGCATTAATGCATTAAATTGTGTCTGTTTTAGTTCCCTGCTCTTTCTTGTAAGATTCCCTGAAATTTAGATTTATTTTAACAGAGAGAGAGAGAGAGAGAGAGAGAGAGGAAGAGGTTGAGGTTTTTGATACAAAATTGTTTATCGAGGGTAGTAGCCCTCAGGAGTCATAGTTGCTGCACCTGACTGTTAACACCAACTTATGGTGATCATCAAGCTAGTTCATCTTGGTGATCAGTTTGCACAGCAAGGGAACATAAGTATCCTTGGAATCGCATGGGAATTTCTGTTTCCTGAAGAACCAGATCTTCTTAGCTCCATAACCACAGCTGGTTCAGTTAATTAGCTATGGGTCTGTGACATCTTGAGCTTTTTCTTATTTCCTTTATATGTTGGTAAGTATATTGTGACAAGGGTTCTGCCACATCACCAAGCCTCTTAACAAAAGTATTTCCACAGTGTTCACATTTTTTTCTCTATCTCTCAAAAGTTTGGAAGTGTCAGGGGATTGTTCAAAACCTGCACAAATGTTCCTTCTTCATTTTAGAGGATTGCAGTAGCTGCCGTGCCTGATCTGTTGGTTATGTGCCATGCGCAATGTGCAGCGTGCACAGTTTTACTCCAACACATAATGCCAGCCAGTGTTCTGGATGGATTCCCTGTTACTCATTGCTGCATCCAAAATCACAGCTGGGGATACCTGCTGCATGGGCTTTGAAGTCTGGCTTTCAGTCATTAGCATCCAATGACATGATGCTGATTGTCACAAATGCATGTCCGAATTCCCATTTTGTTTCGCTTGGAGCCACCACAAGTAGCAGAAATTGGGACACAGAGCACTAAATTCAATGACTGAAAATGATTAGGCAAAAGAAGCATGCTTCTGAGGCCTATAGATAGTTTGGTGGAAAAGTTGGTGCACTAATAAGGTGGGGAAATTTTGTTTTCCACTATTTTTGAATGAGAATTCTGCAAAGCATGCCTTTTAATGAGACAGATCTGCATTCCCCATCTAGAAAGAAAACTGGCTGCAACTCAAACTCATAAAGGTTCCCATTTCAAAACAAAAGGAAATGATGGATTTAGGTTGTATAAAGTCAAGTGGCATATATATATATAAGTGGCATATATGTATGTTGCCAAGAGTTTTCTCTCTGGCATTATGTTTGGCATAATTTGGTTTGACCCTGTTTGCAGACTCCAAAAACAAAACAAAAAACAAAAATCCAGAATTGGTTGATTTTTCCATTTGCAGCATTTGTGTCCATTCGTACCCTGGCTATTTTTGAAAAACAGTTTTTAATAATTCCTAAAGTCAGATGAGTCCTGAACAACTTTAGGCTGAAATTCTAATGCTGCTTGCCTGGGAGTAAGCCCCACTGAATTCAGTAAGACTTATTTCTGAGTAGACATGGTTAGGATTGCACTGTCAATGGGATGTAAACCCCACTGGACTTGCTGACCCTTACTTTTAAACAAGCTTGCATGGGATTGCATTGTAAATGTTACATGGAGACCTTTCAGAATTACCAAGGTGGGTTTAAGCATGAAAGAATTCTTAGAAGAAGGCTCTTTGTACCCGCCACAACTGTTTTAATACTGAATATTTGATCCAGTCACTTGGCAGTATGATTTTTCCAGTGAGCAAGCAAACATGCCACAACCTGGTTAAAATGGGGAATTGTTGCTTCCAAACTTTGGACTTAATTGTGATTTATTTCCTCCTCCCCTTCTGTTTTTCATAGTCTGTCTTCCTGTAGCCTGTCAATGACTACTACTTGGTTTGCTACTTCCCTCGTTTTAGACTGGGTTACCCTCACACACACAACCTTGACCTTCCTTGCCCCATTCCGACCCATTGGATTTCACCTCTTTCCCACCGTCTGAGTTGTCCCACATTCTGTTTTAACTTTCTTTTCTTTCTTTATTTACGTCCATTGCAGCCAGATCTCTATGGCTCACAGATGTGCACAGGGAAGTTTCCAGAGGTGCGTCACAGGCCCAAAAGAAGCTTGCATCCAAGTGCTTCTTTGAGATGTCATAGCACTGCAGCGGCAGGTTCCGTGTGTGTGCAGTAGATTTCGTTGCTTGGCTTATTCCAACTTTTTCATCGTTAACCCCAAACTCCAAAGGCCCATGTCACATCTCATTTTTGCAGAGAACCTCGTAGGAGGAAGGGGGGAAAACCCCAGTTTTGTTAGAATGTTAGCTGTAAGCTGGGGTGGCAAAATAAAGGGATGCTTTGATGCACTTCAAGTGAGTTACTGCTTCAATGTTAATTGTGCTGCTAAGGGGTGGGGGAGACGGTCGCTCCTTGAATTTAGGAAATTATACTGGATGTTCCAAGACAACTTTCTCGGAAATCAAAATACCTCAATACAAACTTATAAGATTTGTACTTTGGTGGATGCAGCCACTGCTCCTAATTCCTAATGATAATAATAATAAAAATAACATTACACAGTAGAGGGAAGGAGTGGGGAAAGAGGGTGCATTTTAAGTCCCAGCTACCTTATATAACTTAGCACCACCATTTTGATTCCAAATTGCAGCTCCTCCTTTGAAGTAGGGAAAATGTCCTTGAGTGGGCAGTTAAGGCGTCAGGAGGTAGCCTTGGTCTCGGTAGCGTCTGCTTTTATTGTCTGAGTAGAAAGCATTTATCTTGTTATGCATGAGCTATCCAGTGTAAATTTCCTAAAGCACCCGGTGTTGTCCTCCAGTGTAGAGTAGTGTTTTGTTTTCTGTCCTGAAGCGCCAGGGAAATGAGATAAGCTTTGCCGCCATTGGTCCATGGATCAGCAAGAGTTGAATTAACGATGAGCTTCATGCACCTTTTTTTCCTGTCACAGTCATAACTTTTTGGTTTTTTTTTTAAGTTGGATCCAGGTTTTAGCTCTTTGTTTTAATAGAGGATGAGAGAATGATTGCACCTGCTGTAAAGTGTCTAGCTTTTTAAACTCTTGGGCATCAATCAAAGGCTCCAAATGTAATATTACAGGTAGCGTGGGATTCTTGGTAAGGAACTGTGCTGGCAGAATATAAACGCTGATGAAATGCCCTGAATCGTCATCCTTTCCACTTGCTCTTCACAGGGGATTCCGGAGCAGTGGGCTAGGCTGCTGCAGACCTCCAATATAACAAAACTGGAACAGAAGAAGAACCCTCAAGCTGTTCTGGATGTCCTCAAATTCTATGATTCCAAAGAGACAGTAAACAACCAGAAATATATGAGCTTTACATCCGGAGGTAAGGAGCCAATGATGGCGGAGAAGACACCATCAGAACATAAAAAATAAGAAGTTTAAAAATAAAAAAGACTAGATAAGGGAAGAATGACCCACAGGCCTTATATGGATATAAATCACAGCTATGCTATTTTTCTTGTGTGAGACTCAGGCTTATGTGCTTCCTCCTTCCCATTCCTCTTGGACTTTCCATTCAGTTTCCCATTAACCTCATTAGTGTTGTGCCTGAATTGTAAACCATGGTTAAACTTGAGTATGGTTTATTAAAACAAGCTAGCTTCATAAACTACAGTTTGTTTTCGGTTTGTTTCAGTAAACCGTAGTTAGTTAAGACAGACCACAGTTTGTCTTAAGTTCAAAGAATATGCTAAATTGTGTTCCCAGTTCTCTAGATGAGGTTCTAGATGGCATAGAATCTTCTAAGCACAGCAGCCCAAATTCACTTAGAAGGTCTCTTCAGATCAGTTTGGGAAGGTTGGTGTGGCACACACAGGACAAGGACATAGGAGGGGGATAGTGTGTATGCCCTCGTGGTAGGTGAAGAGTGCCTCAGGGAAAGCATGGAAAGAGGGAGCACAATCAAACTGTACTTGAGATGACCATTGGTGATGGGGGGGGGGACTCAGAGACACACAACAGGACGAAACAGGAGAGAAAGGGGGAGAAGAGCTGGAGAGGGGGGGGAGCAAAAGTGGGCTGCAAAAAGGGAGCAAGGTGTTAACAGCTTAGAGGGGCAGTGAACCAAGAGGGAAGACAGTGTAGAAAGACAGTACAGCACAGCACAGCACATGGCTCCACCTGGTTGCCTTGAGGGATTTTGGCCCAGGGAGCTGAGTGCGCCACTAGAGAAGTCTTAATACAGTTTTGAAGCCTAACTCCAAGACAGAACCCTAGGGTGTATCCCAGGGATCACCAGTGTAGCACTTGTGGATGCAGTGGTGCCTTTGAGGTCTTCTTTCGCTGCCCACAAAGCCTCTGAGCACACATACTGCCCCCTTGGTCCTGAAAAGGTGATAATGGTTGCATTTTTCTCCTCCAGAAAGTACATAGAGCTGAAGCAGGAAGTTGGAAGCATGACACTCTTTTGCACTTCCTTTTTCAGCTCTCTGTGCTTTTCAAGGCTAGAATTTATTCTACAGGCAATTGCTTTCCCCCAGATCCTTTGGAAAAGTGAAGCCTGTGTTCTGCCTGCTTTTTCATGATCTGGGAGAGGGAAGTGACATGGGATGGTGATGTCCTTGGGTCTCAAAAGATTGTTGACTCCTGCTGTACACCCTTCTTCTTACTTCCTTTTGGAAGAACCCCACTGAGGCTCACTGCTATGCCTAACCTCTAAGAACACTTAATAATAATTTTCGGGGGGGGGGGATATAATTATATTGAGGCTTTTTCATAATACAACACAATAAAAAACAAACTAATCTAGATGAAAATAAAAACAGAAAGCGAAAGAGAAAATGCGAAGCCCTCCCTCAAACATAGATCTTAACCCTTGCTCCACACAGAAAGGGGTGGGCCCACCCAGCTCTCACCTGAGAGCTTCCCTTTCTTCTCCCAGCCTTCCACCCTGGGAAATCTTCCCTTCCTAGCCTTTCACACAGGATCTTTCACCAACCATCAGTCACCTTCATGTGTATACCATCCCCTCATTGACCCAGAGTAGACAACACATGCACACACAAAACAGAAGCAAGAGCAAAACAAAAAAAGGGGTGGTTATGCAGAAGAGATCGCAACAGGCTTTTGATTTCCTTTTCCTTTTTAAAACTAAACAGCAGCATGGGAGGTCGTGATTGGAAGCAAATGAGTAGTATAGGGGAGGGTTTGACCCTGTCCAACATTGCCACACATGTGTCATCTCCTAACTGCCCTGTAGCCATTTAGGCTCAATGAAGCTATTGAGAACTTTTGTTGTTGCACGTTTCAGATAAAAGTGCCCATGGATATATCGCAGCCCATCCTTCGGTGAGTATAAGAACCTGCTGTTGAATGTGAACTAATTCCATTTGGGGGGGGGGGAATAGTGTCTCTGCTGAGATTTTTGGCTTGATGTGATTTGCAGCTGGCTCTGAATACCAGTTTCTGGGAATCAAAAATATAGGGGAGTGCCGTTGTGCTCATGTCCCGCTTACAGGTTTTCCATAGAGGCCTCTGGCTGGCCACTGCAAGAACAGGATGTTGGAATAGATGGTCCCCATTTGGACTAATTCAGCAGTCAGGCTTTTCTTACGTCTTTTTGCTTATAGGAATGCTTGAAATAGCAGTGTGTATTTAATGAAAATTGAATCACAGCAAAACCCCCAAAAGTACAATTAAAGCAATCCCTATCAATACTGAGTTCTCAGTATGAATGTCTTATTTTCCGTTCTGAATAGTTGAAGTAGGACTTTCCTTTCCTCTTCTTATTCTTTTTAATGCTGAGATACGTAATATTATGGACTCAATTACACAACAGAGGCCATGCAATGGGCAGTCGAGAAATAGTATGGAAATGCTGGTAGAAGAGTAGAGACCCTTTTCGGATTATCTGAGAAAACAGTATAGCCGAATGAAATCGTAGGCAGAACTTGAAATATAAGCAAAGGAATGAGAATGATAAAGGAATGTAATGTACAATATATCTTTTAGGAAAAAAAGTATTGCATTTAAAGCAGTAAATAAAAGATTTAAACAGAAGCATCATGGAAGTAAGGATGGGAAGTCAAGATGCTAAGGAATATTGTATTGAAACTGAATTAAATTTCTTAAATTGTATGAAAATCAATAAGAGACAATTTAAAAAGAGAGAAATAGTGTTCATTGCATGGTCTCTATGAGAACAAGTGGCTGGCCAAAATGACTTCCCTGTAATGAATTCTGCAAGCATCTCATGAAATGAGAATTCCTTTTTCCCTTTGCCATTGTTTTGCTTTCTTTAAATAAGTGTGCCATCTTTGACTGTAAAGGGAAAATGACAGTGATGAAGCCATAAAGAACTCAAATGGCTTCTTGAGCAGGCCTGTTTTTGCAGATGTGGCTCTACCAGGAGAATTTTAAAGCTCTGTCAGAATGCTCTAAATGAGATCATGGGCAGGCAGAAGTGGCTTCCCAGGTGGCGTGGAGTCACTGGGTAGCTTCCCGGCAGGTGAGTTGTTGTTGCTTACCAACAGGGAGAGAGGCGAGGTGGTGGTGAAGTTGGTGTGGTACAAAGACACCAATGGAGCCAATACAGCACTCCACCCTGGTACGTAATAACAACCCACTTGGGAAACTAAGCGTTGCAGTTCTTCCACACCCAGCAAGCCACTTCTGCTCATGGGACAAATACATTCCAAAAAAGTCAGATCACTGCAAACTCCCTTTTGGTGTAGCCATGTTTTTTTCCTGCTCCACACCTAATGTCATGTGTGATTTCAGGTAAAGGGCAGGTAGGCCTCACAGGCCAAGTGGGTAACCTGGTGGACCTAATTAGGCCTGCTGACCACAGACCCCCGGCCCTTGTCCTACAGCCAGACCTCCTCATGTTCTGATAGTAATCCCGTAAACAGCTGAAGCCTCATTTTATGAATACATCTTTTGCACATACAGAGCACAAAGACTGCATCAGAACCTCCACTGGCTCCCCCAGTTTCCGAAGAGGAGGATGAGGAAGATGATGATGATGATGATGACAATGAGCCACCACCTGTTATTGCCCCACGACCAGAGCATACAAAATCAGTGAGCTGCTAACAGTTTTAGTTTGAATTGTTGTCTGTATGGTAGGACCAGGTCTGCGTATTTGCCCTTGTTCAGCAGGAATGCATAGGGTTGGGGATGGCGAAGGGGCACAGAATCTGGTGGTGATGCAGAATGCGAGCTTTTGGGAATCTCTGCTTTCCATGAATGTCTAGCCCTTATGGCTGCAGAGACACACAAAGTGCAGTCTGGTGAAATTTTGTTAGCCGGGTAGCCCGAAACAGCTTTTTTTAAACAATCCCCAGAGAAGTCTCTCTGTGCAAATTTCCAGGTTTAACCCCTCTTGGCACAGAAATTAGATTGCCTCTGTGCTAGCTTTTTATCTGGTTTTGCTCAGAGCACACACTGTCTATGGCAAAGCCAGTAGCTATTACGAGCCATGGAGGAAAATTCATTTTGAAGGAACAACTTTGAGTTTAGTACCCAGTCTTAGGATTTTCATTTGTAGGAAACTATGGCAGTCAGGTAGCTCTGCTTTGAGATTTATCACTTAATCCCAAGCTTTTCTGCATTGTGTGAAAAGGCATAGCAGAGCTCTTGGTTCAGGGTGTAATGTGTAAATTGAACAGTGTAATGGAAGTCTTGAAATCCATTATCTGCCTGTCAGGAGCTTAAATTAAACCTTTAGAGAGAAAGCAATATAATATTTGTGAAAGCACAGGAGACAATTAAAGTGTTTCCTTGTATGTAGCTCATTGGCAATTCATTGTTGTTCAATTTCCCCAAGTTCACAATGGAATTAAGGTATTTCCCGCCATTGTTTCTTTCAGATTTACACACGTTCTGTCATTGAACCTGTTGCGGCTCCAGCCCCAGTGAAGGAGCCTACAACCCCTCAGCCTGAGAATTCCAACTCAAACACCTTGTATAGAAATACAGATCGGCAGCGGAAAAAATCCAAGATGACTGATGAGGAGATCCTAGAGAAATTAAGTGAGTGTTTCGCCCTTGCTTGCACACTATTGATACTTGACCACAAATTTATCAAGGAGAAATCTATCAATGGATACCTAGCCATAATAACCAAGTGGACCCACCATGCAGTCTACCTCAAAGTACCAGCTAGTGGGAGGACATATATCTAGAGAGAGGACTATTGATATCATGACCTCCTTGCTATTCTCCCAAAGATATCTAGGTGGCTGCTGTCTAAGACAGGATGCTTGATTGGGTGGTTTTTGGGTCAAATCAAGCACAGCTGTTCTGTTCTTCTCATCCACCAGACTAGATAATCTGAATGAGTCTCCCAGGTTTCTGATTCCAAATGCTAATGGCCACTCTTATTGAAGCCAAGAGTTGCAAGCAAGCTATTTTTACATGAGATCTCTCATGAGACGACAACTCTTATGGATGAGCATTATTAATGAGGCACAGCAACAATTGCCTGCCTGCCCCACATCTCCAAGCCTTTCCTTCCTTGATTGATTTTTGGTTGTTTCATGATTGTCTGCTTTTTTTCTCTCCTCCTTAAGAATGTAATGTATGCCTGATTAAGGTGTCTGAGTAGTTGCCTTCCAGCCAACTTTGAGCTGCAGATTGAAAATCCAATGGAATTTCAGACAGTCTTCTGAAACATGATGTATTGCATTTGTCTGTACGACTGAGAGCTAATTAGGAAAATAATTAAGAATTAATTAACAAAGCTTTATGTTTGGAACCCAGGTGGTGCATCCCAGCCCCCTAATTTTCTTCCTTCTTTAATATCTTCGGGATTGACCTCCATCCACCTTCAGAAAGATGCCACACAGCTTTGTTTGATCTCTAAATGAGATTGACTCTTCTTTATTTCTTAGGAAAAAATATATAGATACCAGTAGCACATACAGTGGTACCTCGAGTTACAAACGCCTCAGGTTACAAACGCTTCAGATTGCAAACTCCGCTAACCTGGAAGAGTTATCTCGAGTTGAGAACTTTGCTTCAGGATGAGAACGTAAATTGTGTGCCGGCAGCGCAACGGCAGCAAGAGGCCCCACTAGTGAAAGAGCGTCTCTAGTTAAGAACAGTTTCAGGTTAAGAATGGACCTCCGGAACGAATTAAGTTCGTAACTACAGGTACCACTGTATAAGGCTTTATTCCACCTTGCCATGCAGTGTATTGTACCAATACCCTCTGGCTCTCCAAAGGGGATCTGAGCATTGAAGCAGTGGACTCCTGGAGGCAGAAGCTCAAGAGGCCTCTGCTTACCCACAACTCCTGGGAACACAGGAATCTGCCTTATGTGAAGTAAAACTGTTATCCCATCTAGCTCAGTATTGCTTACACTAACTGGCAGCAGCTTGGGCAGGAGTATTTTCTAGCCCTACCTGGAGATGCTGCCAAGGGTTAAACCTGGGACCTCATGGGTGCAAAGCGGCTGCTCTGCCACTGAGCTATGGTCCTTGTTGGGAAAAAGTAGGGTGCTAGAAGCTGTCCTTGTAGTCTTGCCCTTTGGGCTGTTTCACAGAACCAGAAGAGGACAGGTGTGTGCAAAGTCTATTCACTACTGAACTGGCACATTAGTTGGGATGGGTGATATCAATAATAGCATGAAAGGATGGGTGGAAGGGGGAAGTAGCGCTACCCAACTTTGTTACCCCCACCTGTATGAAGCTTTAGAGCTTACCAGTTATAATTATTAGCTGCCTGGCCTTTCCCCCTTCTGAATGCAACAGAATATTCTGCCTGTTACATGCCCAGCTCTAGTAACGAATCACAGAGTATTTGGGTTTTGCATATTCTCTGTATCAGAGTATTGCATATTCTCTGCGGGAGTTTGGATCTCAGCATCTTTCTTCTCCCTTCACACTGAATTTTCCTTCAGCATAGCCCATCATGTTGTAACTCCCATGGTTCCTTAAGTTGCCACCTGCTGTCCTTCCCTGTCTACTGTAATATTCAGGCAGTTTTTTATTTCTACTTTTGAAAGCACCTAAATATCATGGCCAAGGTTGTTTTCAGTGTTATGACATATGTCTTCACCTGTCAATGGCTCATTTTTAAGTGGTTTTGAAAGCAATGCTTGGTACATTTTTGCATCTATCCATTTTCTTCCCTTGCAGTTTTAGAATGCAAAGAAGATGCAGTGCTATTAGGTCTAGCAAAGATTATTTGTATTTTGAATCACCCCCATTATAGAAAGCTGACCCCTGTATCCTGCTTTGGGAGGGGGAATATATGCACCTTTTGTCTGTCTTGCTAGAAATCATATGTTCTCACATTTTTGCTCTTATTTTGTTCTTCTCACAGAATTTCATAGAAGTGTAGAGTTGGAAGGGACCCCGAGGGTCAACTTGTCCAGCCCCCAGAAGCGCAGTTTGCATGAAGACACCAAACCCAAGTTGATTCATCTGATTCAACAGTTGAAAACGGGTTCAGAATCTCTCATTATCTTCCTGATCTGAAGGGTTTCCCTTTTCCAATTCCGTTGCTTGGAGATTACCTAACTTCTTTTCTCCTTGTACACAGATAGGCTCCTCTCCCCCCTTGAAATTAAAGTGGTCATAGATAATCTTCTTTCAGATTCTGCTAACTCCTTTTGAAAAATACTTCTATACTACACTTTCACAATCTGGTGCCCTCTGAACTTCTTAAACATACAACTCTGACCAGCCCCATTTGTCAGTTAAAAATACAGGGAACCTTAGGCCCTCCTATGGAAATGTCTGGTGAATTTTGCCCACCCACCCCAGTGTCTCTCCCACAGGACTGAACACAACCTCAGCTGAAAATATAAGCTCACTTCACATGATATTATCCTTTTCTTTTTCTTCGCTCTCACTTAAAAGGTATTATCTTCCAGTGATGATGACCTTCCTTTGTTTTTTTCAGGAAGCATTGTAAGTGTTGGAGACCCGAAAAAGAAATATACAAGGTTTGAAAAAATTGGCCAGGGGTAAGTATTGCCAAGGCACAGGGGCTCAGTTTTGATTATAGTATTTCTGCCCATTTATTCATGTATGTTTGGTTATACAAGTTATCACTGGCATATTTTCCATAAGGCAGGGACTACAATTTGGTTGCCTTGTCTTCACACCTGGAGCTACCAATGTGAGCAACCATCAGTAATTCCCTGGTTCAGATCTCACCTCAACATCTTTGAGTATTCCACAGTATGGGAAAGATAAAATATTGCTGTTGTGTGCATCATGACAAATATATTTTATTGCAGAATAAAATTTTATTTATATGTGTTATTTTATCACACAGAAACTGGACTTGTTTGCAAATAACACTAACCCAAGGTTTGTTTAAGCCAAGGCTTGTTCAACAAAACACAAGTTAATACAAGTTAGCCCCCAGACAATCAAAGAAGGAGTGGCTTCTTTCTTCAAAATTAGGTCCCCTGCCCCCAGCCGTTCATTAAGTTTGGTGAGCATTTATAGTTTGAGCATTTGTGATGGGGTACAAGCAAACCATGGTTAAGGAAGGGTGTTGTTTTTTAATGTAATTCCATGCTATAGTTGAAAGAAATCAAGGTTCATGAGTCAACATCAAACCATAGTTTCAGATTGTGGTTTGTTGACAGTAAACAACCCATATTGGGCCTCTGGGCAGGGTTCACATGTAATGCTAACTCATGGTTTGACAAACCATAGTTTAATAAATCAGCATTTAGCATTGTGTGAGAACCAAACTGTAGTTTCATATTCAATCTCAAAATACTACTGACACCTGCCAGACCTATTTCTGTAGCCTGAAGAATGACATCTGGATATAAGCAGGTAGAAGGTTATCTAAATAAAATGCTCAAATCAAAATCCTCTGCACTTTAACTTTGGTTCTGCACTGACAACCATGAGTAAACAGGTTTTTTAAAAAATGTAAACAAATTGGATTAAACTTCCCTATTAGTCACAGAAAACACATTAGCATTAACATTGAAATGATGAATGGCATATCCAATGGAAACATTGCATTAAACCGAGGGATCCAGGCTGTGGGAGAAAAAAGTGAAATGCTCTTAAAATAATTTTGCTTGCTAATTAATATCCACAGTTCCAAACAACATTCTGGCATTGTAGAAAGACTGTTCAGTGCATGTCAGTGTTAAACATCTAATAACTCACCAGCTACTTAATTGACAGAATCTTTTCTAAAACTGGGCAACACACTTTGTAGCAGTGACCAGCAGGCATAAGTATGTGCTCATTTTTATTCATGTTCTTCCTGTTTGGCACCTCCACATATCTTGACGACACATTCTATTTTCTTGTAGAGCTTCAGGTACAGTTTATACAGCGATAGACGTTGCCACAGGGCAGGAGGTATGTGCAATGTTGGTGTCTGTTTCTTCTCTGCTTTTAAAATTCTGCCCAGTTTTCTCATACCGCTTGTAATACACTTGTACACACTTTTGGGTTATTGCCTGCCTCTGATGCAGAACTGCATCACTTGTAAGTAAGAATGGGGGAGAAATTGGGTTCAGATCACATTTAAAGGCAAACTTACCTAATTCACACTTTCCGAAACAGTATATGAACTGAAGTGTAGGCACCCTTTGAAATATTCACAGTCTGAATTTTGCAATGCTGAGCAACGTGAACTACAGGCAAGCAATGTGTACAAAAATGCATATATTAGTGGAAAATAACGTACATAAATGTGTTGTGTTAGGAAAAACTGCTTCCCAAAACCTGTGTATGGGGGGAAATGCAGCGGAGGTGGTATGGCTCTGAATACCACTTTTTGGGATCATGAGTATGGAGACCACAGCTGTTCTTGGGTCCTACCTGCAGGCATCCCATAGGCACCTGGTTGGCACCTGGTTAGCAACTGTGAAAACACGATGCTGGATGAGTTGGGCCTTTACCCTGATCCAGCTGGGACTTATCACCTGTTCCTAAGCTTGATGGGTCTTAGTACTGATTATGGTGGCTGTGGCAGAAGACATAATGGATCTGGCAACCTCTGTGATGGCACACAGTCTGTTGGTTGTGACTATATGTATTTGCAGCAGTAGGTGTGACTTGCCCTCAGTGCTCATTTGCTGTAGAAGCAGGTGCTAAAATCCAGCTGCTAAGCCTGTCATAGTTAATACAATACCCTCCTATCTTTTTAGGTGCTGGGTAGTCTCATAATGGAGATTCTATACATATTAGTTCCAGTGATGCTAATTATTCTTAACACTTGGACAGACTCTTTGATTTCCAAAGTTTGCTATAAATATTAATTAAAGAAGGATCGCGGTTAAATATCTGGGATTTGTATTTAGGTAACACGGAGGTTAGTTGACCTCAAGTTAAAGCTAAGGGAGGGGGAATCAAACTGAAGGTCAAAGGCCTAACCTTAAGCTATGCAATTATGAGTCGCTTGTGTCACGCTCAGTACCATTCTGCATGTCGACCGAAGTGTGACCCATACAAAGCACTGAATGGGGAGGCCTCTGAGCTTCTTTGAGTTTGACTAATGTTGAGTTGTCAGCTTAATGTTTGCACCTTTTTTCACAATTATGGTGAAGCCCAGTAGAAAGATCGGGGTTTTCAAGCTTGGAAAGAAAGAGAGGTTAAGGGGCAATCAAGATTCATTAACACTCATGCAAGTTTGGCTGTTGATATCAGCAAGATATACATTGCATTGACAATTATCAGTGCTGGAACACTAGATAAAGTTGAGCAGGATACCTCCAGATATATAGTGGACTCTCAATTGCCAGTGATTTCAAAAAGAGATGGAACCCCCAGGAGTGCAGCTGAGACACTGTTTTACCCAGCATTTCATGGATAGCATTGGGTGTGTTTGCTTTTTAAAAATTCCCTTTTTGACCCTATTGATTGTGACCACAATCGAATATTCACACCATACAGCAGAAAATTCTTCTCCACCTCCTGTACATTTTATCCATTGGGTAGTATCCAAGGGCTTCTTCCCTCCTATGGAAAGAGTCTTCCTCCCAGGGCAGGTCTCCTTCTGTCAGAGCAACCCATTTACTGTGCATACTGGTTTCTGAAGCAAAGTGTGTTAGCACTTAACATAGCTATTTCCTAAGAATGTGAATCTGCTTGTTGTCATCATAGAACTGATGCAACTTAGATATATTCAACAACATTTACTGTGCACTATTTAGAATGAATTCTTGGTAGTGGGAAGCTTAAGTTTTAGATCCAGATAAGTTCAAAGCTGAGGAGTGTGTGAATCCCTCCTTGTACTCACAGATTATCTCCATGCAAACTGTCCCCATACTTTTCTCCTCAGCTGAGCTTTAATACCAGCTTGGCTAAGAGAAAAAAAACTTGGCACAGAATGTACAGGGAGGTAAGTGGCGGGCGCAGAGTGCGCTTGGCTCCCCTCACTCACATAACCTAAATATAGAGCACCCTCCGTCCTCTGGGTTGTATGTGACTTGAGGCAGGCCTAGAATTAAACCAGGTGTGGTTAGCTTAGCCAATGGCCGGGGAGGATGGGAGCTGCATTTTGGCAACATTTGGAGGGCCACAGGTTCCCCACAACTTCTTTAAACCAATAAGTCTGAGAGATAGTAATAGTGACCCATGAAATCCCTGATTTGATTCTCACCTTTACCATGAGCTTCCTAAGTAACTTTAGATTCCCCCACCATTTGCAGCAAGGCCAGCTAACCTTACAGGGTTGCTGCAAGAATTGCAACTAAATTATGCATGTCAAGCACTTTGGAGACCAGGAAGTGCTATGCAAATGCTAAGTATTATAGTTATTACCTAATTTGCCCTCTTAATTAACTTGGTGCTGTTCTCAGCGGTTACCTATCTAGTTGCCTCCAGTCTATTGCACTTATTTTGTGCATGTTTTTTTTTAATGGTTTGTTTTCTGAAGGGGAGGGTTCACTTAAAAACAGAAATTAAGTTTCATGAAAATGTCATTTCAGGTGGCTATAAAGCAAATGAATCTCCAGCAGCAACCCAAAAAGGAATTAATAATCAATGAGATCCTGGTCATGAGGGAAAATAAGAATTCCAACATAGTTAACTACTTAGATAGGTAAGTACCTTCAAGTGACCGTCTGATAATGGTTGCTAGGAAGCTTTGGATAAAAATGTGATCAGTGGTGGAGGCTGCACCACTAGGGCAAGTGGACCATTGACCCATCAAGCTTGGTCTGTCCTCAGCCAGCCCCAACTTATTGCTTTGCTTACAACCAGTCTAGGAGGTCACACTGGCTCTGCCTATCATTGGCTCTTGGTCTGCCTACTGTTTGTGCTCCCTGTCCTCTTCCCTATCGGTTCCAATGAGCACCAGCCCCCACTGGTTTTGAAGGTTTGCTGTAAGCCACCTTGGGCACAGTTCCTTGTGGAAAAACAGCAAATGAGTAAATCAATCACTGGTGACCAAAGGATACTTGCTAGCTTCTTGGGTGTAACTGTTCATTTGTGGGAACTGTTAGGCCACAAGTGCCTCATTAGAAGCAGGTGCCAGCCTGAGCCTCTTCTGAACAGCTGCAAAGTGGAGAGGGAAGGCAGATTTCCAGGTGCTATTCTGCTGCAGTTTGGCCAGTATGCATCCAGAACCCCAGGGGAGAGGTGGGGACCATAAGAAAAATAAGTTAATAGCGTGGGGAGGGTGAAGCATTCCCTCCTGTCTGGTACCCATCAATACCTTCTGTTTCTTTAGTTTATTGGTGTAATGTTGTTTGTGGACCACAGCATTCAGACCACATTGAACTGATATTTTTTTCCATATTCATCTACTAATGACTTCTTGAATTTGATGTCTCAGTTACCTTGTTGGTGATGAACTTTGGGTGGTAATGGAGTACTTGGCTGGTGGCTCTTTGACTGACGTTGTTACAGAAACCTGCATGGATGAAGGGCAGATAGCTGCTGTCTGTAGAGAGGTAAGTAATTTCATTCTGTGACAGCATGGTGGTCTTCAACCAACAGTTATGTTTATACATTGGCCTGCTTTGGATGCACATATCTTGGCTCATGAAGCTGAAAAATATACTATCCAGTGCTTTTTGTGTGTGACAAAGTGTCACCAGTATGGAATGCCATTGCCTCTGGTTTTTTTGCTGCCCATCACAACCATTTTGTGCTTGGACCTATGGCACTTTTATCAAGATTTGAGTACCGACACTTCATTTATTTGTTTGTTACCAAAACAAAAAGCACTGGGGCTATCCTTATGCCTATGTGCATTGTCCCTCCCCTCTTCCATTCCTAAGGCACTGTGGTTAATTCCAGAAATCTTTAGCCATATCTTTCCATTACATCTGAGCCAGGAAACCATGGTTACAAGGTTTGGAACAAGTGAGAACTTTACATTTCCTTCAAACCACGGTTTAAGGTCCTTGACTTGCTCTGAACCTTCTTAACCCTACTGTTGTGTGCAACCTTAGCTCTTCTCAGAGTAAGCCTATTAAAACAAGTGGCTATAAGTTATTCATGTTCATGGTCCTACTCTTGAGCTGAGCAAATGTTGGACCAACAACCCATTGTTTCCAGGTTTGACTATAGCTTAATTGAAGTCTTCTTACTGCAGCATACCAAGAGGAGAGGGGCAGTGGAGCATGAAGGCACAAATCCCATGCATTTCCCAATCTTTTAAGCTGAGATATTTACATACAAACCAGGCTGTTGCCACCTTTTGGCATGCGTATATCTGCTAGATAATGGTAGGAGGAGCTAGCCAGTTATACCCAAAGTAGCATTGCTCTAGGGTACTGTAGGGAGTTTAAAACCATGGTTTGTAATTTCCTGATGACCGAGGTGGGACAGAGCAGATGCCACTGCCAAAGTATATGCCCACAGTTGTTGGATACTTCCTGTGGGAAGGGAGAACGATTTGGCCATTGAAGAGTGGATCTCTATTCAGTGAAGGAAGTGGTGGCAGTGCTGGGAAATGGGCTAAATGTACCAAGGTATGGTCTGAAGCTTCAAGAGGCCACCTGCTTGCTGAAGCTAAGCAGGTATGGGTCTTGACACCTGGGTGGGTGACCACCTGGAAGCCACATATATGCTACCTTGGAATGAAATAATGTGTGAGTGCCCATGTAGCAAGTTGCTCTTTTCGTAGCGTAAACTCTGTCATCTTACCATTCCTATAGAAATGAAAACAAAAAATGATTCGGCAATATACTTCACCTCCTCCATTTCCTAATAAGTCAGACCATAATCCTTGACTTGCACCATGCTCTTTTAAAAGTATCTTATTTATTATTTTCTAAATATCAGTGCCTGCAAGCTCTGGATTTCTTGCATTCAAACCAAGTGATCCATAGAGACATCAAGAGTGACAACATTCTTCTTGGGATGGATGGATCTGTCAAACTCAGTAGGTATTCTCTGTAAGGCTTTTGCCACTGTAGTTATTGTGGTGTGGTATTGTGTGTTATCAGGGTAAAGTGGTGGTATATATCTCTCCCCGCCAATAAAAAAATAGTGCAAAAACAGGTGAGAAATGGTGCCAGTTTTGGTATCAAAGGGAGTTTCAGTTATGCTTAACTCCCCATCTCTACATAATTATCCATGTGTAGCCACTTAGATAGGTGATCATGTACTCAGTGACATGCACATTCCATCCTATGTATTTTTCGAGAATTAAAAAAGCAGCTAGAATTGCATGAAAGTTTTAAGCACCTAGGATATGCAGTTTAGAATGCTTAATGTTGCATCTTCTCTTAAAATGTGCACTTTCGCATGCAGTTCCCAATAAAGTACACCACATCACAAAAATTTGGAGAGCATGTGAACCCATTGATAGCTACATTTTTGATACACAAGGCTGGGAACTGGCAAATTAGGTTGCTTTGCTTTAAATGCAGGTCTGATGGTTTTCTCCTCCATCCCTAACTGTCAGCACAGATATTTGACTGGTGCTTCTCTCATTGTGTTAGGGAGAAACTTCTCTAAAACTTTCTAAGAGTCAGGGAGTTCTTCCTACCCCACTTATGTTGAGAAATATGTGTACGTGTGTGTGTATGTGTATGGTGCTCCCAGTAACACTTTTTGCTTCTCAGTTTTTTCTTCCTTTTCATAATTTTCAAATAATCTGTATTCTATGCTGCTGCTCTCTGAATCCTTATGAATTTGGATTTTGGTTTTTCTTTTTTGTTTTTGGCTCCCCAAAAATGGCCGCAGGCCTAAACGTTTTAAGATTGCGGCGGAAAAGCACTTAAGACTTATCTCAGTACATAACAGGGCAGAATCCTATTCAGAGTAGACCCACTGAATTAATGTGCATTACTAAGTTAGGTTCATTCATTTCAATGAATCTACTTCAAGTAGGACTAAAACCCTATGTGTCTTGGATATGCTTAAGAATATAAGAAGATGGATCAGACTGTGGGGAAAAGGATGCTGGAGAAGAGGCTCCAAAGTGATATTTCCCATGTTGTGATGGTGACACTTTGCTAATTTGTACCCAGGTTATAATGCAGTTTCCTGTAGTCACCCGAGATTGTAGTATCAGCAGCGGTACACAGCTATTACTTACCCATTTACTTTCCTAGTTTTATGTGGAGATGCATGCTGCACGATGAAGCTGAGATTAAGCATTTTTAAGGTCCCATCCATTTGAGTGGGGGAAATGCTTACCACTGCTTACCTATTCCATTGATATCAGTTTGAGTTCCATGTGTGAAAATGGGGGCACAGCTCAGTGGCAAAGCACATGCCAAAGGTCTCTGGTTCACTCCTCAGCATCTCCAGGAAGGACTGGAGCAACTCCAGATCTCCTCCAACCACTACTGTGGGCCAATTTGAAAGGTGGGTGGGGCTGCCCAGTGGTCAATCACAGTGCTTTCAAACGGTGTAAGGTAAGCAAAGGAAGAAGGGTTTGCAGCAACCGCTGATCATAGAATCATAGAATTGTTGGGAGGGACTCTGGGGATCATTGAGTCCAACTCCCTGCAATACAGGGATATGCAGCTGTCTCGTACTGTGATCGAACCTGCAACTTTGGCATTGTCAACACCATGCTCTAACCAACTGAGCTATCTAGGGGGACATGGTCCAAGGAGGAAGCCTGCCAAGCCTCATTTGACTTATGAGCTGGAGATTCTCATCTGCTGGTTTCGCTTGTTGAAATGCACCTTGCTATCCTTGCTTAATTTTTGCTGCGTTTCTCCTTTATCCTTCTTTTTCCAGTATGGATGTTGTCTTTGTTTGACAATTATCATATCGTTTTCCTCTCTGTTCTCCAGTCTGTCAGTGTTCTTCAGCCTCTCTTCCTCTTTATGCCAACTTCCCCACTTGCTCTTTCGTCTGCTTCTTCTGCTGGTTTCATACCGTTTCTGTAAGCCATCATCTTTGCTTTTCCTTTGCTGCAGCTGACTTCGGCTTCTGTGCTCAGATCACTCCCGAGCAGAGTAAAAGGAGCACAATGGTGGGAACCCCCTACTGGATGGCTCCTGAAGTGGTGACAAGAAAGGCATATGGGCCCAAAGTGGACATCTGGTCTTTAGGGATCATGGCCATAGAAATGGTGGAAGGAGAACCTCCATATCTCAATGAAAATCCTCTCAGGGTAAGATCAAAAGTCCAGTATGCTTTTTGTTTTTTAAAAAACCATCCTAAATTGTAGACTGCATTGGGACTCACATTAGTGTCACAGGCTGATTGCACACTGGAGGCATCCAAGGTCCCAGGTGGATGGCAACAAAGACAGGGAGCTATCTCAGTTGTATCACCTCAATTGTGGATTGTTCTCAGGGAGGTTGGCAGCCTAATTCCATTCCATTTCTGGTTTTGGAAAGTTATTCTTTGGTTCCTTCAATTCCATCTTGCATGGTGGTTTTTTTATTATTGTTGAAATAATGCACAAAAAGTCTGCACTTGAACTACAAAATTTCAATGCACTTTTTACGTAAAATACACATTTCCCTATGCATTCGTCCACAAATACACATTTTTAAGTCCGTTTTATGTAAAATGCTAATTTGTGTGTGTGTGTGCGTGTGCATTTTTTGTGTACTGAGACTGCATTGCAAAATCTGGAGAACTGTGTAATCATGCTTACACAGTAGTGCTCAGATCCACATTCAAGAATGGAAAGTTTTCTATTGCCCATATCTTTTTATTCATTGCATTTTCTTTTTGCAAAAGAAAAATGTTTCAGGTTTATTGGAGGATGGGATAAAAATCCTGAAATAAATACCTAAAGGAAGGAACAAGAAAAGCAGCCTCAAATAAATCAATGCAACTTACCGTTTTACCCTTTAGGCCTTGTATTTGATAGCTACAAATGGGACTCCAGAACTCCAGAATCCCGAGAGACTCTCTGCTGTTTTCCGAGACTTTCTGAACCGCTGCCTGGAGATGGATGTTGACAGGCGAGGGTCTGCGAAAGAGCTCTTGCAGGTAATGTGTTATGGGACGGAGAGAGCATTAAAGGGCACATTGTTTTCTTTTCTGTCCCCTACAGAAATGTCAAAATAGTTGGATTGTATGTGGGTTCCCACATCAGCTCTGTATTCACTGTGAAGGTGTTGTGCTGACTTGGAGGTACAGGGCCTTCCTGCATGATTTCTGCTCCTCCCACATGCCACACCCACGTTTTATGCATTATGAGAGCAGTGTGGAGATACTACCAAAATTATGGGATTTGTTCCCGCAAGATGTAGTGTGACAGTCACCAACTTGGATGGCTTTAAAGAAGGATTCAGTAAATTCAAGGGACATCAGGCTATCCCTGGCTACCAACCACAATGGCTATGTTTTACCTCCACTGTCAGAGCCAGTATGCCTCAGTCTGAATACCAGTTGCCGGGAACCACAAGTGGAGAGAGTGCTGCTGCACTCAGGTTTTATTACTGGGCTTTGCATTGGCATCTGCCTGGTCACCATGAGAGCAGGATGTTAAACTAAATGGGCCTTTGGCCTGATCCAGCTCTTATGCTCTTAAGCATTTGCCATGCCCTTGGGGAGGGGAGTGTAAGGTTTTAGGTTCTAGATGACACTGAGTGCTGGTTCACACATATCGTTTGGTTATTCTACACTCGTTTACTGGATCCTAGTTTGCAGGAGCTCCTTGCTCTCCATATCCTGTTGCTCCCCTATATTTGACAGGGTGAAAGAGCATAAAATACAGTTTTATCAGTGGCAATCACCCACGCTATCTGGGCATAAACAAACGATACGATACGATATCTTTATTGTCATTGTCCCTTGCGGAACAATGAAATTGAAAACTACATAAAACTACATAAAAACTACATAAAACTACCACAAAACTACATAAAACTACATAAAAACTACATAAAACTACTACAAAACTACATAAAACATTCAAAACCCCCTAAAAACTCTAAAACCCCATTTTAAAACACACTATACTACAGAAACCCCTTATGCTGCATTTAGAACCAGAATTGCATTAGCGTAGAAACTGTTTTTCAGGCGGCTAGTCCTGGCCTTTATAACCCTATACCTTCTTCCAGAAGGCAGAAGCTGAAAGAGATCATTTCCGGGGTGCGTACTATCATGTGCTATCTCTGCCGCTTTCTTATGGCACCTGGCAGCATAGATTTGATCTAAGGTGGGAAGAGTGCACCCAATAATTCTCTCTGCAGTCTTTACAACCCTGGATAGCATTGTTTTTTCCCTGGCCGTGCAGCTCCCAAACCACACGCACAGACCATAAGTTAGTACGCTCTCTACAGTGCAATGGTAGAATGCCATCAACAGGTCCTTTGAGAGATTGTTTTTCCGGAGGATTCTCAGAAAATATAACCTCTGCTGTGCTCTCTTCACCAGGTCTTTGCTGTTCTCTCCCCAGGTTAGGTCGTCTCTCAACTCCATTCCCAGAAATCGAAACACTGAAACCTGTTCCACGCACTTCCCCTCAATAATAAGTGGCTGAATATTCAATTTACATTTCCTAAAGTCCACAATGATCTCTTTTGTTTTCTTTAAGTTAAGCAGTAAGTTGTTTTTCCTGCACCACTCCCCCATCTGTTCAACTTCCTTCCTATAGGCCGTCTCCCCCTCTCCAGCCGTAATTAAACCAACCACTGTTGTATCATCTGCGAACTTAATGATCTTATTAGTGGGGTATTTGGGGGCACAGTCAGCTGTATAGAGCATGTATAAAAGCGGGCTCAACACGCACCCCTGAGGCGTGCCCGTATTCGTGATGAGATCCGCAGAGACGTGGGAACCCAACCTGACCCTTTGGGAACGGTTTGATAGAAAGTCTAATATCCACCTGCACAAACATGGTGGAAGTCCCAGGTCTAATAATTTGGGCACCAATCTATGCGGAAGAATAGTATTAAATGCAGAACTAAAGTCTACAAATAACAGTCTCGCGTAGTTCCCTTGCTTCTCCAAATTAGTCAGGACAGCGTGTAAAGCCATTGCCACAGCATCCTCTGTGGATCTCTTTGCCTTGTACGCAAACTGGTAAGGGTCAAGTCCCACTGGCAGACAAGATAAGATGCGCTTCCTCACCAGTTTTTCGAAACATTTCATTATAATGGGTGTCAGCGCCACAGGGCGAAAATCATTCAGACTGTCTATCTTTGATGTTTTTGGCAGGGATATAATGGTAGCAGATTTCAGACAGGGTGGAACAGTGGCTTGGGGCAGAGACTGGTTAAAAATCTTTGTAAAGATTCCTGCCAGTTGGTCCGAACAATCTCTTAGCACCCTGCCAGCCACCCCATCCGGGCCCATAGCCTTCCTTGTGTTTACCTCCTTTAATATTCGCCTCACTTCTCCCTCTTCCACCCTGGCAGCATTTCCTGTAGGTAGTGACGCCAATAGCTCTGGCATCCCTGTTGGAGTCACTGTTGATGTCACCTCAAATTGGGCAAAGAAGGTATTCAACTCTCCCACCAAGGAAGCAGTACTCTCTACCACTGATGAATTCCTTGATTTATAACCAGTCAGATGTTGGACTCCCTGCCGCATTTGTCTAGTATCATGATTTCTCAGATGGTCCTCAATTTTTCCTCTGTACTCCGCTTTTGCTTTCCTGATACCCCTCTTCAAGTTCGCTCTTTCTATGCCATACAAAATCCGGTCCCCAGTTCTAAAAGCAGAATTTCTGGCCTTCAATAATCTCCTAACCTCTCCTGTCATCCAGGGCTTCCTATTTGGATACAACTTAACATACTTTTCCCTGGTGACATTTGCTGTGCAGAACCTAATATAATCCAGGACCGTTGATGTATAAGTTTCTAGATCTTGATGGTCGAAGGTATTCCAGTCGGTCTCCTGGAAACAGTCCTGCAGTTGCTGAGAGGCTCCCTCAGGCCACACCGTAACCATCCATGTTTGTATCTGGCCTTGTTTCCTGAGGGGTGTGTATACTGGTGTCAGAAGCAGGGACACATGATCTGAACCACCGATGTGCGCCAAGGTCTTGACCTCATATGCCTGCCTAATGTTCGTATACACCTTGTCAACATCTGGGTGTTATGTGTATTCACCCTATTCAGAAATTACACTCATGCATGAACATCTAGTGGCTTTGGAAGTGGTTGTGGTTGGCATCTGTCTGTCTTGAGAGACAGTGGAGTGTGCCTCCAGGGGTGAATTCAAACCAGATAGTGACCTCTCCAGGGTGCAAGCCTGGACAGTGTATATGGAGTTCCTGGGTTGCCCAGATAACAAGACCCCTTCTCGGTGTATTAGCTGGGCAGAGTGGCAAAATACTGTCATCTCTCCATTACAGATGTGGAAGTATATTAGCTTCAATATCTTAAACATGGTAGCTGGTTCTGTTGCATGCACTGGGTGATATGAAAGCTCTGCTTACGGTGTTAGATTTCTAGTGCCTCACTCACACATGCATTGAAGAGCCAGTTATCACATGTGTAGATGATGCCTCGTAGGATGGAATTTTTCCAGACAAGTGCAGACCACTGAAGTCCACAAGTGGTTGCAGGATAAAGCGCAACAGGAAGTATCACTTACATGAAAAACGAACACAGTGCCATCAGGATTCTAGCCAAAACTGACCCACTCAGAAACAAAAGGGAAGGGCTGTATCTCAATGATTAGAGCACCTGCATTGCATGCAGAAGGTCCCTGATTCAATCCCGGACATATCCTGGTGGAGACTGCCTGCCTGAAACCCTGGAGAGCTGCTGCCAGGCAGCATAAACAATACTGAGCTTGATGGACCAATGCTCTGACCCAAGAACACAGGAAGTTGGTTTATACTAAGTGCCAGTATGCTGGGTGTGGATAATGTTTTAATTTTTTTTAAAATATGTGTGTGTGTGTGTGTATAATGAAATGGTTTATATATGCTTTTATTGCCTATGCTTTTTACTGCTAAATCGCTTTGAGATATTTCATAGGAAGCAATACATAAACAGAAACAAATAATTAAGTTTGCAGACAAAAAGCAAAGAAAAACTTTTAGAAAAAACCCAAAGGGGACCACCCCCAACCACAACAACCATTCCAAACAGCCCAGTGGGGACTGAGCATGCTCAGTAACAATGGAATGTGGTGACTGTTGGAAAAGAAAAGAAAATAGCATGGCAGAGGAGCAGAATGTCCTGCTTTCAGGGAGTTGCTGACTAGAAACCTGAACAGGAGCACTCCTCCTAGGAGAGAGGATGCACTGCAACATTTTGCTTGTCTAGCCAGCCATCTGTCTGTCCGCCTGTCAGATAAATAACAGTTTTCTTCTTCCTTTCAGCACCCGTTTTTAAAACTGGCCAAGCCGCTCTCCAGCCTGACTCCCTTGATCATCGCAGCCAAGGAGGCCATAAAGAACAGTAGTCGCTAGAGCGCTGAGCCGCGTGTGCCCAATTCCTCTACGGCAAGACTGGACAAATACTAAGTAGAGCCTCAGACTCTTCTGCCGGAGGATGGGCAGGCAGAAACCGACACTCTCACAGTCCACAGGGGGAGGGAGGGAGGCAGCAGCCTTCTGCCCCTTCCCCTGGAAAAGAAACCTATCACGTATCTTTTTCCCACTCTACAATTCCCCAATTTATTTCTGAATGGGAGCCTGATTGAGAGGGGCAGGACTGGAAGCCTCTGTGCTCTTTTGGCCGTTTCCAGAGCACCGATGGCACAGCCCAACCAGCACTCAACCAGGCAGAAGTGATAGGCCCAAACATCCTGCCCTCCCCGTTTTTGATTTTTGTTTTTTGTTTTTGTGGGGCAAGGGGGGCTGAATTTGTGGCCTCTTTCACCCTGGTTGTTGGGAGAGACCCAAACTGTTTGCAAACCACTGGTCTATTTGCTTGTCATGAGATGAGGAGGATCATGAAGGAGCTTGCTTTATTTAACCAAAAGAAAAAGAAAGAATCATAGAACCATAGAAATATAAGGGGCCCTGAGGGTCAAGAAAGAAAGAAAGAAAAATTAATACTAAATCAAGAAGCAGGTCAGTCTCAGCATCCTCTCTGAGAGTTTATGCTTTGAAATACAGAATACAGATAGCGATTGCATTCCTGGACAGCCTGGCGAGGGTGTCATGAATATTGGTGCTTTTGTGTTGGTGAGTTTTCCCTTCCCAAAGCAAAACAGACAAATAGAATCATATAAACCACATTTATGTAACACTGCTGTTGTGAGTATGTGGCAGTGGGACCATTCCTGCCTGGTGTCCATTCGCTTCTCCATAATGCTGAGCAGCTCCTCTCCGAAGGACTGAAACAGAAGGCCACCTTTCTGCTTCTTATTCCATAGCTGCTCCATAGATTGGTGGAACTGGACTCGCTGTCCCCAGTTTAAGATAACACCCCAGTGCTAACCACACACACAAACTTGGGAGAAATTCCCTTTGATTTCAGGACAGCAACAAGGCAGGCCATCACCTCCATCCATGATGGTGCTGCCTTGAAGGACAGAATCTCATACAATGTTAGTGTAATTGAATCTAGGAGGAAGATGGGGAATCTGTGGGCCTCCAGATGTTGTCGGACTACAACTCCCACCATCCATGACCAGCAGTCATGTTCATCACAATGGACATGAGGCTGCTGAGAGCAAGTGTGGTGTAGTGGATAAGAGCGGTAGACTCGTAATCTGGTGAACCAGGTTCAATTCCCCGCTCCTCCACATGCAGCTGCTGGGTGACCTTGGGCTAGTCACACTTCTTTGAAGTCTCTCAGCCCCACTCACCTCAGAGTGTTTGTTGTGGGGGAGGAAGGGAAAGGAGAATGTTAGCCGCTTTGAGACTCCTTCAGGTAGTGATAAAGCGGGATATCAAATCCAAACTCTTTTTCCTCTTCTCTTCTTTTGATGGGAGTGGGAGCTCAACTCAACTCAACTGCAGGTTCCCTGTCTCTAGTCTAAGGGAAATCCATTCTCATTATGATGCTGTTAATGGAATTTGTCATTTCCCCTAGAAAACTGAAAGCCACCAGACTGCATATCTAGCAATCCCATTGAATAGGCTTTGGAAAGGGGCTAATAGTAATGAAGAATTCCACAAGACTGTTGTGTCTACTGTAAGGTTCGGCCTTCTTGAACATTACCGCCCATGCAGAATGGGAAATGTGACTGAAAATAAGTAGTTAAGACAACAGGAACTGCAGCAGTATACAGCTTGGTGGGAAGATTTCTTTCTTCTCTCTTCCCACAAGCCTGTTGTGATCTGTGACCTGAATTGCAGAAGATTGAATCTTGAACATCTAGACTCCCTGCAGTCTAGCTTCGACTGTGAATATTTGTTAAAGCAGCATATTAGCTTTTGTTTAAACAATTAGTTTTTCTGTTTCCTCCAACCTGAGTTGGGCAGATCTAGTTATCTTTTCTCAAAAAGAAAGAAAGAAAAAAAGGTTGGTTTGGAATCCTTATTTCTAGAGTTGCCAGATATTTTACTGCCTTTCCTCCCCACCCCTGCATTTCTGAGAGCAGCTCAGTCTGCTGAAATTAGCAATGGATAATCATACTTGTCTCTGTGCTCTGAGAAGCTTCACCTCCTGATTCCTGTGCATCAAGCTGCTCTTAAAAGTACAGGAATTGCCCAGGCTGTGGATAGTCTTACTTGTTGCCAGAAGTGACTTGCTGGGGGGGGGGGGTGAAGCTGCTTTTCTAGCCTACTGGCAAGTGGGTCACTGTTGTTTTCCAGGAGAGGGAAGAGTGAGGCGGTGGAGAAGTCAGCATGGTGCAAACACATTGGTGGAGCCAATACTGACCTCCCCACCATCTCTCCCTCCTAGTGAGCAACAGCAACCTGTTGGGAAGTTAGCAAGAGTGGCTGTGCAGTGAGCTACTTCCACTTGTTCCTTATTTTAAGAACAGTGCTGTGGGCAGTGCTAAGCCTGCTGTTGCTGGGAGTGTGTACAGACGGGAGATTGCTTGCAGTCCAGGGAGGAAGACAAAAGGAGGAGGAAGAGGGCAATAGGTTTAAATTTTTGATGTTTATGCTTTTCAGAGGCAGGGACAGTCATCATCTCTTGGAAGTGCCCCATTTGACATGCTGTATCCACCTTTGGGTGCATTTCATCCCATCTCAGCCATTCTCCATTCTAGTTCAGTGCCGCTCTCTGTGTTGTAACTGTTCTTAATGTTGCCCATTGGTGGCAGCAACAGTGCTGCCGCCTTCTGTCTTTGTTTCATGGGGACTGTGCTGAAGAAGTGCTGCATTTTTTATGATAACTCTCTTTCTGCTGATGCTAAGATGTTGCTCTATTGGGGATCGGGGTACCTCTGGAAAACAATGTGGCAACTTTCTAGATTTTAATTTTATTTTAAATCTGCCTAGATATCTAGATATATTTTTTATTTTACTTGACTGTAGAAAGATGCATTGCTGCTTAAGGACACTCTGTAATTTGGGAAATGGGCCAAAGTGTCAATCACCCACTATTTTACTAATCTATCCAATAAAAACTGTTTTGCCAGCAAATTAGCACTGAGGTCTGATAACCTCATGAGCTCCGGTCTTTGTCAGGCTCCATCCCTCATCTTCAAGATTCTTCCCTGGTGGTGACATTACTCTCTAGATCAGGCTCTGCCAAACTGTTATCCTCCAGAACGTTAAAGGCTCGATATTCTCTGGCCTCCAGCACTAGGGCTGTTGCGATAGCTTAAGGGCAAGAATAATGGTTGCACAATATGAAACGAGCACAACATTTGTGCTAGCAGAAGCTTCTTGTGCAAAAGGTGGGATCAGGGCTACAGGAATATGTTGTGCAATCAGCCACGAGAACCATACTGGCTTCCTGCACCATCTCTATCACAACAGCCATTCCACTAGGGCAACCAGTGCACCACTAAGGGACTTTAACACAGCACTACATTGAATTCCCACCTGTGACTTCATCTCCTACCCACCCTAGCCTGTATAGTTCTGTTGGCCGGGGGATAGTGTGGATGGTAGTAGGAAGTATCAGGCTGATGAAGATTGGTCTAGATTATTCCCTGGTTCCTACCCACAACCTTCCAGAACCTTCCTTTGCCCCTGACCTGCCAGGTTCTCCAACTGGGTCCGTTGCCAGAACCTCCAACAAAAGGGCAGCGTTACTTTTGAAATACCAAATCCATTGTTGATCCAGGAAGGGAAAGTTCAGTTCCCACAATCGGTAACCTATAGAGGACATTCTCGTCACACCACTGTGAGGGTCTAGAAGATACCATGCATTGTGGATGAAAAGGTGTGTGTGTGTGTGTGTGTGTGTGTGTGTGTGCATCCACCCACAAGCAAACTCTCCATGCTCATATTTGTGTACCAACATCTAAATCCTCCTAATATGAAATATTTTGATACCACTGGATTTAGAGCAGGAGTGGGGGGAGGGACTGGATCCTTATCTCCCCCACACCCCGTGGGCCAAGTCTGACAGGTGGGTGGGGTCAACCCCTGCCAATCATCTGACATCACAACAACACCAGGCGGCTTGTTTTTCCATAGTGCTGTGCTGATCAGTTGTTTGACAATGCCTGTAAATCCCCTTTGAGCCCTGCCACCTCTTAAGCTAGCCCATACCTGACAAATAAGATATCTGGTGTAGGGCAGGTGAGCATCACCTGGACAAAACAGGGAGACTTTCTTGGCCTAATTTGGCCTGCAGGCCTTAGTACCAGGTGCCTGCCTTTCTCTTCTTTGCAGCTGGCCACATGCTACAGCACCTGCAGACAAAGTGGGCCAGCTGCATCATGCAGCTGATGCTGGAAGTGCACAGTGCAGAACTGTGTGCTTACCATGCAATCTTTTCTGTGTCCATTAAGTGAGCCCGCTACCCTCAAGCACACTATCCCATTGCCCGTCCTGAATAAAAATTCACCTCCCAGCCTCTGAACATGGAATGAGTGGTGGTGGTTGCCATCTGGTCTTCTTCATGCAGCAAAATGTCATGGGTCAGTGTTTAAGAAGCTAATATTGGGTCACACTTAGTGTTGAGTCACACTCAGTGTTAAGAAGATAAGGAGAGTTCCTGCTGGATCAGGCCAGTGGTCCATCTCATCCAGTGTCCTGTTCCCACAATGGCCAACCAGGTGCCTGTGGGATACCTATAAGCACAGAAGCACTCCTCCTTTGGTTTCCAGGGAAGCATTACAGCTTCCAACCTTGGAGGCATAACATAGCCATCACATTGGGGCACACTGAATATTGATAGATTCAGTACAAGCAAAGAGGATGTACTTGACACAGCTCACACTTAAAACTACAGAATGTGCTTATTATATAATAACAAATTTAAGGGGTCTTAGTTAAATTCACACTAGAAATGAGTACAAGCCATGATGGCTGTGACCCAGTTCCACTGTTGCGGGAGGGCAGTATACCAGTTGCTAAGAATCATAGGTGGGGAGAATACTGGAGCACTTGGGTCCTGCTCGTGGGCTTCCCATAGACATATGGCTGGCCCCTGTGAGAATGGGGTCTGATACAGTAGGCCTCTTTTTATGTTCTCATGTGGTGACCCAGCCACCTAGAGTTCCCACAAAGGCCTACAAGCAATGATAGTTCAATTCCCCCAACCTCCAGGTTTGATTTTGAATGGGGTCATTGCAAATAAATTAGGCCCTATTTGACTTGGGCCTATATTAAGTTCCATTTCAATATAAGGTCTCATTGTGTCCCATGGAAGATGCTAAGACCCATGTTAGCCATAGATCCTTGCAGGTAGGGCACTCCCGTGAGCTTTTGCAGTAACATTGCAAGTGCAACAACCCATTGAAGAAATAGTTCCCATTGATCTTGATTACTCCACACAAAATGTAGATCCCATAAATTTTTCTATCTGAGACAATGCCAAGGCAATACTGAGGGTTGTTGTCCTCAATATTTCAGCCACTTTGTAAGTTTGGAAGGGGAAGGGAAGTGCCGAAGTTACATCAGGAAGGAATGGCACTAGGCCAAACGTATCATTAAAAGGTAAAGGTAAAGGGACTCCTGAATGTTAGGTCCAGTCGCGGACTCTGGGGTTGCGGCACTCATCTTGCTTTATTGGCCGAGGGAGCCGGCGTACAGCTTCCAGGTCATGTGGCCAGGATGACTAAGCCACTTCTGGCGAACCAGAGCAGCGCACGGAAACGCCATTTACCTTCCCACTGGAGTGGTACCTATTTATCTACTTGCACTTTGACGTGCTTTCGAACTGCTAGGTTGGCAGGAGCAGGGACCGAGCAACGGGAGCTCACCCCGTCACGGGGGTTTGAACCGCCGACCTTCTGATTGGCAAGACCTAGGCTCTGTGGTTTAACCCACAGCACCACCTGCGTCCCTTAAACCTATCATTAGGCCAAGCCTAAATGTCCAAATGTGTCTGGTTTAGCTCATAGTGGGCTCAGGCTTTCCAAACCAGGAGGTTTGGAAGATGGCAGCTCATTTAAAATTGACATCAGTTGCATGTTCAGTGACATGGCACAGTTCAGGCTTCCTTAACATCCAGTAATTCAAGCTTCAGGAGTAATATGACGTACACACCCCTTTTTCCAAAGTGCATTTCACCCCTTCTTATCCATATTGAAAAGAAAATGCTTTGCATACATTTGCATACATTTGCATATGTTTCATTTTCCCATCCATTTATTTTACATTCTCCTTCATGCACCTAAATGTGGATGATAACAAAACTGTCCAATCAAACAATACTACCTGCACATGCAAAATAGCATTAGCACAGACTTCTCAGATGTAGGTCTGTTTCAATTCATAGGCCTAAAATTTCATTTTACTTTTTAAGAGATATTCATTTGGCTACCCTAACTGTCCAGATCAAGCTCTCTTCTTTTCCTAATCCAGCAGGCTGCATTCAGAACAGGCATGGCTACAAGTATGTAGCCCCATTTTCAAAAACAAAAGAAAAATACACTGGGATCCAGCTGTTCCTGGGGGGGAAAGGGAGAGGAGTGGTCAAAATTAGCCCCTCAAATTTCCCACACCAAATAGTTAGTTGATGCACAAGGTCCTTGCCTCTTGTGTGGTTTGGTTGGCACAAGTTCATCCATTGACTCATCATCATGCATTCCCTGATCCTAGCACTCCACAGCACTCCAAACCCTGCACTGGGTTGGCCCTAAGTGATACATCACAATTCTTGTTAGCATCTATTTTTAAAAATTAAGTCCTGTGGACACATGCCACAGGGAAGGGTCATGGATGAGTAGTAGAGCATCTGCTATACCCACAGAAGGTCCGAGGTTCAATCCTTGACATTTCCCATGTTGAGCTGGGGAAGACTATTGCTTGAAGCCCTGGAGAGCTGCTTCCAGTCATTGCTGAGGTAGCTGGACCAATGGCCTGACTCTGCATAAGGCAGTTTCTTGTGCACCTGTGAAATGTACCTCTGAAAGCCCCGCATAAGCAAATGTGATCTGTTCAATATCCCTTTTGCAAAGGAAGTTGCCTAGGAGACCTTTAGGGTGGATTGTGCCCTTAGACTTTAGCCCCTCCTCATAGGGAACAGTGGTCTGACCTCCACATAAATTCCCTCTGTCACAGCATGCGGCACTGAACCTTTGAGTGATTTATTCATTTACATAAGGTGGCTGTGGTGTCTTCATTTTATTTATTTTTTGCTATCAATTTTCTACCATTTTTTAATGGTGACAACATAGCCGTGTGCAGGTGACACACTTAGACTCTGGACTTCAAAAATTATTATTATTATCTGATTAATTTAAAATATTTTCAGGTCACTTTTTCTGGGCCGATGTCCATCCAAAACTGCTTAACGTCAAAACAAAAGGTGAAAAGCAGTGCATAGTATAAAACAGTACACAGCTTTGAAACTTTGAATGCTACAAATCAACACTTAAACCATAAAGAATTGGGGCGGGGGAAAGTAATCAAATCAGACCATCACCCAGCTGACAAACATCAGGCCTGGAAGACCTGCTGAAACAGATAAGACTCCATAGCCTTCAAAAAACCAAAAAACCACTCACAGCATAGAGGTTTGGCCTCAGTCCAGTGGGAGGGTGTTCCACAGATGTGGGAATGATAGAGAAGGACTTCTCCCTTGTCACCTTAAAGTACCATCCTCTCCCACCCCACCCCACCCCCATCGTTCAGATGATAGCATGTATTACTCAAAATATGGTAGGCCAGCACCACTGTGTTTGGGGCCCTCTAGTTCATTGGGGCCACAAGATATCCTTCTTGTATGGCATTAATTCCAGAGGATCAGCAGGTGTGAATAAAAACCAGGGATGGTATTCAGCTAAGTTTCACATGACTCAATTAATTTCAGTGGATTTATTCTAAGTAAACTTTGGGTGACTATCACCTCAGGTCATTCTCTTAGCCACCATCTCTCAGGGTGATTAAAGCATACCTTAGAGGAAGCTCATTCTATATGGGCAAAGCTGTCCTCACTTGTAAATCCTGAGGAAATTTCAATCCTAACTTGATAACACAGAGCCTGTGAAAACTCTGTCATGATGGCCGGACTACACAAA